TAACAATGGAACAATTATAAACAAGTTGAGAGAGAGAGAGAGGGGGGGAGAGAGCGAGGAGAGAGAGAGCGAGGAGGTGGGTGAGGGAGAGAGAGGGGTGTGGGAGGGAGAGAGAGAGAAAGAGAGAGAGAGGGAGGTGTAAAAACACGTACTTTGTATGTTGAGAATACTTTTTATATATGAAGATCATGCATTCGCTCCTTCTCCATGCAAGCAAAACCTGAGATACTCTGTCCACATGACTAAACTCTCAGCTTGTCAATTTTAATAGCTATTTACCATTTACCAACTCGAAGTTTAAACAGAATTCTCTAATTTTAATATCATGGCTCCAAAATTAAAATAATCAAGGTATTCAAACGCTGTGGGCAGAAAATATTCTCGTAAAGATATCAGAGATACTATAGCCCACAAGGTGGTGTTTATATTGTTAATGATGAGCTTGGCTGTTCTGTCGCGAGTGCTGTTGGTTGAAGATAGAGGCTTTGTTGCGTAAATCTTCTCCGATATCATTTCTAAAATGTTTAGTGTATATACAACTGTTCGCTACTTTAGGGTCTCAATGCAGCAATGCCAAATAACCATTGGAACAATATGGAAACGCTAAAACGCTCCGGTTAAGTCGATTTAAACAAAAAATCGATGTTTAAAGATCAGCCCCGACAGTCACAGGTTAGCTGGAGTTAACCAGTGGTTAGTGAAAATATTCAAACCCGAAACAAACCAAATCAGGAACTCTCTTTATCATTTGCAGCGGAAGATTTTTAAAACATGGCAGATTGTTATATTTTTAGTGTTAATTAAATTAGTATTGTTTTTTAATATTCTTGTTTTTTTGTTTTTGTGACATCAATAAGAAAAAAATCACTAACCACTCGTATATATAACCAAGCTTAGAAAAATGTGACCAGAATGATATAGAGCATTTATCTTATAGATTATCAATCTCTTTGACCAGAGGCGTTTTACAGTTTTCTCATTGTAGTGGCCTAGTGAGGACGCGTAGTTCTCCTGCTCGGACACTTTGTTTCTAAAATTTAAGAGACAACAAACACTTCAATATCTTATATTTTTATCTATTTTAAGATTTTACAGGATATGTGATCTGTCAAACACAAGGTTTCATGAGTGTTCATTAACATTTATACTAGTCATAGCCATTAAGTCCACTTATGTTCGCTCCTCACTGTGACATCGCATCAAGTTGTGTTTAGACGATAAGACTGGATTTGATGTAGATTATATTTTATTACAACTATTTGATTGAAGATTCCGTCAAAATATTATATATGAACACTTTGATATACGTCTTAACACCCTAGAACTTGGTAACAGATGATTTTACAAGAAACGTACATACAGCTGTTTCATTCCTCGTACTCGTCATGCAGTTATCTTAAGTGTCGGCTGAGAAAAATCGAAATTGGCCAGAATAAATATTGAAAACCCCCATCAGGGTTGCTGCACTGACCCTTTAGTCCAATAACTGTCATGTTGTCTGTACTTGTGGATTTTAAAATAATGTTAAGTATTCTGAACCGCGTCATATTTTCAAATTTATTTACAACTTGACATACGTAATTACGACAAAGCTCGGGGCTCAACTGCAGCTGGACAGCATTTCCCTTGCAATATCGAAAGGTCGTACAAAAGACACACAAATTATAACACATTTTAATTCTCTTCCTAGGACTACAATCAGTCACCGTGTGGGTATATATGATATAAACAAACCAGAAAGATGTGTGGTTTAAGCTACAATTAACGTCATCTAACGCGTGATCATTATGACGTCAGTATTGTCGGTAACATCTTTGATGATAAAGGGGTTCGCACCCTGCACCCCTGGAACATGTCATGGCAAAATTGAAGGAACAAGTGAAGTTATTTCATTGGTTCCAGAAGAAAAAGCTGGCCAATCACAGACTGATACGCTCCTTTTGAAGATTCCAAAGTCAAAGCCATTACAATATACCGTTAGGCAATCTTGAGATTTGTTTGGTGTACATCAAAGGATCAAACAAGTCTTTTTTGTCTTGTTCACAAGTTTTGGCACATGGAACCTTCAATTTTGCCCTGTTTTGTATTTTGTGTTTTGTAATAATACCTGGCCGTTTCATTATTTGTGTCCTTGTTCTCATTTAGGAACGGGACATTATCGACATGGAGTGACCAAGATTTACAAATTTAGAATTAGATATAGCATAGCCAAAAAGTGAATTAAACTGCATCATACAGCTGTTTCGTCTTTATATGACTTGTCAGTGATGTTATATCATACAGCTGTTTCGCCCTTCTAGGACTCGTCAGTGATGCTACATCATACAGCTGTTTCGTCTTTCTATGACTTGTCAGTGATGCTACATCATACAGCTGTTTCGTCTTTCTAGGATTCGTCAGTGATGCTACATCATACAGCTGTTTCGTCCTTCTAGGACTCGTCAGTGATGCTACATCATACAGCTGTTTCGTCCTTCTAGGACTCGTCAGTGATGCTACATCATAAAGCTGTTTCGTCCTTCTGGAAATTCTCAGTGATGCTACATCATACAGCTGTTTCGTCCTTTTAGGACTCGTCCGTGATGCTAAGGGCCTAAACTGTTGAAACATAGAGGGTATCAGAGGAAAATAAAAACTGATCGTAAGATACTTCAAAAACTAGAAAGGAACTGCACTAAATCCAAGAGTCGACGTTTCATTTTTTTATTGTTGCATAATATTAGTATGATCGTCACGCGCATGTGTATGTTTTGAACCTTGCCACTTTTCATGCATCAAAGAAAGAAGTTATCGTTTATACTTCCTGGACACTAAATACAACTCTTTACATCTTCAGCGGTACGGTTTAAGATGGTCAATCTTGTTTCGTCGTTTTATCGCCGCTGGCAATCTAATACGTCCCGACTCATTCAGTATCAATGATAGCTTATGATACAGTAGTCATTCATAATAATATACGGGAGATCTACAAGCACAGATCAGTCAAAATAAATCAATTAATATACATCGTTACTGACATTTATTCAATCATGACATAAGTGTTGTATATTCATAACGGTTCACCGTTCCATCCTGAGAGCGATGAACGTGACCCAGTTCGACTGAATCAATCAATCAATCGATCAATCAATCAATTAATTAATTAATCAATCCAATAATCAGAACACAAAGATATTGTTTATGTTCATTTTACAATATTAAGCATATCGTCAACAGTAAATCAACAATTGTTTTCAAACAGAAGAAATAACTTATCACAAATATTAGTTTTCACGTTTACAATCATAGATCAGATCGTTAAATTGCTTTACATAACTATTGCACACGAAAGATAAAAAAATCAGACTGTCACCAGAGTACAGTCCAAACCGGTTTGATGTCGAGAATGACGTTGTTACACTTGATTCGCTGACAACACCAAAAATATAATTTCCATGTTTCACATGAGAAATGTACATCATCAAGAAAAATGACAGTATGGCGTCACTGAACTGAGCAAGTTATTACATACTGTGTAACTTGTAAGTAATTACAACATAATAAAAGTTTGATTCATTCCAGTGATTCTACACCGACAGTCCTCCCAGGGAGATCACAGATATGTCAGAAGGCCTCTTAGTCTCCATTCACAAAAAAAGTATCTATCTTGTATGTTTAAAGAGAGAAATTGATTTTTAAAAAGAAAAAAATCAGTATGGCCTTAAGGACTCGACAAAATAAGCACAATACAGTTTGTTCAAGTTTCTGTATAGATATGAAATTTGATTCTAGCAACATTATCACAGGACACATATTACTAAACTTCAATGAGATGATCACGTAGTTACATTTTCTGTCAACATTTTAGTTTCAGAAAATGACTGAAATCAACATGGCAAGCGAGAGACATCTGACCTCGTTTCATTTATAAATGAATGACACGTTGAATATAAGTGGTGTACATTATATAGATATATCATATCTATTCAGTACATAGCTTACAATAAACAGACAACATTTACACACAAATTGAGGTCTCATGCTTGGCTGGACAGACAAAACGACGTCCTTAAATACCACATCACTACAATAGACGCGACAGGAATGTAACAATGGGTTTCTGTCAACCTCCTGAAGGGAAGAGAGAAAACACCGCGAGAAACAAGTGATTTTAACAATGGCTACTTATCACCTTGTGGTTGAAACATAAGAAAAAGATAGGCAAAATGGTGAGATAGGATCAGTACAAAATATTTCAGTTTCGTGCATTCGGTCGAAAAACAATAACCGTCGGGATTTCTTTTTAAACTATGACGGACATCAAGAAATACATTGCACTGAACATTGACTCCGTGTCAAGTGTAGTAGGTATAAGCTGTGCCCGTCTCTGTTAAACTTTGGCATTTCAAAAACATCAAGTCTTGTAATTTCCTGTATTTGATTAAAAGCCGGTTTTCGCCTTCTTTATACTTATCTAAACATTAATACTCTAGCAGTAATGACCTATATAATCGTCCTATTTTTCTTGTTTGTTTGTTTCAAATCACAAATTTTATGTTTTTCTGATTATGATCATCGTTTGTTCTTTGTTAGCTGTTCAGTGCCCTGCAGTCGTTTGTTCTTTGTTAGCTGTTCAGTGTCCTGCAGTCGTTTGTTCTTTGGTAGCTGTTCAGTGCCCTGCAGTCGTTTGTTCTTTGTTAGCTGTTCAGTGCCCTGCAGTCGTTTGTTCTTTGTTAGCTGTTCAGTGCCCTGCAGTCGTTTGTTCTTTGTTAGCTGTTCAGTGCCCTGCAGTCGTTTGTTCTTTGTTAGCTGTTCAGTGCCCTGCAGTCGTTTGTTCTTTGTTAGCTGTTCAGTGCCCTGCAGTCGTTTGTTCTTTGTTAGCTGTTCAGTGCCCTGCAGTCGTTTGTTCTTTGTTAGCTGTTCAGTGCCCTGCAGTCGTTTGTTCTTTGTTAGCTGTTCAGTGCCCTGCAGTCGTTCGAAACCGTACTATTTCTGTTTAACTGTTCAAGCTAACCCAGCAATATAAGGCAAATTCCTTTAATTATGTTGATTCTATATTTAATTATACTTATTGGCCACATTCATTCGTCATTGCTTCACCATATGGTAATGAGTCTAAGTGCCACATCACTCGAAAACGGAAAACGGAGAATTTCCCGTTTCCCAAGTGTCCGTCAAACCCATCGGAAAATTAGTGCAACAATTTTCTAAGAAGAAGAAAACAACTTGTTTAGTTTTGGGAAACAATAAAAATTTTCTGAAGGAAAAAATCATGACATTGAATATTCAATGACTCACGGAGTGTAAAAAATTTGGTTTTCACGGAAAACAGAGAGTTATTTCCTGATTTCAGACTAACCGGCTATCAAATGGAAAGTGAGACGAATTTTGAAAACGAACATTTCCGTCTAGTGTTAGAAATATATGAAGCAAAAAAATGTCATTCTTGCATATTACAAACATCGACAATAACAACAAAAAGTAGACGAAAACAAACTCGCGCTTGATAATTTGATAATGATCCAAATATCAAGCACACATGAGCGTTTGTGTCGTAAACATCGGCAAGAATCTGCAATCAAGCGTCAACGGGATTTTGAAATATTAATTGGAAATCTGTTCGATTCATCGCCTATTCGTAGCTGGGGACTTCTGTCTTTTCAAACAACATCGACAACAGTATCGTCTGAATAATGTCTTGCATTCTTTCTGAAATTTTTTGTTCAAAAGGCTGTAGATGATAGGGTTGATGAAATTACTGATGAAAAATGACCGGACACACAGATTATAAATCACCTCCTCTGTTGTGGAATTAAATTCATGGAAGGCCGTTTTTGTTGTTTTTAGTATATTGACAATTAGATAAGGCAGGAAACTTATCAGAAATGCAATGAAAACGGCTAAGAAAATGTACGTTGTTCTAATACTACGGTATATCGATTTCTTTCTGCGTGCTGGGAGAGAAATGTCCATACTGTTTTCCAACTGACTGTCAGAACTTTTCAAGTCGCTGTTGACACCAGACCGGAAATGATTTACAATATAGTTCCGGAGATGGGAAAAACTACTGCGATTGGTACGGAGGTTGCGTGTCGTTTCTTCGTCAGAACATGGTTCAGCCGATGTTGACTCATCGTCCGAAAGAATTGACGTTGTCAACTCTCGTCTCCGCAAAGTTTCTCGTGAGACTGGAGGTCCCCTCTCGCCAACTGGATTTTTTTTGCGGCGATATATTTCCATGCCTATCCTAACGTATAACGTTGTAAATATTGCGAATGTCACAACGAATGCTGTAATAAGAGTGGCATAGTAGATTAGCGGGTAAACAGTCCCTCCCATTGCGTCTGAAGTAGAACACTCGGTACCGTACAGACCCGATTCAGGCGTTTCCACTGTTTTTATCCCAAAGATAACAAGGGCCGGCCACGATAAAACTGCTCCGATAATGATCGCTATTCCACACAGAATCTGGACTTTCCGTATAGGAAACCCTTTTAGAGGTTTGCAGACTTTGTAATACCTGTCGAATGCTACACTTATTAGAGTTATACACGCCGATATAATCGTAAATGATAACACAAAACGAAGAAACTTGCATGCAAACGTTAAAGTGAATGTATATGGGAGAAACAGATCCCCTAACTCGGAAGGCATTCCTATGCAACATGAAACCAAATCCAGAACTGCCAAGAACAAAACGAAATAGTGCGACGGCGTTTTGCGCATCCGGAAGTAGTAGACGTAGCAGACTAAGGAGTTCCCAAGAGTTCCAAGGACCATAATGATAATGACGGGAATAATTACCGGAAGTAGAACCATGACCTTCTTTTGATTTGCCTCTTCTAGAAGAATTTGGTCTGACGTCACGTTTGGTTCCATAATAATTTGAAGATGTATTCCACTCAAACTCTCAGTGGCTAGTGTGAATCTGGAAAACCAAAAGTGACAATTAGCAGATGAATGACTGAATAAGAAAAAAATCTCGGTTTTTGAAGTGAAGTCATAACGAAATGCGAACTTCTTGATATGACGCCATTTCAAATTAGCACGAGTATGCGACAACCATTCTGATCGACAAAGAAGAAACTCTTCTAGGAGAAAAAATCCGGTTGTTTCGATTGATAGTTCAGTTCAGTGCAGTTACGGAATGACCCGATGAGTGACGAGTGACTATTGCCTTCTAATAAACCATGCCTTTAACAGCAAGAAAAACGCAGATACAACACGAGACAACAAGCTCAGTTTTATCACGAGGGATACGTTTCTGGGGGCTTATCAAGTCATTTCTAAGCCCAAATTCCTCTGCTCAAAAACAAGTTCCCGAGGAAAAAGTATTGACATTAAAACGCATCACCAGGAGATACAGACATGATTTGTAACAATACCGATAGATAAACAATTATTAAAAGATATTTCGGTCTATCTCAAATCAGGTAGATAAAATAATGATAATGAATGAAGTATGAAATAAACTAGAATCGGCAGAATGGTCTTATGAAGTTCACCATAGGTATTTAAAAGATCGATCTGTCGCATAATACAGTCTCACATGAATTGTCCAAACTTGACATAGTTTCAACACCGAGAAGGGTCAATCATGCAAAGCGATTGAACATCCAATGGCCAGCTGTCATAGAAAAGAGTTGAGATAAACATTTTAACTCACGTGGTGTTTATTGGTGAATATCTAAGCTTCCAACACTTGGAGAATTATTCAGATATTCTCATAATCTCGGTAGTTTAAAAGTTTTGGGTCAATCTAATCCTCTGGAATGACGTCAAGCACGAATGCATTAGCTCCAGACAGAATTGTCCATATTTTTTATACTCTGTAGCGTGCACTCATGTAGAAAGGGCGAACATGGATGGCCAGCCAAACGGAATGAATATATCGCAGACTGTTATTAGTAAAGTACGTTTATAAACGAGTATTTTCTGATTTATCACTGGAATACTACTTAAACAGCTTTTGTCAACAACCAGATATTAACAATAACGTATAAATGGAGATTGTTAACTGCGAAATACCAAAAGCTAGCGGTCAGAGGTAAACTATTTGATCTGAGTCAGTATCCCCCTCCTCCGCGGCTCACTCGAGTGTCGCTATTAAGGGACAAGTGATGCTGTAATTCGGAAACCGACCATCGGCTGCAACACATGATGGTCTGATCTTACCGGAAGTGACGTTTCATTATTTGATGACAATAACCAGAGCAGTGACCTGACGGTATGGGAACAAAGAAAAGCCTGTATGTATGATCACACAAGTCACATATTTCCGAAATACTTGTAATGTTAAAGTGTTTATGCTATATCAGGAAAATTTCTCAAAACAAACGAAAAGGAGACACGTAGTCACTTGAACGAGTCATTGCTTTGTTTCCTAAAAATATTGTTGACTCTGATTAACATTAACTATTGATGATCGATAAGTGACCCGGTGAGACTGAATGGCTTACACCTTTAAGTAAAGTAAATTCTGTGAACTTTAGTTGAAGAATGTCAAAGTAGTTTTTAGGTAAGATCCATGTTTCATTTTCTTTCCAAAGCCCTCAAGAGTTTTCAACTTGTCCGTGTCACCTTTGAAGTTAAGGTGTTCATGCCAACAACACACGTTGAAAATGCTGTTTCATTTGGTAAATCAGACGAAGATTTATCCGTGTTGTCTCTATAGTGCTATTGGCAAAATACCGTGATCATATACGTCTCATGGTATTCATAAAAGATAAGATATATTTGCGCCATGTGGCGAATGTTATTGACTGAAAACGCTTGACAACCAAGCTTACTACCTGCCTGAAGACGTTAGCTAAGTTACGACCCCTCAAACCTTTATCAAGCTCGTCAATGTCTTTCATTTTAACAAACGTTGAAGCTCTTAATACCATCACATGTATTTTTGCACATATGGCCGAGAAGACTCATCGCTCTGTATGTCATGGTGTTGAAATGTGATCGATGAGGTATATTCCAGTATGATGGCACTTTAAATGCGTCCGTGAGTAGCTGAATCACCTCTTCACATATGGCGTGTGGTTATTCAGTAGGATTTCTTTAGATTTTTTCGTTACTCAGAGGAAACGTAACTGAACACATTTACTCACTTGTGATTTTGAAAGTAAGTGAATTTCATTTATCCAAGCACCTTTGTGGCAAAGGCTTTTGAGATTCAACACATTTGACCTCTTCTGCCTTGACAGTAGGTCAGTGTTTTCAAATTAACAAACGACCAATCGAGTCAAGCAGTAGGTACACTGGTCTAGGCAGTGCAGAAAGTAACAGCTGATCATGTGAGCAAGATTTCATATTCATATTTTAATTATTTGATATTGAGTGTTGAATCAACAGGAAGTTTTTTTTTTATTAAATGTGTGAAAAATCTTTAACAGTCGCAGTAGCGTCATTACTGATACACGCAAATTACAGCCAAAAATAGACAATGACGAGGAAGCTTTTGAAGGAGATTATTTATTTGTCGACAAGGAAGATTTAGAAACAAAATATTCCTGGTCCTCGCCGAATAAAACGTATTTACCATCATATCAGTTACTGTGTATCAGCGTCTTTTGTTGTTTCAAGTATTTTTGTACTTGTTGGATTTAAGACAACAGGGCGTTTTTTATGTAAAATTGGACGTTATATGTATTGGTTATGTACCGTTTTCACCTATACAGTTTTTTTCAACAGTGATGTTTTACGTACGGAGACCTTGGGGTGTTTTTTGTGTTAAATCTGACGTTTGGTGAGAATATGATTTTTCCTTCTTTTTGCACTAGGTGGATCAGACATCAGGGCGAGTTTTTTTCTGTAGATGTGTTAGGTTTTCCCGTTGTGCGCACAAGCGAGCGTGCATAGTGTAAGCTATAACAAAATTCACGCGCCCACTGTAAGTTTTCAACACTTAAGAGCCCTGAATGACGATGATACGTGTATTTTAGTGCACAGGATATGTAGATTTAGGTTTTCCATTAAATTCTTAACAAAAGATTTAACATGATTTACTAGAAGAAAGGTTTTTTTTGGTCATGTGAATCACCAAATGAGAATATCTCTGGTGACAAGGAGACAAAATCAAGAACAGGAAGTGAATACAATATAAATGCTACACCGTTCCTAATGTAGGTTTATAGTTTAACAAAATTTTTTTTTGTATTCTGTTGTACGTTTGCTTTGACCAAGGGAGCCTTCATCTTCGCCTTATGTTATGAGGGTTAAAAAATCAAACACATACACAGGAAAAAAATAACACAGGCTAGGTGATAATTTTAAGCAATATCATATGAGCAGTTCTAACATCCAATGCTTGGTACTCGCTGACTACACTACACTTGTATATCAGGCGTGTTAACATCAGTGTGAAGAAATTCTTAAAAGTTGCTACAGGTCATGTTTTAATACTTTTTTCTTTTCTTTTTTTAAACATATATTAGTATTTAAATGTTGTTCAAGAACGAATTCATTCTTGGCCCAAAGAAACTTTATGATATATACGTGACATTATCAAGAGGAGATTTATTCGTACAATTACATAACTACGAGCTAAACTCAGTCCATGACATTGCTTCATGGATGATTGATTATCAGCTTCAGTTGAAACCAAATCGGGTATGTATATAATGATAATGTGGGTGTGTAAGTATAGCCGAGAAATATCGACAAATGAAATAAGAAATTATTACAAAAAACGAAAAAAAAGAAGCAAGACAGATGACTTAAAATTTCATAATATATTAACGATATAGGTTTCATTAAAATATTCCCAGACTCCAGAATGTAAATATATAAAGTGTACTTATGACCGTGGTTTTAGAAATGATAAGGAGATTACAAATCACTTTACAACTATTATCATCTTAAGGTACGCTACACTATTTCCGGTATAGTACAGAGCAAAATGTTACATACGTGACATAGCACGTGAGTTAAATGACACAAATAGTGTGCAAGTCTTGAAATTCATTTTATAATGTATGTGTTGATTATGATTATACATGAGATGATGATGATGATGATGATGATGATGATGATGATGATGATGATGATGATGATGATGATGATGATGATGATGCTTGTACAAGGGATGAAGATGATGCTTGTATATGGGATGATGATGAGGAAGATGATGATGATGTTGTTGATTGTACAAGGGATGGTGATGATGATGATGATGACTGTCAATGATAGGATGCATGAGGTGTACAATTGCTATGTTGTGTGAGGTGTGCAAGGTTGTTTATCTGTATGTTTAAAATGTTTTGAAAAATAAAAGAAATATATATATATATATATATGTGTGTGTGTGTGTGTGTGTGTGTGTTGTCACCCGTGTAATGACGGTACGTGTGCATGGTCTGTTTGTCACATTTGTTATGACGGTACGCATGTGTTGTCAATTTGCCACACGTGTAATGACGGTGCGTATGTATTGTGTGTTTGTTACACGTGTAATGACGGTACGAATAAATTGTCAGTTTGTCGCACGCGTAATGACGGTGCGTATGCATGACTGTTTGTCACACATGTAATGACAGTACGTATGTATTGTCAGTTTGTCACACGTGTATGACGGTACGTATGTATTGTCAGTTTGTCACACGTGTAATGACGGTACGTGTGTGTTGTCAGTTTGTCACACGTGTTACGACAGTACGTATGTATTGTCAGTTTGTCATAGGTGTAATGACAGTACGTATGTATTGTCAGTTTGTCACATGCGTAATGACGGTACGTATGTATTGTCAGTTTGTCACACGTGTAATGACAGTACGTATGTATTGTCAGTTTGTCACACGTGTATGACGGTACGTATGTATTGTCAGTTTGTCGCACGTGTAATGACGGTACGTATGTATTGTCAGTTTGTCACACGTGTAATGACAGTACTATGTATTGTCAGTTTGTCACACGTGTATGACGGTATGTATGTATTGTCAGTTTGGCACACGTGTAATGACAGTACTATGTATTGTCAGTTTGTCACACGTGTAATGACAGTACTATGTATTGTCAGTTTGTCACACGTGTAATGACGGTACGTATGTATTGTCAGTTTGTCACACGTGTAATTACGGTACGTATGTATTGTCAGTTTGTCACACGTGTAATGACAGTACGTATGTATTGTCAGTTTGTCACACGTGTAATGACAGTACGTATATATTGTCAGTTTGTCGCTCGTGTAATGACGGTACGTATGTATTGTCAGTTTGCCACACGTGTAATGACGGTACGTATGTATTGTCAGTTTGTCACACGGGTATGACGGTACGTATGTATTGTCAGTTTGTCACACGTGTATGACAGTACGTATGTATTGTCAGTTTGGCACACGTGTAATGACAGTACTATGTATTGTCAGTTTGTCACACGTGTATGACGGTACCTATGTATTGTCAGTTTGTCACACGTGTAATGACAGTGGGTATGTATGGTCAGTTTGTCACACGTGTAATGATGGTACGTATGTATTGTCAGTTTGTTACACGTGTAATGACAGTACGTATGTATTGTCAGTTTGTCACACGTGTATGACGGTACGTATGTAATGTCAGTTTGTCACACGTGTAATGACGGTACGTGTGTATTGTCAGTTTGTCACACGTGTATGACGGTACGAATGTATCGTCAGTTTGTCACACGTGTATGACGGTACCTATGTATTGTCAGTTTGTCACACGTGTAATGACAGTACGTATGTATTGTCAGTTTGTCACACGTGTAATGACGGTACGTGTGTGTTGTCAGTTTGTCACACGTGTAACGACAGTACGTATGTATTGTCAGTTTGTCACAGGTGTAATGACAGTACGTATGTATTGTCAGTGTGTCACACGTGTAATGACGGTACACTTGTGGTGTCTACTGAAATGTTGGTACATATGTGTGTGACACATCTAAAGATGGCATACACGTGTTAGCACATGTGTAGTGACGGTGCACGCGTTATTACGTGTACGCATGTGATGATACATATGTAGCACGTGTTTATGAAGTGACGTTACATAGTGCTGTAACAGAAGTTTGATATTTATGACAAAGTGTACGAGGATGTTTCTAGTCGGGGTATAACAGAAGGTAGAGACGAGAAACGATGACAGTCATTAGCCTGTTTACATCTACGTATCAATATACCAGCTACGGTGTATATACACTACGGTGATTAGACCTATCGATGTTTTTTTTTACCTGTACTCACCTTTAACTATCATGTGCCCCGTCTCACCCATCCAATCATTCGTTCAGAAGTTTCCAAACATCTACTTGTATTAATATCACTGTTTAACAAAATCCACGAAATTCTGTGGTTCATTTTTCTTTCCTGGTACGATCGTCACCACACCATTTTTACACCTGATGTGTATACACGCGTGGACTACTTACCACCTGGGAGACAGGTATATACCACAGGTAAATGTGTGTACTTATCTGTACAGGTAACTCCAGATTTTACAGTACAAGATTTGGCCTGCTTAGTGTGGGACCACTGATCAATGCAACAAAATCGTTTATACGGAACAACTGAAACGAAACTTCTATTCGCCTACGCCTGTCACGACAGGATACCTGTCTGTTACATAGGCCTACAATATATAACAGGTCTTAGTCTACAAAGATTTCTTTACTTAAGGAAATCCTGGTACGAAAGTTTCCTGTTTTTTTTTTTTTTTTTTCTATTACGTTCAAGATTTTTTTTTTAGTAATTTCTTAAAAAGTAGCGTATCAAAACACACAAATACATCAATAAAACGAAAAAGACAGGAAAAAGGAAAAAGAAACGGACAGATATGAATCACACAGCCAACATGTATGTCCGGCTCTTAGAGTAATGAATTTGAGTTTATACGGCAAATTCAGCATGAAATTATAATATCCCATAAAGTGAAGGTAATTTTTGTTTTTATTTTTTCTCCTCACTAATTTGCCAAATAAGTTAAATTATTGGTATACATAGCAAAACTGCATTATCTGTAAACGAATATGAGTATTTGACAAGGTTAGAACGTCATTTACTTCCGGGTGAACTCTACATTTGCCTTAGGACACAGGGCAAAAATTGACGTCACTAAACAGTGAGATATGTCTTCTGACCGCTTGTCTGTAAAGACCACCTGCCTATGAAGAAATTTGTCTACAGTGATAACCTGTATATAAGAAATACATGGTTGGAAAGGTAAAAAGATGATCTCTATGAACGCCGTCACTATGAAATTGCATTCATAGGGTTGTATTAACCAATGGGTCCGAATAAGGAAGGAAATAAATACTTAATAGACGTTTCTGTTCCGTGTATGAATGTGTAATATATTGTATATTCTCAGTGTGTATCCTCGATATTTGGTCTTACCAACCGAATCGATGTTTACACTTCGGTAAAGTCTGGTGTAGGAAGCCGGACCTCTGTGCACTTGCGGAAAATATTAGTGTGAATCCTCTGTTGCGTTTTTTATTTCTTTTAATTTTGTTACTTTATTTTTGGAAATATAGATATTTAAAATATCTCACAAAAATGTAATAAATGTATCGCTGTTTTGCCATTCCATCAGTTGTCGGGCTGTTCCGTCATTGCACTTTTAACGTCCAATAATCGACGATTATTGTTTTTAGGAGCGTAAACAAAGAAAATGAAATGTATTCAAAACGAAAATATGAGAATTTTCTTTCTTTCTCGTTGTTTACTGGTGTTCAAACTGCATTTTACATATCAGTAAACAACGAATAGATAAAAATCTTAAACAAAACTAAACAGAAAGGCAATGCGCAACCATTGCGACACCATTTTTGTAGTCATGGAAACGACGAATCGCCGTCAAAGTGGCTGTTCGACTTGACGGATTACACAGCCGAAAATAAAAAAAATGTATTTTAATGCAATCATCATCGACATACAACAGCATCATCCATAAGCATTGAATTGTCTTTCAGGCAAACATATCAGATTGTGCAATATTACGTTTGTCTACAAAGATGTCATTTATGACTTCCATAAACGCCATATCACGACAATTCATTACTTGATAAACTCGAAGCTTTAACTTTTTTTATAAAGGAATTCTTACAAAACGTTCACTTTAAATTGCCAGTTTTAAATATATTATGCTTTGGACAGCGGTTAGAGACAGCAAGTGTCTTTCAAAATAGGGACCAGAATTAGGTATTTGTGGGTGGAGTTTGCTTGTGGGATTATTTCATTGTGTTTCTGTTTTCCGTCTAGTACAATTGTGTATAGAGAGTTTCAGTCCCCGTGTGATACCAAGACTAGCCATAACGGAGACTGTTGAATTGTCATCAGATTAGTGAAATTAGTACCAGCAGATAGAAGACCGATCATGTTGTTTCTCTCTAAATGATCAACGATACGTCTGAACAAATTACACTGATTTGATGAATATTTCCTTATATCATTATTCCTTTCTAGCATACGATCAGCAGAGTTACTGCCCTTTATTATAAACTGTTGAAAAAGAGCGATTAATTTTGAATCAAAAAACTTTTCAGCACTTCAGAAATTAAAAAAAATGTAAAAATGTTTATTTGAAACGTCAATTTCTGGCTTCCTTTTATAATTTTCAATTGTTAATTCACTGCAAATTATGCAATTTGACTAGTAAAAAATGAGTGAAAATATCAAATTTTGTTATTATTATTTAAATTCCTCTGTAAAACCATAAATAAATGACTAAAAAATGTCATGTGACAGCATACAAATGAACATTCTTGGCCCCCATCAGCTGTTTAACTTATCGCTATACCATCAGACAGTGAAATGATGGGCAGTAACTCTGGGAGACTAGAATGTGACAGGAATTGGTGGTAGGTATAAAGTCCCAACTATATACATCAAACTTACGTATTATTCCATGAAACACAGAACATCTGAAGGTAATTTATCTTTCTTTTATTCACCATATTTCCAGGGAAATATTTACAATTGCAAATCTATCATAATGCTTCTTATCTTCCATTTTCACTTCAACCTCACAAAGAATCCAGGCTTGCAGAATACACCTGGGAAACATTATCACTGAGATGGGGGGAAAAAAGAAATGAAAATAATGTCATTCATTAAAGCGCATAATTATTCTCATAATCAACCCATAAATAACAAAATAATGAAATGAACATCTACACGTTTTTCCAAATATACAAACATTCCAGCTTAAAAATATGTTAGTGAATGTCTAATTCTGATTTTGAAAAACTATGCCAATATCTTTAAAGCTTCATCTGAACAAAAAAAAAACACAAAAAAACCCACAAGATTTGAAAATTTCATTTGAGGTGTTTTATCACTGCAGTTTGAACAAAGGCTCCATTCATTTCTGCGACTTGACAGAAAACAGATTGTTATAATAAAAAGTTGAGAGGTTGAACATTATATATCCTGTTTCTCTCCCAAGTCATCCACACCGATCAATGTTACACCTCGTACACTTATATATAGAACTTTCAACAGCCTGGTTCACTCACTATATTCACAATAACTCCATAAATTTCTCTTTTTGATACATGATGGTTTACAAAAGGACCCAGTTATAATAAAGATGTACAAGTTTTGTACACATACATACACACCAACAGACCAGAATTACTCTCGAGATGATTGGCATCTTCTGCACCATTTACAAATATATTACTCTATAAAAGTCAGTGTTCTTTAAGAAATGGGGTTAAATCAAATTTCTTACAAACCGAAATCAAGCACTTATAGTTTCAGGACACAATTAGAAAAAATGTTTAATTATTTGTATTATATTTATACTGATGTAAGATATGATGTAAAGCTGATGACACAAAAAGTACACTATTTAAAATCTCACAAATCTGAATAATTTTTATCAAATAGCTAAATACAACATCATTATACAGGCAGATTTTAATAGCAGCACTGACGACCTGCTTGGTCTCATTCAAAATCTCGGTTCAAGATACAATCATTCATCCTTATCAAAGAATATAATTAAAACATTCAAATCTCTCACTCTCTCATGCAAAATCACCATACTGACTAAGTCTAATTGATAAATCAACAAACACCTATTCAAGGACAAATATTGATGGAATATTACACTTCCTTCCACATATTTCTAAAATGCATATTCTAGTGTTTTTGCCATAAAAATATACCTTATTTTTTCCACACAAAATTGTATTTCGAAAGTTATTCATGCAGTTTGGCAAACACATGAATAGCTATTGAGTTGAAAATTTCATTTATAAATAATTCTAGTATATTCTGATAATAATATGACTGAAATTAATTGATGCAAACATCAATTTACCACAAAATAAATTCTATACTAAATGGTTTGAGTGATAGCAAGCCAAAATAAAAACTGACATGGGACTAACCAAAAGAAACCGGATTAATGTAACTTGTATGCTTTAAAATAAGTATTGAATTGTTTGAATGCCTCCAGAGGTATTACTGATAATATTTCTGGAATTAATTCTTTTTGCAAAATTAAATCTGCAAAATAAAGTGGCAAACTTCACACACTTTTTTACTTAAACAGGAAAACAAATTCTTTAAAAGACTTTTCAATCAATATATCAATCCGTTTTAATAGCAAATTATCAACAAGGTCAATGGATGACATGCATATTTGGAGGATGCTATAGATGTTTTTGTCAAAGACCAATTTGGTAGGGAATGACTTCCCATTAAAAAAGTTCAATCACTGCAAAAAATTTATCTTTACTGGTTTTTTGAAAGTTATGGAAGATTATCCTTATTATTTAATACCCTTAAAACTATATCCGAAAATAAATAACAAAATGTTATCTTCGTGATGAGTGGAAATGCTCACCCAAAAGGATTATGGATAATTGTTTAATTCTAGACAACATTCCCACTCATTCAATAAGTTTCTTGGCCTTGAAATAACGTCGTAGGTACAGCACTTGCCATGTGGCCAATCCAAGGAGACAACACATGGAGAAAATACTAAAGTACATCACACGTGAGTGGGTAGACTCTGAAACAGGAAAAGGCAACAAGTTAGAGTAACAGATTTGTGCTCCTCCTGGACACCGGTAAAGAGATATTCTATTACCTACAAATGCAGTCTTCCTTGAAGAAATCAAAAGGTGTTCATTTGTCTAAACACAAATTCATGTGGAAATTGTTTTGAGTTAAAGAAATCTAAGAGCAACAATTTTATTTTAGTTACAAATCTTTTATCACATTTGTAGAGCATGTATCCTACACATTTAGTCACAATTTTTCTGAACTAATCGAGGGCTATATAACATTCTATATGCTTTAACACTTACCATTTGTATCTCTCATTTCCTTCTCTCGTTCTTTCATATATTCAAAATCATCAACTATGGATTTTGAGAGATCCTCCAGTCTCCTCAGCTCTACTTCCAGAGGTTTCAGTTTTTCAGCCTTTGCTAGCTGCAAGTAGAATTTGTAAAATAGAAATCAGTAATTCAATGTTTTCTGCTACACAGTAAAGTCAGAAAATTTCTATTACGGTAAATTGTCTCCATGATAACATTATTTCCGATATGGTTTTTAAATCATTTTGGCACTTTCAATGAGCAGTTAAATACTTTGAGCTACAGATTTTTACAAATGCAGTTAAAATTCCTTAATAATACTTTTCAAACATTCAGTGTAAAATTTCTGAGAAAAATGTTGCATCTTTCTCAATAAACGGCAGAAATCAAGCTTGAAGATTGCTATAATCATTCATCCTATTTTTATTTGAATATCTCTTAAACATTTAAATGGCATTCTAGTCATTACTCTCTCTGGTATCATTTCATTGAAGAAGAAAATTATTTTATGTTTTGATGAATTAGACCTGGTTGCCAAAGTTATCCCAACTAATGCATACAGTTTATAATGTGAAAATGTGTAAAAAATAAATAGATGTCTACAATGGTAAAATATAAGGGTATCCCAAGCCATACCAACATTCACATTATCCATGCCATTACATCAACTGTATTGTTGATACCCTGTGTATATGTAGATACCCTGTGTATGTATAGATACCCTGTGTATATGTAGATACCTGGTGTATCTGTAGATACCTGGTGTATCTGTAGATACCTGGTGTATATGTAGATACCCTGTGTATATGTAGATAACCGGTGTATATGTAGATACCTGGTGTATGTGTAGATACCCTGTGTATGTATAGATACCCTGTGTATATGTAGATACCCGGTGTATCTGTAGATACCTGGTGTATATGTAGATACCCTGTGTATATGTAGATAACCGGTGTATATGTAGATACCTGGTGTATATGTAGATACCCTGTGTGGAGATACCCGGTGTATATGTAGATACCCGGTGTATATGTAGATACCTGGTGTATATGTAGATACCAGGTGCATGTGTAGATACCCTGTGTATGTATAGATACCTTGTGTATATGTAGATACCCTGTGTATATGTAGATACCCTGTGTATATGTAGATACCTGGTGTATATGGAGATACCTTGTGTATATATAGATACCTGGTGTATATGTAGATACCTGGTGTATATGTAGATACCCTGTGTATATGTAGATACCCTGTGTGTAGATACCCATTGTATATGTAGATACCTGGTGTATATGTAGATACCCTGTGTATATATAGATACCCTGTGTATATGTAGATACTCTGTGTGTAGATACCCGTTGTATATGTAGATACCCTGTGTATATGTAGATAACCTGTGTATATGTAGATACCCGTTGTATATGTAGATAACCTGTGTATATGTAGATACCCGTTGTATATGTAGATACCTGGTGTATATGTAGATACTCAGTGTGTAGATACCCGTTGTATATGTAGATACCTGGTGTATATGTAGATACCTGGTGTATATGTAGATACCCTGTGTATATGTAGATACCCGTTGTATATGTAGATAGCCTGTGTAAATGTAGATAGCCTGTGTAAATGTAGATACCCTGTGTAAATGTAGATACCCTGTTGTATATGTAGATACCCTGTGTATATGTAGATACCCTGTGTGTAGATATGCAGTGTATATGTAGATACCTGGTGTATATGTAGATACCCTGTGTATATGTAGATACCTGGTGTATATGTAGATACCCTGTGTATATGTAGATACCTGGTGTATATTATAGATACCCTGTGTATATGTAGATACCCTGTGTATATGATAACTAAAACATACCAAATGTTGAATGTTAGGGCTTGAAATCATGAGCAAAACACAACATTTGTTTTGTTGAACTTAATTTTTTTCAGTTATGTTCATATACACAGGTATACATACAGGAAGGTAATAAATATAACAGGGTCAAATAAAACCTCTCCTTTAAGGTTAGCAGATTCCATGGATCCCTATTGGATGACAAAACAGCAGTCAGAGGTATATGTGGTGCTGTTGTAAGACCATCCCATTGTAAGCTGTACTCACATCATCATAACTTTTGGCCTCGATTCCGTGCTTCATATCCAGTGTCACCTCTCTGTCCCCACCATGTCCACCTGTAAATCCAAAGTGTTTTCATGTCAATTGTTCATACATCAGTTATACAGAACTTCAGGCCTTCATACAAAAATATCTTTCTGTTTTTTCATGTATGCAACGAATCTGATCGGCTAAAATTATGCAACATCACAGAACACTGTAAAAGCATACAATATACCGGTAATGCTGTAATGTATCATTGTCAGAGAGCAATTTGATGGAAAAACATGTGATTAGATGTAGACCAATCATTTTCTTATACAAAGTCATGAGTCTCACCTCCAACCATCTTTGTCTGGAAGCAAACTTCAAACATATCATATTCTTCTGTTGTAAAGGCAAACTTTCCTTTCTTAGCATCATCTTTAGTATAGAGTATGTGGCCCTTGGAGTCTGTAACCTGGAAAACAAATGGTAACAACATTTATGATTTATAACAAAATGTGTTTGTAACAATGGTTAAGATTTACAACAAATGTGTTTCACAAGCATATTCATGTACCCATTTATGATTTATAACAAAATGTGTTTGTAACAATGGTTAAGATTTACAACAAATGTGTTTCACATATTCATGTACCTTAAAAGTTTAATCCAACTTATATACATACTATTCAGGAATACAGATAAGAACATATAACAATATGAAAAAAAAAAACATTGGGAAGAGTTGATTTCAGTTTTGAGGACCTTGGGCACCTGGCTTTGTTCATGATTTTGTTAAACAAAAGCTATTGATGGCTATTGAATAAATACTTAAATTAGTCTTATGCCTTCAGAAGAGCCTAAATTTCTCAATGTTGTTTACATGCCTTTTCATGTCTCTTCCTGACAAGCAACTCATTCCTGGGACACTTTAAACTTTAAAATTGCAGTTCTTATTGCTTAATTAGGAAAAAAGTCACATGACAGAAAAAACTACAACAAACAAATATCTCAAAATCAAATGCTAGCACCATTTATCTTAAATATTAGAATTTTTCTTTGAACCCCAACAGTTTAAACTGAAATCTTTTTCAATAAGGTATTGTATTATCAGTGTGGCTTAGACAAAAGCAAAACCGAAGTTGAAAGAATGTCAAAACTAATGGAACTTATTTTTCATCGGGTACAAATGAGCAAAGAACTAGATCTATAGGCACAAAAACTGAATTTCTCAACTAATACTGACATTCAAAAAGCTGATAAAGAAACACGCAAAACATCAAACAAGCATCATTAATATCTGAATAATTCTTTAAAGCATGATTAAAAAAGTCTGTATTTTTACACTTTTAAATGACCTAGTTGAGATTTTTTATTGCTATTCAAATCATAACATATGAGCTGAGATCTATGTCTCTCTCTCTCTCTTATTTTGATATGAGTACCTGTATGGACAACTCTGAACATCTGTCTCAACAGGTCAAATAATGATGATGTGTCACCTATAAATCTAATGTTTTTAACCGAAGTAGCCACTTTACACACTAATATCATAATTAACCAGGGCTATGACAACAGTCTCTCTAATAATTCTATAAATCTTATCACGAGTAATAAAATTACATAAAATACACATGCTTTTTCATGTTATGCCTTTTAAGGGGGAGCTACTTTTGTGTTCACTGTTACTCATTGAACCGGTATCATTGACGATTCAACTGAACACGTGCATCAAACATAGGACAAAGATGGATTTGGCCATACAGTTGAACAAACAGGCATACATATTCAGTCTATATATCATTAAATCATCGAGTCATCCCTTAAAACAATGATCGTTCAACGCAACAGTCTGTAGTTTCGTGTTTACCGTGAGTGTTGCTTTCTGACCCGGTGCGTCTGACAGTTCATAATCGCCGGTCACTAACACATCCTTGTGGATCTCCTCTCGTAAACATTTTTTCGCATTTGCAGGCAAATGGAACATTAAACAGTCAATTGAAGCAAAGCAAAGGAAAGTCAAAACACAAGTTATCTGAGTTAGATCCATGTTCATTGCTGTTTTCTGTGGCCAGCTTTAGTAACGCACGTTTGTTAACGTGGCATTCGGTAAACTCCGGCAGCTGTCGGCATCGTATCCGGTTGCTACGGAGAAAATAAAAATTAATTCGAATTGTTTTAATGATAGGTAAAACACATGCATCACGAGTAAAAAGTAGTTCTATAGACAGATGTCACAATAAAGTAATTTATATTACATTTCCATTAATTGATATTATGACCGTTCGGAGAAAATGGATAAGCAGAGTCTCTTCTGTGTTTGTATCCGAGGTAACTTAGGAAGGAGCCCATCGAGAGACAAATTGACAAGGAAAAGTATGGCACGCAAGAGGTTAGCGAAGTGAGTAACTTATGATATGTTTACGTTTTGTCACATAATTCTCATCACATGGCATGTTGACGCTATTGTGCAACGTTGAAATCACCATCAACAACCATTTTGTGACGTAGATGAGTATATGCCATGAATGCAGTCGGACTGTGATTCGCACCCAAACGTAGCATGTACCATCACAATCCTCGCCTGTCAATACACTCATACACATACACACACACACACACACACACACACACACACACACATATATATATATATATATCAGCCGTGCCTACCTAACCTACATTACAGGATGTCATGACGTTTCGAACCCACCCGGTTTTCACCAAGTCGTTTTGCCCCAGTTTCCCACCAATCTGTACACCAATAGGCCCTACAAAGACAATACCGACCTATATCTTTATATATATATATCTTTGTCACGGATTATAGTTAGAATTCCTCCCTTATATTAAAAGACCAAATATTTATAACGCTAACAAGCCATTTAGGCAATGTTTTACATAGTTTATAACTGCATGATAGTTATAAATCATTGAAAGATGGAAAGCTAGTTTACCTTCCAGCATATTTACATTGGCTACCACTATGTAGAATCCCTTTAGAGTTGTAATTCACAATCACATGTCTAGAGAGATTCTGCATAGTGCTGGTCATTGTAAGTACGCCAGAGTGTACAGATGTCATAAAGTTTTGTTTTTTTTTTTGTACAGGGAGGAATTCGGACAATCCTCTGTAACAAAGAGAAAAACAAAATCATTAATAGATAGCCAGAACCCTTTTGGCCTACCAAAGGGGCATAATACAATCAGTTTCAGGATCATTTGATATGGAAACACATAAAGATCACAAGTTGAATTGATTTGAAACTTAAGTACATTGTGTGGTATGGCTATTCTGTGAGCTGTCAATGTTATTTTTATATTTCAGATATACAGTGGTCTTGCTCGAGAGCTTAGCAGGAACTGGTCATCAACGGGTATTGGTGAGAATGAGGGAAGCTGAAAAAGTAGAACGAATCATGAAAGATCCCATCGGTATGTTTGAAGTACATAAGTGTATTTTGATCAGTTTCTATGCAAAAAACGTAATTCCATCAGGCTCGCTGAGGTGCATATCAAAATATAAACAATAATAACAATAACATTTACCATGAATCAGTGGCTGGTATTGGCTTGAAAATTATGCAATGTTACATTATTGAAATTAAAAATGATCACTTGTTACATGTTCTTGAAATCTAGATAGCTTTTGAAGTCCAGTACATAATTCATCACAAACTTTGGTGAGCAAATGTGAATACATTAATACTGCTCTTAGTTGTAAAAATTGTTTTGGTAACGACCAAAGTGTCCTGTGTTAGCTGAAGAACAGATCAGCGACTCAGGTTCATTGCACCTCTTATTAAAAAGAAAACTTTTATTTTAATTCATTGATTTTTTGTTTTCTGAAATTTGGTTTTATTTTTTTTGAACAGTTGGACAAGATGTCTTATATAAAGAAATAAAGAAAATCCGCAGTGTGAAGGTACCACGAAGAATATGATCTTGACAACATTTAACATTGAGATGAGAGAATGGTGTAATGGATGAAAGATACATTATTGCAGGCAATTGAGGACCCGAAACGTCGAAGAAGTGCTGTGTGAATTTTAAAGAATGTGCAGTGTCTTTACTAGTATTATGAATTGGTCAGCCTTGAAAAATCCTCCATTTTATCTGATGTTGACAGAGACTTTGCCTAAATTTAAAAGTACAAGGTAGTAATTTGTAAAACAGTTGACCAATTTATATGAACTTGTAGTGGCAAATGTATCATCTGAGAGGCATTTTTCGAGGTGTTGTGTGTCAATTGTGAATATTATTCTGAAAAGGTGCACATTAGTGATATTTCTGCCCTATGGTTAAATTGTACATTTCCTTCGTAGGCTGTGTTTGTTGTGTTGGGTCAGAATCGTTTTTGATGTTTGGTATCACAAGAAGTAATAAACATATATAAGAATAATTTAATGTGTGTTTGTGTGTTTTTTTTTTCACTATTAGTATACAATTACGATATCCGTTACAGTTTTGTTCTGTTCCTGTGAAAAAACAAAAACAAAAAAGGGAATATAAATATCAAAATAAAGTAGGGGATAGAAGGTATCTTGTACTGACTCATATTGATCAGTCCAAAATAATTTATTCTTAAAGGTACAAAACATTTACATTTGTGCTCTTAGATTTCTTTTGGAAATTGATATTCCAGTCTATACCAAACTATTTACCAGGTATTTTGAATTAAAGAATGATGACATATAACACTGGTTTATCTGTAAATTATGGTAAATATTTGTAGTTGAGCAGAGGTAAATTATTTAAATAATGAAAGTTTGACAAATGTTTAGGTTACTGAATATTTGAACTAGATGAAAGATGAAATGCAGCCCTGAAAACACTTCCTTTTCAAGGAAACCCTGAAGTATCCATCACATGATCAGCACATGCTGTTCTGACCCCTAACATTTGTGTTTTCTGTCCTGGCAAGTAGCAGTCTGGTCTGACTTTAATGGTTTGGTATTCCAGTGTTAATTAAGGTTTTCCATGAATTCATTGAGTGTGCTGGGTGATAAAACTTTTTCAGTCAAAGTGTTCAACAAATTAACATTGTGAAAAAAGTCCTAATGACTAGCCTACATTGGCTCTTTTGTTAACTTTTTCCATGACCTTTTGTTCTTAGTTGGGTTTAATGGTGTAATTGTTGTATGTTGCATTTATCCATGGCTGATATGATATGGTACACCTCTATCATGTCCATTCAAAGTCTCCTATATTGAAGGCAAGAAAGTCTTGATTGAAGCACGGACTTGTATACAAGTATATAAGTCCGTGATTGAAGTAGGCTTTCTGTGTACGATTTTTGTTAACAGCTTTATCTAGTTTTGCTGCTCATCTTTGAACATATGTTGAATTTTAGAACATTAATCTCATTGTTAAGTTTTTCGGTCAGTATCCCCAAGCTTCCATTTTTTTTCTCTCCCCAGCCAAAAATCTTAATATCAAACTTCAAATATCCTACACGCCAAATGTATCCACCCTTTTAAATAAACCCGTATAAGACACTTGCAAACCCAAGTGGCGGGGAAAAAAGTGTTTTTTCTTTTAATTTTAGAGACGTTTGTAAATGAATAAATGTAATTTGTATTTTAACAATATCAGGAGCCGGAATTTCACAAGGGTATATCTTTTACCATATAAAAACTTTTATATAATTTTTTTCGTCTTCTGTGTTGTTTTGGGGTGTTTGGGGGGGTAATTTTGGATGTTTTTGAGTAATTCGTTCCGTATTTTCATTAAAATAAACAAACTAGGTAGAAAGAAAAAAGGAGAGGCGAGCGCAGGGAGTTGGTTAAGCGGGCGCATGGCTTCGTTCAAATGCTTTTGATTTGAAGCGCGTTGAGCACTATGAACTACTTATAATCAAGCGTGTGTGCGACGCTGTTTGTAAATAAAGTTTCACCATTTGCGTTGTTGCCTTGAGTGATGTAAGAGAACTCGGCCTTCTGAAGTGGGCCTTCCTCGTTGACTTATAAATACTTAGATGATGCCATCAGTCTAAACAAGAAGATCAAAATCTGCGATTTTTTTTCACTGGATCAGCTGTCGACCAGATCTTTAATTGATGTGATTTGGTTGTAAAGTGTACAGACAGGTCGGTGTGAGCGCACGACACTGCCCCATCGTGGTCAACTGTCACGGGGACTGTTATACTGTTCCAGTGTAATATCGAAATGGCGTCAAGTTCGAAAGACGGTAAATATCTAAGCAGGAAATAATAAAATACATCTGCATTTAAACAAAAAGCGGGACTGTGCAGGGCAAGAAATAAAGATAGGACAATCTGCTGAAAATGCATGTGTGTATAAAAAATGACAATGTATGTGCAGCATGTGCTCTATAGCTTATCGTTTGCATGTAACATTAATTTATCTTAGTGACATTTTTAAAGGAAATGCATCCAGATTAATATTAAAACTGTATTGGCCTACTTATCAGGATTGATTGACGCTATGTTTAAATGAACAAATGTTATAATCTATATAACCTGCAGGTTATTAATAAACTCGTGACTGTTATATAATGCAGTGTTGCTGTATCCAAGGTTTCTGAGCTAGAACTACTTGTTTCTCAAAAAATAATTTCCTTCATCAACCTTGCATAATAACTTTTGCATGGTGGGATTTCCATATGATTTTGTTACACTGAAGTGAAGGGGATTGTGAAGGATGAAACCAGGGACGTATTCTGTATTATCTGTGTTATACGTCCTTGATGAAATGGACAATATGTCATTGTATATATTTCTTTGTGAACTCAGTTTTGCCTTACAATGATTCTTTGAGATTTACTGGGCAAGATCTAGAGAGATCAGATGAATTGATGTTACTATGCCTTCTATAGTGCATGTCTGACTGGTCTACTTTTAAACAATATGTCCTAAAAGACATGGTTACTATATTAACAGAATTCTACATATTAAAGATAGAAAAAATAGAAACTGCACTTTAATTAAATAGTAAAGCATGGTCCGGACTTGGTTCAAATATGATTTAGACATTGCCACAAGGCCACCATGACTGCCATCTTGACACTATTGTTATCACTATCACTCCAGAACAAAAAGTCATGAAGATGGTGCTGCATTAGATTTAGAGCCTTAGCATGTTCCAGATGGATGTGATGGCAGCCATGGCTTTGAAAATCTTGATAAATGACACCATCAGAGGATCAGTTCTGCCAAAAATAGTCTGGCTTATGTTGCCATGGCCATTATTACTTCTTTGGTTTCATATGTGTGCTGTATAACTTGCATACTTATGTTGTTTGCAGGTATAATTACTATTGGAGCACCACATTCTCATTCTCTTTTAAGCCTTTTACAGGCAGTCAAGCATGTTATTTATTTTAGCCTTTTCAGGTCACATCTTACTGTGCAGTCTCCCAGATTTTTTTTTACAGAAAATCTGTCTTATGACATCTATCACATGCATGGTGATAGTTGGATGAGGGGGTGGGGTGGAGGATGGATGAGGGATTTTATAAGAAATAGCTTTGTTGTTATAGGGATAACTTCTAACATAAACAAAGAGAAATCTAAAATTGCCCAGATATCATTAACATGCAGTAGTGATTGTTACTACCCTGTGCATCTTTAGAATCTCAGGAAAGCACCTTGAGGTAGCTCTGAAGAGTACATTGTGTGTCTGTCAAATTCTGGAGAGTATCTCTGGAAAGTACTGTAAGATTTCTTTGTCTGTACTTTATGTATCTTGGAAGAGTAGTACCTTGTTTGTTCTGAGTACTACCTTGTGGGTGGCTGGAAAGTACTTAGGTGTGCCACTGGAGAGTACTGGTACTGGAATGTATCCTGGAAAGTATGTGGATGTACCTCGAGAAAGTATTCTGGTGTTTCACTACAGAGTACCAGCAGGGTGTATCTCTGGGAATTACCTAGATGTACCTCTGGAAAGTTCATGGAATATACATTGTATCTCTAGAGATCACCTGGAGTATCTTGATGTACCAGTTTATCTTAAATATATTTTAGAGTATATTGATTTGGAGTACCTGCCTCTTCCTGGTCTATTCGGGGAGAGTATCTTGGTATATGTAGGAGTATTTTGTGAATGTTTAGAAAGAACACTGATGCATCTGGAAAATTTTATCTGGCATCTTAATATTATATCTAGAGGGTACTTTCTTACATGTATGAAATACCTAGTTTTATCTGAAGTTTTCTGTAGTGTATCTGGAGAATACCATGGTGTATCTGGAGAATACCATGGTGTATCTGGAGACTACCTTGGGGTATCTGGAGAATACCTTGGTGTATCTGGAGAATACCATGGTGTATCTGGAGAATACCATGGTGTATCTGGAGAATACCTTGGTGTATCTGGAGAATACCATTGTGTATCTGGAGACTACCTTGGTGTATCTGGAGAATACCTTGGGGTATGTATCTGGAGAATACCATTGTGTATCTGGAGAATACCTTGGGGTATCTGGAGAATACCATTGTGTATCTGGAGAATACCATTGTGTATCTGGAGAATACCATTGTGTATCTGGAGATTGTATCTGTACCATGGTGTATCTGGAGAATACCTTGGTGTATCTGGAGAATACCATGGTGTATCTAGAGAATACCTTGGTGTATCTGGAGAATACCATTGTGTATCTGGAGAATACCATTGTGTATCTGGAGAATACCTTGGTGTATCTGGAGAATACCATTGTGTATCTGGAGAATACCATTGTGTATCTGGAGAATACCATTGTGTATCTGGAGAATACCTTGGGGTATGTATCTGGAGAATACCTTGGGGTATGTATCTGGAGAATACCTTGGAGTATCTGGAGAATACCATTGTGTATCTGGAGAATACCTTGGTGTATCTGGAGAATACCATGGTGTATCTGGAGAATACCTTGGTGTATCTGGAGAATACCATGGTGTATCTGGAGAATACCATTGTGTATCTGGAGAATACCATTGTGTATCTGGAGAATACCTTGGTGTATCTGGAGAATACCATGGTGTATCTGGAGAATACCATGGTGTATCTGGAGAATACCTTGGGGTATGTATCTGGAGAATACCATGGTGTATCTGGAGAATACCTTGGTGTATCTAGAGAATACCTTGGTATCTAGATGTTTACTCTAGTATATCTGATAGGTATCTGGGTATGTTTATAGAAACACATGGACATCTGGAGATTTCTCTTGTTATATGGATGGAGAATACCCAGTTGAAAGTAAACAATGCCCTGGGGCTTTAGAGTACTTGTCATGTACCCAAATGATACATGTGCATACACGAGGAACACCCAGTCACATCTCTTTGGTGTTACCTTCATGTATCTAGGGAGTGTGTGTATTATGGTTCAGTATTTATAGGATTCCTCGTATTTTATAGTTTGGGATATATTTTGTGGAAATTAAACTTTTAACCAACAAAGTGTATCTGAGGAAAGTGATGCATGTACATGTATTATGGCCTTTGGAAATTTTGAGGAAATTTAACCAAATAACAAATGTGTATCTCAAGAAAGATACATTATTGTTTTGAGAGTACATTTTGTCAAAATTTAACTGATAACCAACAATATGTATCTCAGGAAAGTTATGGTTTTTGGAATACATTAGTGGATTTTTTTACACGTAACCCAAGTGTATCTTACAATACATGCATGTATTTTGAATATTTAGCCAAATTACATTTAATTACACGTAGTTGTTTTTTCCCCTCTCTGTTTGAATGTTGCATGCAATAGTTTTATTATGTTACAGATGTGGATAAAAAACAAACAAAACGGATCTCCTTTGGTGATGTGCATACATTAGAATATGGTATGTTAGAGTTCTGATTGAGTTTTGTGAGCACTCTTTTAACCTGAGTTCATCAAATTTTCATTAACATTTTGTAAACTTCTTGTTGATTTTATCAAAGTGAGAAGAACTTGCACCTTTCCTTAATGTCTGTTGTCTGTAATTAATTAGAACTTCAGTTGAAATTAATATTCATACCTCTGGAACATATACATGTACTAGTAGGTAGGTTTGAAGGATGAGGTCCTGATCTATGGGAAGGTCGGAACCTGGTCCTCGAGTCACATTTTACCATTGCTGGGTTCAAATAAACAAACATAGTCATGCTAGCATGATGGACTACAAATAGACAATGGGCTTATAACTGAATAACTTAAAAAGAATTCAAATATGTGCCAAGCTTTCATTTATATTCTTTGCTGGGCATGAAAAGCCAAACACAAGCATGCTAATATAACACATCCAGATTTTTTATTCAGTGGTGATGTATTCGCATTATAGTCAAGTAACTGTACGGTTTTACTGCAAATTGACTGGGTCAGAATTTCTTTTGGTCTTTCATAAAGATTGACATTTATATATTCTAACAAGTAAAAAAGTCCCAAAATTTACGTGGGGATGTGTTTTTTTTGGCCAAGAGAGGAACATGAAAATACGGAAAACTGCTGAGGCAGTTTTTATGTGGAAAAGCCTATCGTGTAAGACTGTATATGGGAAATCAACAGCATTCAGAGATCAATCCATGTATATTACAGATTTGCCTAAAACGTAAATAGGAATTATCACACAAGCAAGTAATTTCACCATGAATATTTGTTAAAAAATCCATTGAAATTGGCTTTAATTGCATTTGTGGGGCAGAATATTAAATTGATTGATACAAATTCTAGTTTAGTATAAATAAATTAATGTATGGCATGTATATTTAAGTTTTTTAAATGGGAGATCTTCCATTCAGTTTTGCCCTATGAAATGAATGTTCAAAGTTGACCTTGGGGTTAATTTCTTAGCTGTTTTTAAGAACAAATTGAACAATTTCATAAATTATTTTATGAAAATCTTAAGAATATCTTGATAGTGTACTTAATTATAATATAATTTATATACTACACAAGTGACACTTACTATTTTTATTAAGGTAATTGGAATGGATGAACCCAAGTTGATAAAATCATCACCTTGTGCCAGGATACATTTTTAGTGTTTTATTGGATGGCTAAATCTTTCAACAGGAATTACAACCATAACATGGTCTTCTCAATGAAGCAAACAATTTTTTACCTCCCGAAAGTTCAGAAGGGAAATACATAATTCTAATTCAAATTAAGAATTTTAATCAGCGCATAGAAATAGGACAAGTCGGGGAGACTAAAATGTTGAAACCAAACAACCAGTCAACCAACAAACCAAAAGTTGTAGGAGTATTTAACATCAGAATTATTTCGCGAAATCATTTGTTAATTTGAAAAAAGCTGTTTGAAAACAATAAAAAATGTCAATGTTGAGGTAAAATTGCATGGGATAAAATTTTGAGCATCAGAGCTTTAAATTGTATAAGCATTTTGTCAACATCAATATGTTCAATAAGGGGTGCACATATACACAAATGGACATCAAGGCTTTTTATGTACTTGTTATTTTTCAAATCACAGGTTGCAGAAATACAAATATTGAAATATTGTTTGATTTCCACGAAGAATAACACCAGATGAACACAACTGGCTAGATTTAATGGTTAATATTTTCTGTGTTGTATTTTAGTCGGTATTGCTATTCTGTTTACTTTATTCACCTATTGCTGCACATGAGGAAGATATCTTAAGTCAAATGTAGTTAAATATTTTTTTCTTATTTTCCTAACTTTTAAAACTCAAGAGCATGTTTTCCCAAAGTTTGATTTTTAGGGACTTTTTCAACTGGTTATTTTTTATACTGATAACTACCATCCAAAAATCAATATTTTTCCAGTAAAATGACTGGAGTTGTATTTATTTCTATAAGAACAGTATATGTCTAGGTTAGTGATGCAGGTTCTCTCTTCTTCTCTAAATCACCAACTGGCATTGTGTATTTGACAAAGTGCCAGCATAGCTTCTATGAAATCCTTGTATACTTACAAATAAATTGCTGTTATTTATTTAGGGTAACGCTATTACATTAAAGGATACTTACAGAAAATTTGCTGTTAATCCTATTTAGGGTTATGCTATTATATTTAAGTATACTTACAAAAAATTTGCTGTTAACCATATTTAAGTTAATGCTAGTAGGCTGTGCCATATTGATTGGCATCTCAGACAAAGACAGATTAATGGACATATAAGTGTTATTGAGTATGCTGATGCTGCATCTTATCTGCTTCATTAAGAGTGAAAACTCTGTTCTTCCTTTTTAATGTGTCATTTTGATAATAAGTTCTTTTTTAGTCACTGTGATATGTGAAAGACACTTGGTTTTTAATTTCATATTTTAAATTGATGTTTTTATCTTTGTAAAATGCAATGATGCCAAAAATACTTGTTTTTAAATTGTAGTATATTATGACATGAAAAAATAGGAATTTAAACTTAAAATGTGTTGTATTTTTTTAATAGATATATTGATAAATTTTGAGTGCATGTATAATTAATCTGAGATGTATCTGTAGTCACCTGTTCTTAACGAGCAGATGTTTACCTGTTGTTGTAGTCTACACCTAGTCTCACTTACCCAACAAAACATCTGGACATTTCAATACTATAAAAAGTTGGCTAAGTGGGATAACATTGTACTGCTTACCTTACTACAGATGTAAGAGTATAAATTATGGGTTGTTTGACATGGCCACAGCAGGTGTAGGAGTATAAATTATGGGTTGTTTGACATGGCCACAGCAGGTGTAGGAGTATAAATTATGGGTTGTTTGACATGGCCACTACAGATGTAAGAGTATAAATTATGGGTTGTTTGACATGGCCACTACAGATGTAAGAGTATAAATTATGGGTTGTTTGACATGGCCACTACAGATGTAAGAGTATAAATTATGGGTTGTTTGACATGGCCACAGCAGGTGTAGGAGTATAAATTATGGGTTGTTTGACATGGCCACAGCAGGTGTAGGAGTATAAATTAGGGGTTGTTTGACATGGCCACTACAGATGTAAGAGTATAAATTATGGGTTGTTTGACATGGCCACAGCAGGTGTAGGAGTATAAATTATGGGTTGTTTGACATGGCCACTACAGATGTAAGAGTATAAATTATGGGTTGTTTGAAATGGCCACAGCAGGTGTAGGAGTATAAATTAGGGGTTGTTTGACATGGCCACTACAGAAGTAAGAGTATAAATAATGGGTTGTTTGACATGGCCACAGCAGGTGTAGGAGTATAAATTATGGGTTGTTTGACATGGCCACTACAGATGTAAGAGTATAAATAATGGGTTGTTTGACATGGCCACTACAGATGTAAGAGTATAAATTATGGGTTGTTTGACATGGCCACAGCAGGTGTAGGAGTATAAATTATGGGTTGTTTGACATGGCCACTACAGAAGTAAGAGTATAAATAATGGGTTGTTTGACATGGCCACTACAGAAGCATCTTTAACAATATAGCTGGTTATTTACAGTTGGATGTAATTTTTATGATTGCAAAATACAGTGTACATTATGCTACTTCAGGAGTATACATTTAAGTAGGCTTGGGTTACTACAGAGAACACCTGCTTTAAGACTACAAGTTTACTATGGCTGCTAGAGGGTACCTTGATTAAGAATATATTGCTAACTCTGCCATGGAGCTTTTGTTGCTGGACTCAGATTTATACAATCCCTTCTGAGCACTGTTCAGCATATAACATCAGTGTGAAATGTTTGATAAATCTTGTTTTTTCTTTTTCTTTTTTATGAAAGTAAACCTTGTTGTACTCCTTACAGTGTCTGCATAAAGGTTTGGTGTCATATGCCACCAAGTAAAACACCCAACTTAATGATAACCTAACAAAACATGCGTTTGCTTTGCCACCTAAAGCATTGTTTACATGTGGATCGAAATGTACCGATTAAACATAACAAAACATGCGTTTGCTTTGCCACCTAAAGCATTGTTTACATGTGGATCGAAATGTACCGATTAACCATAACAAAACATGCGTTTGCTTTGCCACCTAAAGCATTGTTTACATGTGGATCGAAATGTACCGATTAAACATAACAAAACATGCGTTTGCTTTGCCACCTAAAGCATTGTTTACATGTGGATCGAAATGTACCGATTAACCATACATATAATCATACTGTATTTAAAAATGCTGAAAGATGCTTGTGGAATGGTTTTAAGTGGTATACAATACAGCCAATTAGCTGTGTGTTTAAATGTCGGCCATTCTGTAATATCTTGGTTAATGCAGCATCTGAACCAAACCGGACATGTTGATGAGTATCCCAGGTCTGGCAGACAGGGACAGTGTTTTTAAACAGCATACCACCAGAACCACATTACGGGCACAACAGCATTTAGTGATAAAGGTGTTACTATTTGGGAATATTTTTCTCTAACCATTTACTTGCTAGCAATGGAACTAATTGCTATAAATGCCCACTTAAGATATAACTTCCCACATCAGCTTTAACTTCCCACATCAGCTAAAACTTCCCACATCAGCTATATCTTTCCACATCAGTTATAACTTCCCACATCAGCTATAACTTCCCACATCATCTATAACTTCCCACATCAACTTTAACTTCCCACATCATCTATAACTTCCCACATCAGCTATAACTTCCCACATCAGCTATATCTTTCCACATCAGTTATAACTTCCCACATCAACTATAACTTCCCACATCAGCTTTAACTTCCCACATTAGCTATAACTTCCCACATCATCTATAACTTCCCACATCAGCTATAACTTCCCACATCATCTATAACTTCCCACATCATCTATAACTTCCCACATCAGCTATAACTTCCCACATCAGCTATAAGTTCCCACATCAGCTATATCTTTCTACATCATCTATAACTTCCCACATCAGCTATAACTTCCCACATCAGCTATAAGTTCCCACATCAGCTATATCTTTCTACATCAGCTGAAGCTTCCCACTTCAGGTATAACTTCCCATATCAGCTGAAACTTCCCATTTCAGGTATAACTTCCCACATCAGCTGAAACTTCTCACATAAGGTATTACTTCACACACCATTTTTTTACTTTCCACATTATGTATAACTTCCTTTTCAGTTAAAACTTCCCATACAGGTATGAGTTCCCATTTCATGTTTAGCTTCCCATATCAGTAAAAATTTCTCATATCAGTTAAAATTTCTCATATCAGTTACAACTTCCCATTTCAATTACTACTTCCCATTTCAGGTACTACTTCCCATTTCAATTATTACTTCCCATTTCAGGTACTACTTCCCATTTATATTCATACATTATGTTTAACTTCCCATATATTTATAATATGGGTTAAATCATGACAATTGCTAACATTACATACATTTTATGAGTATTACAGAATGAGAATTTTCAATAATTTGATTGGAATATAAGATAAGTTTTAAAAGTGTATGGAAACAACAGTACAGAATTCTCAGAGAGTGCTAAGGCAACGATCATTTTATAATCGCGGAAATCTGAGGGCAAATTTATTAGTATGGTTATTGTGGTCAAGGTACTAGCCACCAAAATGATCACTCCCGAAGGAAATGTTTACTTTTCCAGAGGCTCTCTATGTATTTAAAGTTATGATTTTGAAAATGGTGGCAATGAACAAAGGACGTAACAAGGTTTTAATTCACACAGTTTACCTTAAATGTACTCATCATCACTAAGTATTTGTCTGTTGTTGGAATGAATGATTTCACCAACACAAACTTTGGTATAAGTTGATTTGATATTTCAAAATTATTTGCATTATCAGGAAAATTCAGGATTCTCAATGGACTGCTTAACACGCTGAATCTGCTATAGCTTATAGAGCCATGCATTAGTGTTGCAGCTGTTTAAAATAGGTCACCTGTCTTGTCTGAATTGTAATGTTCATGTTAAATACCTCTGTAATTAGAAAACACATCAATGATTTATACTCGAAAGAATCTCATCAGTATCATACAGAATGGAAGGCTAAATTTCATAGTTTACAGGATAACAACACCTTAATGTTTGGCATTAGAAACTGGAACAGAACAAGCCTTTATGATAAATTACTGATGTAATTTGTTTCTTGTGATGTAAGTTAGGCAGATCAATTTGATGGATTTGGTCACTTTATGTGAAATGATTTAGTATCTATAGAATACAACTATTGATGATAATTATAATGTTACACCATTTCTTCTTAGAGCCAACTGAAGTGGAAGAAAAACAAGAGAAAGACAAAGATTGTCCAGAAGAATCGGAGCAGGTATGTTTTCATTTCTGGTTGAATTTTTTTTGTAAGTACATAAATATCAACATGAAAATCCAAATTATCTGTCATTTCACAAGGTCTCAGTGATCTGTTGGTTTAAGGGATGAAAAGTCACAAATCAACCAATTTAAAATGAAAAACTTGACATTATATTTAACCTTTTAACATACTAGTATATCTTGGATTTTCCTGTTTCCTCTTCTGTTATATTGTTCTTTAAATCAACCTCATTTACTACATTACATGACTGTATTTTTAAAATTATTTTCAGGAAGTTCAAGAACGTAAGTACAGCTATTATTACCTGATTTTACCCATTATACTGTGTATCAGAACCCATTCTTTTGTCATTGCTTTAAGCCACTGTTTACAGATTATCCTTGTTATCTATAGTTCGTATAACTCAAAGACTCCATTTAGTTCTATTTTGTTGGTTACTGCCTAACTCTACACAAAACATTCAAACTCACTCAAATCAAAAACATAGTTATCTCACAATTTGCCCATGGTAACGCTGAGTTGGAGATAACCAGGTTCAACTGTATTTCATATTTTGTGGAAGGAATAATGTTGGTCAATCCTATGTGGACGGAGATATCATTGGTCAATCCTAAGTGGATGGAGATAGCATTGGTCAATCCTATGTGGATGGAGATAGCATTTGTCAATCTTAATTTGATTTAATTAATGGTGAAATGGAAACATGTAACTTTGCTGAATATTTTATCAATACATTTAACGATAATTTGAGATCAAGAAGACATTCATTTCTCAGCACAAGATAGTAGACCTGAGGGTAATGTTAAAATGCTTATCCCTATGTCATTTCATATCTAGTTTGAGATTGTAGGAGTTATCTCCCATTAAAATTACATTATTGTATACAAAGCTGTGAGGATGTCTTCCAGATCAATTTAGACTTGTGCAGTAAATTACATTGAAATTACCTTAAATGTATTTGTGTACTTTGTTTGGATGAAAAAAAAATCATAAAAGAAAAGAATAAGTTTTAAATATTCTGTCAAATCTTAAATGAATTATGTACCGTATAACAATATTTTTTTATATAAATGCATGGAAAAAGAGGACAGCTATCAGCAAATTAAAGATGTTATAAAGCCCCTTGATTGCCTTGTTGGAGATGTCGTGTATTGCTTTTCCAGGACGAGAATGGCTGATGGATATGATGAAACTGTCTCTGGGAATAGGTCCCACCCCAGAACAGGTGCTAGAAACCCTAGACATGGATGGTGTTGTCAACTACATCAAAAGTGGAAAGTGTAAAAAGATTATCACTATGGCTGGAGCTGGTATTTCAACATGTATGTATGACAGTACTTACCTGTGTAGGGAGCTGTTAATTAATTACTTCCTAACTTTTCCAGTTTACGATGCATCTTGTCCAAACCTGTACCAACATCGTATGTTTACAATAACTCCCATTATCACCTTTGGTTAGTACCTCCATTAGATAATAAACAATGTAGTGTAATGTACATTATTTCTGGACTAATGTATCTTGTTTCATTCTTTATTTATATCCTTGGTGTCACATTGTCTTAAAAACTAAACACTTTATTAAGAATTGTTTAGGAATATAGAAACATTTTTAGTGGAAAAGATTGAAAAGATTTACATGGAATTTATATATTGACCAATTGTTCTATAACACAAAAAGCCCATTCAAGAACTTATATATTGGCTCCAGGGCTTATTGTCAATTAATAATAATTTGTTCTGTAATAAGCCCACCTTGAGAATGAAGATGGAATTGATATATTGGCCATTTGGGCTTATTGTCGTGTAGTAAAGCCACTGAGGGACTTTTGACAGAATTGATATATTTGCCCTCTTGGCTTATTGTCTTGTAATAAGACCATTCCCAGATGTCAGACAGAACTGATATATTACCCCCTTCCCCCTCTCCAGCTTATTGACACATAATAAGCCTACTATGAGACTTTAGATGGAACTGATACATTGGCTCATTGCAGCATAAACAGCAGATGGTATCAGGATTCTAATAGGGGCTACAAAATATCACCTGATAATATGTACCTGTATTTGTATACTGTTGGTGAGATGAGATGATAGATTTACAAATTGTTAAAGTGTTACACACTTAGATTTGGAAATGAGAAAGTTACGACTTATTTAGTTTGTTACAAGTATTAGATGTTTACGACATGTCTTGCTTAGCTGTGATTTTTTGGTCAATTGTAGCTGCGGGTATTCCAGACTTCCGATCTCCAAAAACAGGTCTTTATGACAACTTACAGAAGTACAACCTTCCTCATCCGCAGGCTGTGTTTGACATAGGGTATTTTTGGGTAAGTCACAATTGTGTGTATTTAGGTGAGTCACCTTAGTGTTAGGCATGGTATATACTCCAAAATGAGTCAATGCAGTGGCTGCTATTTAGTACCTGTGGATGAGCAACATGTTTGTGACCGAGTGTCTCATGTCCTGTATCAAATCTTACCCGAGATTCTGAAATAATGTATCTGTTTTGAATACAAGAGATCAAAAGATGATAATTAAATTTTTTAGTAAACTGTTCTTTTTTTGTTTGATTCAGAAAAATCCAGAGCCATTTTTCCTTCTTGCCAAAGAGCTGTGGCCAGGTGTGTTCAAGGTATGAAATATTCCTCCCAAATCAAAGTGCATCATGAGGGTCTTTATAATTGGCTCTGTTATATAAAACCTGACCATTAATGATAAGTAAACTGGACAACTGATCCCACTTGTATAAAAATCTGAAATATCGTCCTACCACCTTCAGTGTCCAGTCCCACTTACTTGTAACTGTTGGGAGATAAAAACCCAGGTTAGAATTCAAATCACATCCTGAATGTTTAACTCTTCACTTATAAGGTTAACTTTCAATATCACAAATAATTTCCATGATTTGATTCTTATAAAAATCACTTAGGACAGTATGTTAATAAATCTAACAATAACTTTTTAATTTATTGAGAAGCTGTAAGAATCTATTCCCTTACTGAATATGCAAAATACTTCAAAAAATGATAAGATCTATATTTTCATGGCTAGAATGTATTGATGTAGGGAATGTGGTTTGAACTTGATTTGATTGTTTTATTTCCTTATTCAGTAATGATAATGTATGTGTCATTGGCTTTGTATTTTATAGCCAACTCCTTGTCATTACTTCATTAAGTTGCTCGCTGACAAAGGCCTGTTACTACGTCATTATACCCAGGTAAGTCCTGTTGTTACACCGTTATACCCAGGTAAGTCCTGTTGTTACACCATTATACCCAGGTAAGTCCTGTTGTTACACCATTATACCCAGGTAAGTCCTGTTGTTACACCATTATACCCAGGTAAGTCCTGTTGTTACACCGTTATACCCAGGTAAGTCCTGTTGTTACACCGTTATACCCAGGTAAGTCCTGTTGTTACACCATTATACCCAGGTAAGTCCTGTTGTTACACCATTATACCCAGGTAAGTCCTGTTGTTACACCATTATACCCAGGTAAGACCTGTTGTTACACCATTATACCCAGGTAAGACCTGTTGTTACACCATTATACCCAGGTAAGTCCTGTTGTTACACCATTATACCCAGGTAAGTCCTGTTGTTACACCATTATACCCAGGTAAGTCCTGTTGTTACACCATTATACCCAGGTAAGGCCTGTTGTTACACCATTATACCCAGGTAAGTCCTGTTGTTACACCATTATACCCAGGTAAGACCTGTTGTTACACCATTATACCCAGGTAAGACCTGTTGTTACACCATTATACCCAGGTAAGACCTGTTGTTACACCATTATACCCAGGTAAGTCCTGTTGTTACACCATTATACCCAGGTAAGTCCTGTTGTTACACCATTATACCCAGGTAAGGCCCGCTGTTACACCATTATACCCAGGTAAGACCTGTTGTTACACCATTATACCCAGCACCATTATACCTAGGTAAGTCCTGTTGTTACACCATTATACCTAGGTAAGGTGGTGTTGTTACACCATTATACCCAGGTAAGGTCTGTTGTTACATCATTATACCAGGTTAGGCCTGTTGTTACACCATTATACCCAGGTAAGACCCGCTGTTACACCATTATACCCAAGTAAGGCCTGTTGTTACACCATTATACCCAGGTAAGGTGGTGTTGTTACACCATTATACCCAGGTAAGTCCTGTTGTTACACCATTATACCCAGGTAAGACCTGTTGTTACACCATTATACCCAGGTAAGACCTGTTGTTACACCATTATACCCAGGTAAGGTGGTGTTGTTACACCATTATACCCAGGTAAGGCCTGTTGTTACACCATTATACCCAGGTAAGACCTGTTGTTACACCATTATACCCAGGTAAGGTGATGTTGTTACACCATTATACCCAGGTAAGGTGGTGTTGTTACACCATTATACCTAAGTAAGGTGGTGTTGTTACACCATTATACCCAGGTAAGTCCTGTTGTTACACCATTATACCCAGGTAAGACCTGTTGTTACACCATTATACCAGGTAAGTCCTGTTGTTACACCATTATACCCAGGTAAGTCCTGTTGTTACACCATTATACCCAGGTAAGTCCTGTTGTGACATCATTATACCCAGGTAAGACCTGTTGTTACACCATTATACCCAGGTAAGGCCTGTTATTACACCATTATACCCAGGTAAAGCCTGTTGTTACACCATTATACCCAGGTAAGTCCTGTTGTTACACCATTATACCCAGGTAAGACCTGTTGTTACACCATTATACCCAGGTTAGGCCTGTTGTTACACCATTATACCCAGGTAAGGCCTGTTGTTACACCATTATACCCAGGTAAGACCTGTTGTTACACCATTATACCCAGGTAAGGCCCGCTGTTACACCATTATACCCAGGTAAGTCCTGTTGTTACACCATTATACCAGGTTAGGCCTGTTGTTACACCATTATACCCAGGTTAGGCCTGTTGTTACACCATTATACCCAGGTAAGGCCTGTTGTTACACCATTATACCCAGGTAAGTCCTGTTGTTACACCATTATACCCAGGTTAGGCCTGTTGTTACACCATTATACCCAGGTAAGGTGGTGTTGTTACACCATTATACCCAGGTAAGTCCTGTTGTTACACCATTATACCCAGGTAAGACCTGTTGTTACACCATTATACCCAGGTAAGTCCTGTTGTTACACCATTATACCCAGGTAAGACCTGTTGTTACACCATTATACCCAGGTAAGACCTGTTGTTACACCATTATACCCAGGTTAGGCCTGTTGTTACACCATTATACCCAGGTAAGTCCTGTTGTTACACCATTATACCCAGGTAAGACCTGTTGTTACACCATTATACCCAGGTTAGGCCTGTTGTTACACCATTATACCCAGGTAAGGCCTGTTGTTACACCAGTATACCCAGGTAAGTCCTGTTGTTACACCATTATACCCAGGTAAGGTGGTGTTGTTACACCATTATACCCAGGTAAGGCCTGTTGTTACACCATTATACCCAGGTAAGACCTGTTGTTACACCATTATACCCAGGTAAGTCCTGTTGTTACACCATTATACCCAGGTAAGTCCTGTTGTTACACCATTATACCCAGGTAAGACCTGTTGTTACACCATTATACCCAGGTAAGTCCTGTTGTTACACCATTATACCCAGGTAAGACCTGTTGTTACACCATTATACCCAGGTTAGGCCTGTTGTTACACCATTATACCCAGGTAAGGCCTGTTGTTACACCAGTATACCCAGGTAAGTCCTGTTGTTACACCATTATACCCAGGTAAGGTGGTGTTGTTACACCATTATACCCAGGTAAGGCCTGTTGTTACACCATTATACCCAGGTAAGACCTGTTGTTACACCATTATACCCAGGTAAGTCCTGTTGTTACACCATTATACCCAGGTAAGACCTGTTGTTACACCATTATACCCAGGTAAGTCCTGTTGTTACACCATTATACCCAGGTAAGACCTGTTGTTACACCATTATACCCAGGTAAGTCCTGTTGTTACACCAGTATACCCAGGTTAGGCCTGTTGTTACACCATTATACCCAGGTAAGACCTGTTGTTACACCATTATACCCAGGTTAGGCCTGTTGTTACACCATTATACCCAGGTAAGACCTGTTGTTACACCATTATACCCAGGTAAGACCTGTTGTTACACCATTATACCCAGGTAAGACCTGTTGTTACACCATTATACCCAGGTAAGTCCTGTTGTGACACCATTATACCCAGGTAAGACCTGTTGTTACACCATTATACCCAGGTAAGGCCTGTTATTACACCATTATACCCAGGTAAGGCCTGTTGTTACACCATTATACCCAGGTAAGGCCCACTGTTACACCATTATACCCAGGTAAGTCCTGTTGTTACACCATTATACCCAGGTAAGACCTGTTGTTACACCATTATACCCAGGTAAGGCCTGTTGTTACACCATTATACCCAGGTAAGGCCTGTTGTTACACCATTATACCCAGGTAAGACCTGTTGTTACACCATTATACCCGGGTTAGGCCTGTTGTTACACCATTATACCCAGGTAAGGCCCACTGTTACACCATTATACCCAGGTAAGTCCTGTTGTTACACCATTATACCCAGGTAAGACCTGTTGTTACACCATTATACCCAGGTAAGACCTGTTGTTACACCATTAGACCCAGTTACACCATTATACCCGGGTAAGTCCTGTTGTTACACCATTATACCCAGGTAAGACCTGTTGTTACACCATTATACCCAGGTAAGGTGGTGTTGTTACACCATTATACCCAGGTAAGTCCTGTTGTTACACCATTATACCCAGGTAAGTCCTGTTGTTACACCATTATACCCAGGTAAGTCCTGTTGTTACACCATTATACCCAGGTTAGGCCTGTTGTTACACCAGTATACCCGGGTTAGGCCTGTTGTTACACCATTATACCCAGGTAAGGCCTGTTGTTACACCATTATACCCAGGTTAGGCCTTTTGTTACACCAGTATACCCGGGTTAGGCCTGTTGTTACACCATTATACCCAGGTTAGGCCTGTTGTTACACCATTATACCCAGGTAAGTCCTGTTGTTACACCATTATACCCAGGTAAGTCCTGTTGTTACACCAGTATACCAGGTTAGGCCTGTTGTTACACCATTATACCCAGGTAAGACCTGTTGTTACACCATTATACTCAGGTAAGGCCTGTTGTTACACCATTATACCCAGGTAAGGCCTGTTGTTACACCATTATACCCAGGTAAGACCTGTTGTTACACCAGTATACCCGGGTTAGGCCTGTTGTTACACCATTATACCCGGGTAAGTCCTGTTGTTACACCATTATACCCAGGTAAGACCTGTTGTTACACCATTATACCCAGGTAAGTCCTGTTGTTACACCATTATACCCAGGTAAGACCTGTTGTTACACCATTATACCCAGGTAAGGTGGTGTTGTTACACCATTATACCCAGGTAAGTCCTGTTGTTACACCATTATACCCAGGTAAGTCCTGTTGTTACACCATTATACCCAGGTAAGTCCTGTTGTTACACCATTATACCCAGGTTAGGCCTGTTGTTACACCAGTATACCCGGGTTAGGCCTGTTGTTACACCATTATACCCAGGTAAGGCCTGTTGTTACACCATTATACCCAGGTTAGGCCTGTTGTTACACCAGTATACCCGGGTTAGGCCTGTTGTTACACCATTATACCCAGGTTAGGCCTGTTGTTACACCATTATACCCAGGTAAGTCCTGTTGTTACACCATTATACCCAGGTAAGGCCTGTTGTTACACCATTATACCCAGGTTAGGCCTGTTGTTACACCATTATACCCAGGTAAGACCTGTTGTTACACCATTATACCCAGGTAAGGCCTGTTGTTACACCATTATACCCAGGTTAGGCCTGTTGTTACACCATTATACCCAGGTAAGACCTGTTGTTACACCAGTATACCCGGGTTAGGCCTGTTGTTACACCATTATACCCGGGTAAGTCCTGTTGTTACACCATTATACCCAGGTAAGACCTGTTGTTACACCAGTATACTAGGTTAGGCCTGTTGTTACACCATTATACCCAGGTAAGACCTGTTGTTACACCAGTATACCAGGTAAGGCCTATTGTTACACCATTATACCCAGGTAAGACCTGTTGTTACACCAGTATACCAGGTAAGGCCTATTGTTACACCATTATACCCAGGTAAGACCTGTTGTTACACCAGTATACCAGGTAAGACATGTTGTTACACCAATATACCAGGTAAGGCCTGTTGTTACACCATTATACCCAGGTAAGTCCTGTTGTTACACCAGTATACCAGGTAAGACCTGTTGTTACACCATTATACCAGGTAAGACCTGATATATCTTTATATTACCTGGACTGTAGACTATAAGGCAGCAATAAACTAGACAGATTAGTGTAACAGCTGTGTACCAATTGTCATTATTGATTGTTTGATACTGGTTTAAAATGGACGGTATGAACAAATGGTATTTACCTAGTTATACATCTTATAAAGAAATGTGTTGTTTCATCACCTCTATATCCTTGTATAATTAATGTTATGTCATCATTTTAGGATTCCTAGGTTTTATTCTTTATGTTTCAAGAACATCGACACCCTTGAAAGTCAAGCTGGGCTCCCGGCAGAGAAACTGGTCGAGGCTCATGGAAGTTTCCGCACAGCTCACTGCCTTATTTGTGAAAAAGAATACAGTAAAGATTTTATAGAAGGTATGTTCAATCTGTCTAAACTGGAGATGTCACCAAATATTTGAACTTTCTAATATTCATTCAATTGGTGGTATCTAAACAGGATAATGGTATTTGAATAATCTTTTCCACTGTTGTAAAAAATCTATGTTTAGAGGATCGTTAGAAAGGATTTTTTCAAGCAATTCTTGTTACTTTGAAGGTCTTTTCCATTCTGATTAGTTTGTTGGCTAAAACTGAGGAGATAAACATGGTGAAGGAGATTGACAAATGTATCTAGAAATTGACTTTTTCTCCTTACTTGATACATATAGATTTACACTAGTAAAACAGGTCATATTATATGCTGTTCTGTTCTCTATGATAATGGTTGTACAATACTTCTTGAGAAATGTCATAAAATTTGAAATATTCATGAAAGTGAATGTTCAGATATTGAATCAGACAAATATTTGAATTTAATTTCTGTCCAATCAACATCCTCAGTAAAAAAATGATTGTAAGAATTGATGAGAAGAGTCTTCTCTTAATTAGAAAAATTGAGCTTAGGATGAAAACATATTTAAACTGGTTTGTGTAAAATCTTGATGTCTTGATATACCCTTGCAAATATTACCTCCTGTATAAAGTACTTATCTTATCCAAGTTATCTTTGTCAGCAATATACCAGTATACCAGGGAAAGTTAAGTTAAGAACAATGGATATGTTGTGTTAGCAACTGACATCAATCTGAGGATGATGATATGGTTTCCAAGCATTTGTATAAGTTCCGTTTCCTCTGTACCTGAGCAAAAAATTGATTTGTAAGATATCTGTTTTCTGTTGATTTCAGAAAAAGTATTTGCTGGAGAAGTACCTAAGTGTACTGAACCAGATTGTGAAGACAACATTGTCAAACCTGGTAAGTAGTTTTCAGAAACTTATCTTATTTTCATTTGACTATAATTAGGATATGTGTGTAAATAATAAATTGTTCATAATTGATAAAGATACATAATGACAAATATAATGACATATATAATGACAAACATAATGACATACATAATGACATATATAATGACAAACATAATGACATACATAATGACATATATAATGACAAACATAATGACATACATAATGACAAACATAATGACATATATAATGACAAACATAATGATGTACATAATGACATATATAATGACAAACATAATGATGTACATAATGACATAAAATGTCAAACAATGATGTACATAATGACAAACATAATGACATACATAATGACATATATAATGACATATATAATGACAAACATAATGACATACATAATGACATACATAATGACATATATAATGACAAACATAATGACATACATAATGACAAACATAATGATACATATAATGACAAACATAATGATGTACATAATGACAAACATAATGACATACATAATGACATATATAATGACAAACATAATGACATATATAATGACAAACATAATGACATACATAATGACATATATAATGACAAATATAATGATGTACATAATGACAAACATAATAACATACATAATGACATATATAATGACAAACATAATGACATACATTATGACATGACATATTTAATGACATATATAATGACAAACATAATGACATACATAATGACATACATAATGACAATATATAATGAAAAACATAATGACATACATTATGACATGACATATTTAATGACATATTTAATGACAAACATAATGACATACATAATGACAAACATAATAACAAACATAATGACATGACATATTTAATGACATATATAATGACAAACATAATGACATACATAATGACATATATAATGACAAACATAATGATGTACATAATGACAAACATAATGACATATATAATGACAAACATAATGATGTGCATAATGACAAACATAATGACATGACATATTTAATGACATACATAATGACATGACATATTTAATGACATACATAATGACATATATGACATACATAATGACAAACTTGTTTCACATGACATATAGAATGAAATATTAAAGTCACCGACTATCCTTTCAGATATTGTGTTCTTTGGAGAGCCCCTTCCTAAAAGATTTGGAGAACTTATACACACGGTAAAAGGTTTGCTGTGCCGGTAAAGTTGTTTGTTGTTAAGATGTTGTTAAATCACAAGGTTTTTGATCATTTTACTTTCTTTCAAATAAGTGATGGTATCAATATTGATACAGAACAGCTTGAAAGTTTGGCAGATGATATGGTAAATGTTTACTTTTGTCCTTTTGGATTTTAAGGATTGTGACAGACGATATGGTAAATGTTTACTTTTGTCCTTTAGGATTTTAAAGATTGTGACAGACAATATGGTAAATGTTTACTTTTGTCCTTTAGGACTTTAAGGATTGTGACAGACAATATGGTAAATGTTTACTTTTGTCCTTTAGGACTTTAAGGATTGTGACAGACAATATGTTAAATGTTTGCTTTTGTCCTTTAGGATTTTAAGGATTGTGACAGACAATATGGTAAATGTTTACTTTTGTCCTTTAGGACTTTAAGGATTGTGACAGACGATATGGTAAATGTTTACTTTTGTCCTTTAGGACTTTAAGGATTGTGACAGACAGTATGTTAAATGTTTGCTTTTGTCCTTTAGGATTTTAAGGATTGTGACAGACAATATGGTAAATGTTTACTTTTGTCCTTTAGGACTTTAAGGATTGTGACAGACGATATGGTAAATGTTTACTTTTGTCCTTTAGGACTTTAAGGATTGTGACAGACAATATGTTAAATGTTTGCTTTTGTCCTTTAGGATTTTAAGGATTGTGACAGACAATATGGTAAATGTTTACTTTTGTCCTTTAGGACTTTAAGGATTGTGACAGATTTTGTCATATGGTAAATGTTTACTTTTGTCCTTTAGGACTTTAAGGATTGTGACAGACAATATGTTAAATGTTTGCTTTTGTCCTTTAGGATTTTAAGGATTGTGACAGACAATATGTTAAATGTTTGCTTTTGTCCTTTAGGATTTTAAGGATTGTGACAGACAATATGGTAAATGTTTGCATTTGTCCTTTAGGATTTTAAGGATTGTGACAGACAATATGGTAAATGTTTACTTTTGTCCTTTAGGACTTTAAGGATTGTGACAGACAATATGTTAAATGTTTACTTTTGTCCTTTAGGATTTTAAGGATTGTGACCTACTGCTAATTATGGGTACATCTTTAGTGGTGCATCCATTTGCAGCCCTTCCTAACAGGTATGCTCGTCTATACTTTTAATATACTATAAGTATTTTGCACTATGAAAGAAAAGAAAGATGTTCAAGTTATGGAAATTTAAGGTTTAGTTTGTATACCTAGGTAATTTGTACTGGTAAAAAGGTGCTTATCAATATATACATGTATATTATAATTACTGCTACCTGTCATGCATTTTTAACACAAGTAGTGCAATGTTTAAACCATAAACATTAAAGTAACCTCATCTGGCTAAAATGGACACAGCATTATGGTGGACTTACATTAATCTGCTTTCTTACCTTATTGATTAAATCACGTAGGGAGCCCTCTCCTCTTATCCTTCTTCTTAACATACAGTCATACCAGTCATTATGAACTCTCTATCTCTCTGTTTTTTCTCACTATTCTTGTCAGTACCTAACTTTCTACTTTGCCTCACCTTTCTTGTCAACATTTGTATCTTACTCTTCAACCTTCCTTCCTTTCTTGTCAACCTTGTGATATCTTCTGTACCAACTCTTCAACCTTCCTTCCTTTCTTGTCAACCTTGTGATATCTTCTGTACCAACTCTTCAACCTTCCTTCCTTTCTTGTCAACCTTGTGATATCTTCTGTACCAACTCTTCAACCTTCCTTCCTTTCTTGTCAACCTTGTGATATCTTCTGTACCAACTCTTCAACCTTCCTTCCTTTCTTGTCAACCTTGTGATATCTTCTGTACCAACTCTTCAACCTTCCTTCCTTTCTTGTCAACCTTGTGATATCTTCTGTACCAACTCTTCAACCTTCCTACCTTTCTTGTCAACCTTGTGATATCTTCTGTACCAACTCTTCAACCTTCCTTCCTTTCTTGTCAACCTTGTGATATCTTCTGTACCAACTCTTCAACCTTCCTTCCTTTCTTGTCAACCTTGTGATATCTTCTGTACCAACTCTTCAACCTTCCTTCCTTTCTTGTCAACCTTGTGATATCTTCTGTACCAACTCTTCAACCTTCCTTCCTTTCTTGTCAACCTTGTGATATCTTCTGTACCAACCTTATATTTATATATATTGTCTCCCTATTCAGAACACAACATAATACTCCGAGGATGTATATAAACTTAGAGAAGACTGGAGCAGGGGTAAGATTTATATATATATTTTGAGAGATTTAATCCAGACACAGACACTTCATTTGTTTCATTATATTTACGACACCTTTGTGACTGAAACACAGACAGTGATAGTTTAGAACACCTGTTTGAAACACTGTCTCATTGCCTATCACATTGGCAATGAAACAAGATTTTTCATTTTATATTATTGGGCTAAACAAAACATGTACACATTACTCTCTCATAAAACACATATACAGCACCCTTCATAAGTCTCTGTATTGTAAGAATACACTAAAGTGAGTCACCTCAGTGTTATAAGTATTAACTAGGGAGTCACCTGTTTGACTCCAATAATAGAAATAAATCATCACAATTCAACAATGTTTTGTGTGCAAAAAATGATCAAATTTGAATAATTCTCTGATTTAACTAGTATGGTAACCTGATAGAATAGATCAATATATATTTGTAAACTCTGATGAAATATTTCAGGATTACTCATGTAAGAATAATGATAAACCCACCTTGTTAATATGATATTAACTTATACTGGTGTTTCACCATGATACAAGTATACATGTAATTTCATTATTACTGAAATAATTCAATATATTTGTGAAAGATTATGTACATTTTAACAGAAGTTAAAGTTGCACATTATTTTCTTTGTAAAATTACTGAACAGAAAAAATTGTCTTCTTTGATAATACAGCAAAGCAATCCAATCACCATGCTGATGTTTGGGGGAGGTTTCAAGTTTGATGATGAAGATAACTATAGGTAAGTAAGGTAAAGATATTGATTTGAAATTTAGATAAAGACGATGACAGGGATGTTAGATAAAGACGATAACAGGGATGTTAGATAAAGACGATAACAGGGATGTTAGATAAAGACAATGACAAGGATGTTACATAAAGACAGTGACAGGGAAGTAAGATAAAGACGATGACAGGGATGTTAGATAAAGACGATGACAGGGAAGTTAGGTAAAGACGATGAGAGGAATGTTAGATAAAGACTATGACAGGGATGTTAGATAAAGACGTTGACAGGGATGTTAGATAAAGACAAAGACAGGGAAGACAGGGATGTTAGATAAAGACAAAGACAGGGATGTTAGATAAAGAAGACAGGGATGTTAGATAAAGAGACAGGGATGTTAGATAAAGACAAAGACAGGGATGTTAGATAAAGATGTTGACAGGGAGGTTAGATAAAGACAAAGACAGGGATGTTAGATAAAGACAAAGACAGGTATGTTAGATTAATACTAAGACAGGGATGTTAGATAAAGACAAAGACAGGGATGTTAGATAAAGACAAGATGACAGGGATGTTAGATAAGTAAGATAATAGACAATGACAGGGATGTTAGATAAAGAAGACAGGGATGTTAGATAAAGACGTTGACAGGGAGTAAAGACAAAGACAGGGATGTTAGATAAAGACAAAGACAGGGATGTTAGATAAAGACAGGGATGTTAGATAAAGACGTTGACAGGGAGGTTAGATAAAGACAAAGACAGGGATGTTAGATAAAGACAGGGATGATGACAGGGATGTTAGATAAAGACGTTGACAGGGATGTTAGATAAAGACAAAGACAGGGATGTTAGATAAAGACAAAGACAGGGATGTTAGATAAAGACGATGTTAGATAAAGACGATGACAGGGATGTTAGGTAAAGACGATGAGAGGAATGTTAGATAAAGACTATGACAGGGATGTTAGATAAAGACGTTGACAGGGAGGTTAGATAAAGACAAAGACAGGGATGTTAGATGACAGGGATGTTAGATAAAGACAAAGACAGGGATGTTAGATAAGACAAAGACAGGGATGTTAGATAAAGACTAAGACAGGGATGTTAGATAAAGACGTTGACAGGGATGTTAGATAAAGACGTTGACAGGGATGTTAGATAAAGACAAAGACAGGGATGTTAGATAAAGACAAAGACAGGGATGTTAGATAAAGACAATGACAAGGATGTTACATAAAGACAGTGACAGGGAAGTAAGATAAAGACGATGACAGGGATGTTAGGTAAAGACGATGAGAGGAATGTTAGATAAAGACTATGACAGGGATGTTAGATAAAGACGTTGACAGGGAGGTTAGATAAAGACAAAGACAGGGATGTTAGATAAAGACAAAGACAGGGATGTTAGATAAAGACGATGACAGGGATGTTAGATAAAGACGTTGACAGGGAGGTTAGATAAAGACAAAGACAGGGATGTTAGATAAAGACAAAGACAGGGATGTTAGATAAAGACAAAGACAGGGATGTTAGATAAAGACGATGACAGGGATGTTAGATAAAGACGTTGACAGGGAGGTTAGATAAAGACAAAGACAGGGATGTTAGATAAAGACAAAGACAGGGATGTTAGATAAAGATGTTGACAGGGATGTTAGATAAAGACGTTGACAGGGATGTTAGATAAAGACATTGACAGGGATGTTAGATAAAGACGATGACAGGGATGTTAGATAAAAACGATGACAAGGAAGTAAGATAAAATACAATTACAGAGCAAATAAAGACATTGACCGTGATTTAGATGATGAAAAATACAGTGAAGAACAATATTGATAGCAAAGATGGAAATTTTATGAGAAGGTACATTGGTGATCAATTTCAGTTCCCCTCTATGCAGTCTTCCAAACTGCTTTACTTGTAGCAATGACTATCAATAATGATTGGATAATCAGACTATTTTGACAAGTCCTTTAGGTTAATGTGACTGGAGCACTGCTGAGATTTATAAGTCCTTTAGGTTAATGTGACTGGAGCACTAATGAGATTTATAAGTCCTTTAGGTTAATGTGACTGGAGCACTACTGAGATTTATTGAAGATTCAAGAAATTGAATTGGTGAGAACCAAGAGCATTCACCAGGAGTCTATCATTCTGTCAGTCCATCAAACTGAAATGGCTTTAATCTGATTGGTTCATGCCACAGTTTAAAGTTATAGGACACTAATGTTTGCATGGAGACTGTTTAAATTTCGTTTAAACTTTATTTTTTTTTGTGTTTTCAGAGATGTGTTTTGGCAGGGAACTTGTGATGATGGTTGTCTTCTCATGGCAGAGAAGCTTGGATGGAAGGTATGTCAGTAAAGCAAACAAGTGGTAGCTATAGTGTAGATATGTTACAATGAATAAGCTTACTGGGGTTAGGATATTATTGAGTTATAATATAATCGCTTTTAATGGAATAATGATGAATTAAAGATCTTTTTAACCACATGATCTGTGATTAAAGATATTTCAACCACTTGATCTGTGATTAAAGATATTTCAACCACTTGATCTGTGATTAAAGATATTTCAACCACTTGATCTGTGATTAAAGATATTTCTAACCACATGATCCGTGATAAAAGATCTTTTTAATCACATGATCTGTGATTTAAGATCTTTTTAGCCATATAATCTGTGACCTAAAGATTTTTTTTACCACATGACCTGTGATGAAAGATCTTTTTACCACTCGATCTGTGATTAAAGATTTTTTTTAAACCACTTGATCTTTGTTTTTCATGAATATATTGAAAAACACACTTATCCCTGTCATTTGACAAGACTTAAATTCAGGTACTGTGGGATTAAATATGTCCATTACATTGTCAGATATTAAAGTAAATGTCAGAATACACCAGTAATCCAGGGAATTTGTTTCAGTTTTTCTTAAACAATTTCACAGCCTATATTTATCTGTGAAACTAATGAAGCAGAGATTTGTTCGAACAAAGATAAGTCCTAACACAACACATAAATATATAGATATATACCATCTCTTTATTTCTTTATACCAGAAAAGTGTTTAATTATACAGAAAATTTGTTGTTGTGTAGAAACTAACTATATAAGGAAAAAAAAATTTTGATTGCATAGGAAGAGCTACAACAGATTGTGAAAACGGAACATGCCAAAATTGATGAGAATGCCAAAATCCTGAAAGCAAAATCTCAAAGTCTCAAGGATGAAGGTGAAAAAAAGACCGAAAAATTAGAGGGGAACACATCGGAGCATTCAGAAGCTGTTGAAACTAAGGATTCTAATCCAGAAACAACCTCATCAAAAACAATGAATGTCACTGCCTCTGAAAAGAACATTCCAAAGTCGTCAGTGAAAAAGAAATCCTCACCTGTGACCGTCACTGGTAGGGCTTCCAAATCTTCACACTCAAGCGGAAATAAGGCAAAGAAAAGCTAAGGAGATATTTCATGATGAAAGGCGTCGCTGTGTAACTCATTGCTTTCATTACAAGCATTAGCAAAATAGTTCAAAATAATCATGTTGGTTTTAAAGGAGCCGTGGTCAGTACAACATCAATTATATCATAAAACAGAAATATCAACAAACAAAACAAACTGAGAAAGTACCCTTAGGTTACTTTTCAAACCTTCACAATGAAGCCTGACTTGTTAGAGGTATAACCGTACAAAAAGGAAGCATTTATTTATCACATCATGGCAGGGGAGGTAATTAGCTTGGCATTGTTAAAAATGGGTACTGCTGTAGTGGTACCCTATTGTCTTACGAGAGAATTTTAGGATTACAGATTTACAGGTATGATATATAGCTGGTTTATTTATAGCTTTTTAAGTGTCAAATATATTTTAAGTTGTGATAAACAGTTCCCATGGTATGTGTGATAACCCCTGATAATAGGATATACGTTGTTTTTATTTCTAACTTTATTAGCTAAATTTCTTTATTGATTCTAGCCTTTGTTTTCATAATATCTATATATATCTGAAAGTGCAATTTACTAGGTTCTTTATTGAAGTAGGTCAGTGAATGGGAGTAAAAATGTTTGTAGTGTATGGACGCAAGGACACTAATATTGACACTATTGACCGGCTTGAAGTGTATTGGATGAGAGGACAGTAGTAGACTACTAAGTCTTACTAAGTGGTTTTTTAATTTCAACAAAAACATCTATAACTACATTAGTGATATATACTAACAGGCCTTTTAGTTTTGTTTTACAGTGCTGTTACGTTAATATTGTTGATATAAAATTATTTATTGTGGAATGTAAGTATGTCATGTCAGGATCAAAGTTCTGATTTGAGGAGTTAAGAGGGAGTGACTATCAATAGGTGATATGTCTTAATAACATTATGATTTCAGCTCACTTGGTTCGAAGGGAATCTATCTTGTATAAATGTTAGATCTCAGCCTCATAGGGGCAAGAGGGGTGGAGCTCAATAGGAGAATTAGAGCAAATTTTTATTTTTAAATCCTTCTTCATTAGAAAAAGTTGGATATTGCCCCATTTTGGTGCATGACTGAATGGAAATCATCTGTATGAACAGTGGGTCTCGGATCTGTGGGGGTGAGATGGGCGGGGACCCAATTGGGGAAATAGAGAAAACTCTTTAAACTCCTTTTTCTTCTGTAGAAATATTATGATTCTAGCCTAATTTGGTCTGGAGCATACTTGGGTGAAGGGAAATCAGTTTTGTGTAAATGGTGGATCTCGGCCCTCTGGGACAGGGCCAAATAGTGAAAACAAAGGAAATTACGTAACATCCTTCTTTCGTGGGAATGCCTCGATTCTGTCCGAATTTGGTTTGAAGCATGCCAGAAGTATTCAGTCACAATGGCAGCATGTTTTCATTCTCTGTGTTGTTGAAAGGAACCTTATTTTGTATCCACCAGGAATCTGACAACAGAGATGAGTAGAAATGTAAGTTCTTCAAAATCCTTTTCCATACAAGGATATCATTCATGAATGGTGAAAGTGACTTCTGTTTACCACCAGACTGGGACCCAATAGGGAAATTATTTCATAAATTGTCATATTTGAAATTCTTTGTTAAGTAACTGAAAAGCTGAAATAGGTGAGCAATGCAGGCCCCTTGGACTTCTTGTTATATCTGTGGTTTGTTGTTATGATAACCATGTCATTTTGATATTTTCAATATTAATTACTGCCAGGACAAAAATCTGATTTAAAAGTCATTTAAATTGTACCTTACTGAAACATTTCAATATCTAATATGGTTTCTTGTATTATTCTTAATCCATTATAAAGTAATTGTCTGTCTCTGAAGGAGAGAAGATATAATTTTGGAATGTCTGGTTTTGATTTGTAAAAATTGTCAAGAGTATATTACACATGTGTACTGGTTATATACTGTCACAAGGTTGGTTACTCATGCTGTGTTTATATCTTACTCCGATATTGTTATGAATTTTGTTACATATATTTATATGTACATTGTAATGTTCTATCATGAAGCTATGGCTGTGAATATGCGTTCTAATTTATCATGGGATGTACTTCTGTTCTATCAAAATAATAATTTTACATAAAATAACATCTGAAATAATTTGTCTACATTTGTTTTTAATTAATGACTACTTAAAACTTTTAATTGTTGCCTCTTTTATAAATGTGAGATATGGTTTTAGGAACAGAAGTCTATTCATAGTCAAGATAAAATAGTGTCTTAACTTTATGTTATTAACAGCTACTGGTAATATCCTACAGAAATGTACACTGCAGACTAATTAGGTCACTGTGACCTTCACTTCCAGGTATATTTTATAAAACAATGGGTGTTGCATCTTTCATATAAAGTTCAGATTGTTTGTTCTTCTGATATATAATTGTCTTTCTTACCAAAGGTGAAAGTTCAAATTCCCCATTAATAGTCCCCTTACGGTGAAATCGGAGGGGACTATAGTGTCTCCGTCGGTCTATCCAGATGTTGGTTTCCAGACAATAACTTGAGTAAGGATGGATGGATAGGAGTGAAACTTATTACAATGTTAGGTTATGAGGTAATACTGATTGGAATTGAGTTTGGGGTTAAAAGGTCAACTACAATGGTCGCTGAAGCTAAAATGGTTGAAACTCTATACAATGTTAACTGATGAAGTAATACAGAGTGGAATTATGTTTTGGGTCAAAAGGTCAACTACAAAGGTAACTTACTGAAAATAGTCTTTTATAGTCAAATTTTAGTTTCTCAATGATAACTCCAGAGAGGATTAATGGATTTGCATGAAATTTTCGCTTACGAAGTAATACAGAGTTTGAATGAGTTTGGCGTCAAAAGGTCAACTACAAAGGTCACTGTCACTCAATAGTCATTGGTCATATATTGGCTTCCAGATGATAACTTGTGATAGGGTTGACTGATTGTAATGAATAGTAACTGTAAGCTTGATGTTAATGAAATGCTTTATCCTGTAAAATATTTAAAGTTGCTAATTCAGTCCAACATAACTTTTGCTTAGTATTTAATTATCCCATCTATGCCATTTCATACAAAACTTCCCACTTCAAAATCTGGAGTTGCATTTCCATGCATTGTGCTGTTGGTATTTTATTCCCAATGAGTCAACATGCCCTAAAGTATAGAATTATTATATCACTTGATTCTTATATTAAAGATGTCTGGCCTGAATAGGTAAAGTGAGCTGCTGTCATTGTGTGGCATCCATTGTTTGTCATTTTGTTCTTCAAACAAATTCTGATGATTTAGTGTAAAGTCATGATATTAGGCTTTTTGGTACCTGGAATGCAGCCTCACAAATTTTGCAATAAAACAAAACAAAAAGAAAGACCATGATCCATATTCAAGGCTTTGAAATTTGTTAAGACACTTGAAAATCTTTTGGATAAATCAAGAGGCCCTGAATTATACTATTTGGCAAGCAAGTTTTATGGATGAAGCCTGACAAAGTTTCTGAAAAGGAAGCATCCTTACCGGGCATTATGAACTAAAGTGTACCTCAATATTATTAATGGTCTCAAAGATCAAATTTCTAAAAACACTCAAACAATTGCTTCTAATTAAACTAAAAAATCTAGAATCATGATATTTGTTTGTAAGAGTCCTGGGATGAAGCCAAATAAATTTTTTAAAATGGAATTACTATAATCCATGGAAGAGATGTTAACAACATGCAGTCAAAGCCTGAGTGCTGAAGGCCCTTTAAGGTCTCACACAATCAAATTAACAAAACAAATTAATGGAACAAAATATCTTGCTAGAAATATTTATGAAGTATTTTATTCATGAAATGTTTTCTTCTAATGAATAAATATTATGTAATCAATTGTCTGTACACAATATTCTACAGAGTTCAATGTTTTGGAAAAGAATGTATAATATTCAAATGCATATCAAAACAAACGTCAGATATTTGCACTAAGATCATAATCTGTTGCTATACAACTGGATTATAACAATTCTCACAGTACCCAGGTACCTGATGTAAAGGATGAACATACTGTATGGTTCAGCAGATGTCTTAGAGATAGGTTTTAAGTACTGGGTAAGTTTGGAATTTTTTTTCTAGACATGCTTAACCATATACTACTGCAGAGTAAACAGTTTGAAACTTGACAACCTGAAAAAGATGGACATCCTCTGATCAAGGCACAAAGGAATTTTAATGAAACACGTAATCTGAACCATTCAGATGTCCATATTCTGTACCAAACATCTTTCTGTGAGTCAGTCATGCATCAGTCTGACACTAGCACCAATTGAGCTTATCAAATATAGACTTCCACAGACACACCCACCATCTGAACTAAGAAACTCCCGCATCATACAATGAAGAGCAGAATCTTCAAGGAGTCATGTACACCAAATGAAGTGCTGAAAACCCTGATTCATACACACATCTGAACTACAGACACTCCTCGGTCACACACACCAAATGAAGCGCTGAAAATTCTTATTCATACACACATCTGAACTACAGATTCTCCTGGGTCACACACACCAAATGAAGCACTGAAAATCCTGATTCATACACACATCTGAACTACAGACACTCCTCGGTCACACACACCAAATGAAGCACTGAAAATCCTGAGTTCAGTACTACAGAAACTGAGTTCTACACACCACTTGAAGTGGAAAAACTTCTCTGAGTCACACAATCTATCTGAACTCAGCAACTCAATAGTCACACACCTGAATTAGAAAAAGTAAGGAATGCTTTCCGAACAAAGCAAATGGAATACTGCATACACATCTATCTCGACCAAACAGCATCTAACTAAGTTAGATAAACACCATCTGAATAAGACATGCACTTCACATGATATTAGCTTGTCATGTTGCTACCAGATTCAAGCCAATTTCTGAATTGTCTATAGGAATGACTGATCATCTTACACCATCAACTGATTAGGACCATCTTCTGCTGTATTTTTTTCTGCATCTCTTCAGACTCCAGCTGTTCCAGTGTGAGTAGAGACAGTCCCAGCTGATCCTCCTGTATCAACGTGAAACAATGAATATTTTAAGTAAAATAATTGATCAGTAACATAAAAGGAAAGATCGAACAGAACGTAATGGAAACAAGTTGAAAAAGACTTCAAACTATACCAGGAGTCATGAATGATGCTAGTAGAAAAATTCCTACAATCCACTATGACACAACACCTCCAAAAGTCTGGTCAAAAATGGAACCAAATTGTAGGCCACCAAGACTGCTATCAATTCTCTGACAGCAGCACCAACATTTCATTTCAAAGTATTGCATTTAGATTCATCGTTCAAAAATTGTTTGTCCAAATTCAACCAAAGTGGTGTATAGCAATTTATGCAGTTGAAATCTCAACAAATCCATTATTTACAAAATATCTTGTAGATTAGGAATGCTTAGAAGCTGGACTTTAAAAGTGTTGTGTTTAGCTCAACCTTTCTTAACAGCTTTTCCAAACAAATTTGGAGTACAGCTTTGTATCACAGACATCTGAACCCATCAAATTACTAATATTATCAAGTACTAATTGTAATGGGGACCATTATAAATGTCCCCCAAACGACCCCATCAGCAGTAAATGATCACAATAATCAGACCTGCAGTCATGCCAAACAAGAAAATCGGACAATATCTTAAATTTGGCCAAATTTTGACCACAGAGATGACCGATTGATGGCCGAATGAAAAAATTGACCACAGCTGACTGCTCAGATGACCGATCGATGGCCGCATGAAAAACGGACTATGCCATTTTGCTCCTATAATGCCGTCTAATACATATATACCAATTTTCACAAAAATCGGACAATATCTAAAATTTGGCAAAATTTTGACCACAGATGACCGATTGGAAAAATTCAAGTGGCCTGCACTCCGCCTCGCATGTATGAATATGTGTGTAAAGTTTTGTTAAATTCCATGCAATAGTTTTTGAGAAACCCTTCGCAAACCTCGCCGGCGGAAGAAAGTGGAAGAAATAAGAATAATATAAATAATAATAATAGTAATAAGAAACGGAGAAAACACAATATGTTCCCCCCCCCTCCCCCCCACTTTGTTTGGGGGACATAATTATATATTTTTCAAAATTATTTTTGAGACAAAAAACTTGAGATTTTGAAACTTGACTACAAAGTCTTAATGGCTTATTCTATTCACTTCAGATTTAGTTTAAAGACATATTGAAATGAGTCCTGTAAAACATCCAACCCATCATCCTCTTCCTCCGTAAGAGTCATATTTTTACAATTCATCAATATCTTATGATGAAAACACACAGAGTTTACATATAATTAGTTAAAAAAGGACTTGAAAATTTGGTATTTTTGAAAGGGAAGACATAATCTGAGTTATTTAAATTTGCATTTTGCTTAAAAATTACAATACTTTGTACAACCATAAAAAGCATGACTGCATGCCAGCACTTAAATTCCTAAACAATGATATACTCACCCTGCTGAAAGGCTGTGCCATTTGTCTGAGGAATCGTTTAGATACCTGAACAGCTTCATCTGTTGATAGGTTACAAAGATTGTCCGATAGGTTTTCCTGCATCCAGCGAGGTAACTTTCCCCGCTTGTCAGCACGAGCAAACCTCTGTATGACAACACATTTACATTCTCAATACAATAACCTTATGAGAAACAAATCACTTTTAAACTAACATATGACAAAACTGAGCATTAGATTGGTGTCATGCTCCTGTCTGTTGTGTACAAGAGAAAATTTCTGCCTGCCATATCAGCTCTTTCTTTATAATGTTCCCAGTATACAGTAAGGCAGCCACTAGCTACTAAAAGGAGACCTCATCTCAAAATGACCCTGGCTGTTCACAAGGTTATAAACCCAATAAACAAACCTGTATTTTTTATGACTTTAAAAAAGACAATGACTGACCATCCTGTATTACTAGTAAGACATATACACCTTTATGTGAAGAGAAACATTTTCATGTCAGCAAAACAAGTCAATTTTATTGTACAGCTTCATTTCTACCATTACTCAAATAAATAACCAAAGATATCCTCATCATACACATGTTCCTTGACAACAAAAAAGGTATCGTGGTATGATACAAGCATTGCATACCTTGTCAGCAAACACCATAACTCCATAATCTGTCTTCCCACGGAGAACACGTCCCAGACACTGCGCAGAATGTCGCATGGCATCAAATGTGAGGAAATCATTCTCTCTGATCTGATACTGATCCCGCAGGTACTCGAGTCGAGCCTGTGGATAGGTGTCAACATGTCTTATCTCAATGGCAGACCTATAAGTGTTATCATGTGTTATCTCAATGACAGACCTGTCAGTCTGTCAGTCTATCTGTCTGTCAGTCAGTCTATACACTGTTTGTTATATCCAAAATTATTTTTCTTCCAGAGTCAATAATTACAAATTGTTGTTTCTACAATAGCTGAAATTATAACATCTCTGAGATATGAAATTTATAAAATGATTATAGTAATCCTGTATCTAGACCATGAAGGGAGATAATCAAGGATATTATTGGCTATTTGTACCTTAAGAATCCTACTCTGGGTGTAAACATATGGCACGCCAAACATGATTACAGCACGGCCAAAGTGATGATCTACAATATAACCAACAAAATAAATCAACTTTTATACCTATTAAGATCACAACAGATACTTCTCTAAATACTAATGAGTTAATATGGTGTGTTATTGGAAAGTCAATTTCTTCTCAGATTTGTTAATTATTTTATATCATTTTAAATTTTAATCGTCAACATTTGTATCACAAATGCCTTCGACCAATATAAAAGCTCAGCATGTTCTCTTTCAAGTAATAAAATTTAATACAAAAAAACAAAACTACTTGTGTATAATGAAAGAAATGGTCCCAGTACCAAAATCAATTCCTTCCGAAACTTTGCCTCTTGCCACTGACAGCAGCACAGCTCCTCTACCATTCTCACAAGCCTGGATCAAACAAGGTGTCAATATTAGCAAACTATCATCAATACAAAGAGTTCTGTGATATATATGTAGGAGGAAAGAGTAATGAAAAACATGATCTGCCTCAACTGGGGCCTAAATCTTGTTTTCAAGGAGGATTAACTCTATCCATTTGACAAAGAGAAATTCCACCTAGCTGAGGCTGGTGACTTCTACACTAATCCCTCCTGCACAAGTCTTCTGCCCAACAACCACTGCCCTGGTTCTTTAATCTCCATGGAAACACCTCATTCTCATATAGCTCTTACCCTTGGAGTGGTCAATGGTATCTTATCAGTTACAGGACATTCTCTGACCCCATTGGCGGTCATTAACAAAGGGAGGTAAGTCTGGGAGGTCAGATAACAGAATGCAGTAACAAAAACATGTTCTGCCCCCTCTGAACCCCAAATCTATCCAGCCTTTTGCTTTCGATGTTACAGTCTTAAAATATATGTCTCTATGCTATCCAGAGAAAGTTGTTTAACAACTTAAACACATTTTGTAACCATGTGACCTTCATACAGGGCAATATTATTTGAACAAATTGATAGTCTTTCATTCATATATGCTACAGGCCTTTACCTAGGTTGAATTAATTATTCATGAACAGTTTTGTATGGACTTTGATTCATTTGCTAACAATGATCTTGAAACTAAGCAAAGTTAAACCATTAAAACTAATCCTTTATCACGGGCTACCTCCAAACAAATATCCTAAAATAATGGTAACTCCAGAAAAAGCTCTTTATAAATTTTTTAAACATTTGATTCCATCCAATCAGGCACTGCAAAGGTTGTTACTTAAATGACTGAATAGAAAAATCTAAAAACATGAATAACTTGAGAATAAAACAAGTTGTCCAGGAGAACATCATAGTCTGTTTCAGGATTTCAGTGAAATTGCTTGTGTGTTCTGAAATTTTATCAAAATTGCTACAAATTTTGAAAAGTAACAAGTTATTTGAGCAATATCATTTTATCCATCCATAAGACAAATCAGCTCACAAGGACTTCCATGTAAAGTATAACCATCATTTTCAAAGATTTTGAAAGGTCTGAGTGACCTTGAAAGTAGGTCAAGGTCAATACCCACCTTTTGATAGTTGAGAAGGGCCAGTGTTGTCTCTGCACCATCCTGTGTCTCTATAAACAGCAACTTGTGTTTCTGTACCTGGTCAATGATCCCCTGCATCAACATACAAAGAGTGTAACTTTATTTAGTAGCTATGACAAGAAGTATTGACACAATAAAGATGTTACTTTATCCCTCACTATAACAGGATCAACACCAAAAATGTTGTGTTTATATATCCTGTAGCCTGGACAGATAAATGTTAGTATATTCTGTTACTTTTTATGTGGGTTGGACATACAAACACAAACTAGAAGTGTTGGTACAAATGTCCTCCCAACAATTACTGACCTGTTTACAGGTGAATATTTGGATTTACTGACTCCCAAAGGTGATATTTCCAGAGGCTGATGTAAATATCACCCTTTCTCAGGTTGATCAATCCTCATTTTCATATGAAAACATCACCTGAATATGAGAATTTATCAAGCCCGAACACAATAGAACAAAATCTTGTAACTACAACCCTGCACAATATTCTGAGAGCAAACGAATATAACTCTGCTTCTATCTGGATTTTTCACCAGGATTCAAATCTGATCTGTAACTCCATAGATTGAAGCCATACACCTCAAATTTGAAGTTGTTTTCTCCAATGATAAAATAAAACTGGTCCCGAAAAATTGCCATTTTGCACAATATTCTATGTTCAAGAAGTCATATCTTCATCTTAAATTGGATTGTTTGACAAGAAATCTTTGACTCCATAAGTTGAAGCTATACACTAAATGTAAAGTCGTTTTATCTCTGAACATAAAAAGTCTGTGAAAAACTGCCATTTTGCACAATAGTTTAAGGGCAAAGGGATAAATCTTTACCTTATGTAAGATTTTTCACCATGATTTGAACTTGATCTGTAACCTCATAGGTTGGAGTCACATGTCTGATGTAAAGTGATTATCCCTGAACAGGAAAAAAAGTCTAGAAAACCATTTAGGAATGTTTGTATGGGCAGATGAGAGCAACACCACAGACAGTGTATATGTCCCCTTCCCCTCACCCTCGTTTCATGGCAGGGCAATAAAAAAAAACAAGGAAAAATTAACAAGACATTGCAAAAAATACAAAGCAATGTTCAACCATGAATTGTGCCTAATGCCTGAAGTTCCCTCTGAAAGATCTGGAAAGGATTTTCTAAAAATACATATGTAATAATAATGACCTTGACTTTGATCATAGCACCATAACACTTCTGAAGTGGTGACAAGGATAGTAACATTGACCTTGACTCTGAAACCATGAAACTCAAACTCATGTGAGTTATCATTGTCCTAACATGATTTTTTTATACAAATTCCTCAAAGAATGAAGCTGTTTGAATGATAAAAAGGATTTAGAAAAAAATAGTAATATTGACCTTGACCTAAATCCAACAACCCAGAAACTTAAACTCAGGCAAAATGTTATGACCCATTTTATGTGTCTGATAAAAATTCCTCCTGGAATGAATCTTTGAAATTATATAATGAATTTATTCTTTTTTCTCTTCCTTCTACCTCCAATCACTTGTATGACATTATGCCATTACGCCATTAATTAATCAGAACATGAGGCCATGACCTTTGACCTGCTGACCTTTTGTTATCACTGCATGATGCAAAGTAGGATTTTTACCAACTTCATTTCATAATTCTGTCACAAAATCTTCCCAAGCTAAGAAATAAACCATTTGACTTGATAACTGACCTCGTGACTTTAAGAAATTTACTGAGTAATTCATAATTTGAAACCAATCAACTTTATACAATAAGATATTATTCAGTTAAAAAATGAAAAAAAAAAACTTGACCTTTGACAAAGAGAAGTCTAGTTAAAATATAATAACTGCTGACTTTGACATTTGATTCATGACCTTGATGACTGTTCAATATTATTCTTCATTTAATTCAAATCTGTTTTGCAAAAATAATATAAAAACAAAGTATTTACCAGAAGCAATACCAGATTGAATAATATTTCAGTAAAACTATTAGCTGAAGAATTTGATATAACTTTCTGGGGAAGAAATAAAATTTGGTGCAATGTAGTTATATGATCACAATTTTTTTTAAATTTTAATTTCATGAGAATCAGAAACCTGATGGAATCAATTCTTAATTTAATTTAGCTTTTAAATTGTCTCATATATTGATTAATCCCATGCCAAATATCAAGCCTTTCAAAATGTAAAAAAAATAAAACAATAATTTAAAAAAAAACCACACATATTTGTTATGTATGATACAGATAATATAATACAAAATCAATGTTTAATGTAAAATTAAATGAACATAAATTAATATTATGGTAACTGTTATCACAAGAAATATTATTCCATCTTTTTCTTTTTACAATATATAGGTAAACAAAATGAACTGTGGCAATTTTATTCAAATACAATTTTGGCAAATAACTAACAAAAATGTTGTCTGTTATTAAACCAGTCAAATTTTTAAATGCTCCCATCACATATGATAAAATTGAATAATTTCATCATAAAGAAAGTGATTTGTGTCACGCTGAAAGTCATTTACTAAAATGACACCCAAGCTTACATGGAAAATAACTAACAGAAATGTTATCTCTTATCAAACTAGTCAAGATTTTGAAATGTTCCTATCACATACAATTTGTGATAAAATTTAATGATTTCATCATAGAGAAAATGATTTGTGTCACCCTGAAAATCATTAATTAAAATGACACCCAAGCTTACATGGATCCTCTTGATAAGAGTTTGATTAAGGTCATCATTTGGGTGTCATTACCATTAACCTTTGACACTACCAATCAGGTGAGCCTAATTGTCAGCTTGGAGTTAATCAATGGTCTGACAAGCCCATCTGCGGGAATGATCTTTGATGTTATACCAAGTTTTCACCAGAATTAACAGGACATTTCTAATTGTCACTTCAATGGATACAGCTTGGTTATATCTTCCAAGAAAATCAAAGTCCGAAGTTTGTTCATATCACCATCAAGGTAAGTCCACAATTTAATGATGATTTCTCAAAAATTACATCAGATTTATTGTTGGTAACATATCAATGCAATATAGGTAAGTCTATTCTAAATAAAAATGTGATAATGTCAAGTCCTTTTAAATCTAAAAAAATCATGGCCAACTTTTGCTTTTTATTGCATTACATTTAAATTTTCATCTAGTAATAACTGATAAGTATAGCTTTTTATATTCTTGTTTTTGAAAACCTCTGTTGAGAAAATATAAAAATTGTTAAAATTGAATTAAAGGCCATATGGCAGGGATGATTTACTGCATAAAATGTTTGTACAAAAACAATGCCTGGGTGAAAATAATGCTTAGATAAAAATATCTTATTGTTGTTGACATGCTGTTTAAGTAGTATGGTAATATCTTATGCTCGTATTAAGTTCCCATTGATAGAAACTTAATTAGAACTTTTTTTCTGTCGAATTATGTGTAAAAGATATTACTTATTAGATATAAACAAAATATGAAACTTTCTGAATACAATACATTTACATTTTCTTTTGAGAAGGTTTAGCTTTAATTTAATTTACAATAAATTTTGACATGTAACTATTTGTCTATAAACTAGCACAAGAATATACATGACAGGTGAAACAGTGGCCTAGAGAGTTTGGGCATCTTGGTCACTCAGCCTTGACCAGGTAATGTATAGCTAGGTTTGGATATATATACAATAACACCCCATGAACTTTGCATGATCTGTTTTGAAATTTTTGGTGCCTTTTTCATTGACCAATCAGAGAACAGGGGATGATACATATTCTACCTATTGCCCATGTCAGTTGCTCTACATGCATACCAATGAGACAATCTTGACCAATAAAATGTCATTGACCTTTTCATGTGACCTTATCAGTATATAAACATGCAGCTCCCTCTGTTATGTGCTCACTGTTTTGTTTCATTCAGTTGTGTGGTGATCTGTCAAAATTGGAGGGAAAATACAAAGACTGGAACCAAATTATCACCTACAGCAATTATCTGAGGCCTAGTTGAGTTTATTTCACCTCAAGGATTATGGAAGTGAAACAAGAGACACTGGAACAATCTGACAAATACATTAACAGTAGTCCTACTCTGGATGAGATCTACACTGACATTTGTTCTATATACATTTCGGATATTGACAGTATGGTTCATGGTGATCGTACTACACCTACTGGAGGCCTACCTCCATGTCTACCCTCCTGGGACTGTTCACCGGTACCAACCTCATTACACAGCAGTATGATGCACCTACGTTCTCTCTCACCTGACCCTAGATACGAGGAGATCCCCTCATGCCAGCATAGTGAGTATTATAACAATATGAATTGTCAGGACACTATTTCGCAAAGCTCCACCTCCCAGAGTTATCAGGAATGGGGCATGTATAACTGGGAACATTTCCCTGGGTACAATACACACAGATATGATATTCCATCTAGTCTTACTGACAGTGGAAGCTGTTACTACAAGTCTACCTCTGTACCCCTAACTCAGCAGTACAGTGATGATATTGCCCGTTGTTCCACACCTGACCTCATCAACACCTTGTCCTCACTTCAGACTGACAGGGACATTCAGAGTGAGAGCTCTACCCATACAAACAGTGCTATTGACAGAAAAAGCAATGTGGCTGTGATACAAGAACATGGTACATCAGCTATGTTTATGCACCTTGCACAACGTTACCAGGACAGTGGTTATAGTTCAGACTTGTCCATGTCACCGGTCTATCCCTACAAGTCCAAAACCACAACTAAAAGTAAACAAGATGAGGACGAAGAGGTTAAGGACTGTCAAGTGCACCTCAACAGCAACCTAACTTCAGTTCAACATATACCCAAATTCAGTTCACTGGAGAAGGCTTCCATATCTATGTCACAGAGTAACATACTAACTTCACTACCCAGAGTCTACTCCTCGTCTCGAAAGGAGAGTCAAATTCAATCCAGTGATGTGTCCTCATCGGATTACCCTGCCTCTTTGAATGCTACCAAGGCTTTACACAGAATGCCTCCAATTCAACCCAATTCTGTGATTTCAAACAAACATTCCACCAAACGACAGAATCAGTCACAGGAACTGGATGGACCAGCCAAACGTAAACCTGTGACACCAGCATCAGAGACTGATGATAAAAATGATGTATTGACACAACAACTCCCTCCAACAGACAGAAAGACCATATTCCCTAATCACCAGAGTAAGTCAAAGACTGATCGTGACAAGAAAAGTAGGCACAATCAGCCACTAAGTCTGCAGGCCACCGGTGCTATGATGAGTTGGTATGAGAGCCACCGAGAAAACCCTTACCCCAGCAAAGTAGAGAAGGAGATGATGGCAAAACTTGGAGGAATCACTGTCACCCAGGTCAAATCTTGGTTTGCTAATAAACGTAACCGCAACAACAACACACGACCCAAGGTACAGAAACGTCAGATGACGGAACGCCTGATGAACATTTGCCATGAGCTAGCACGAAACTCTCAAAATCCTACCATGAACAACGCAGACATCATTCAGAAACTGTCCACCATTATCACTGTATCACCAAGTGAGAATCTGTGAAGTGTGATACTGTGCTGTGTTATGTGCTGAACTGGGGTGTGTTACCCAACATTACATTTATACATATTAACATTATTTTTGTGCCTGGAGAATGGACCCAAGTTTAAATGTTGCACCCATTGAATGTGATGCAACTGCTCCCTCCTACATATGTGCTATTAAATATTACAGTGAACATTACTAATTCTGATTTCAAGTTGCTAATAATCAGGTGTAAATTTGTGTTTGTGAAATAATTATTTTAGCTATTTGCATTGTGTCAATATCATGTTTTTAAAAGAATTTTCAATTGAAATTGACATGAAATGAAATATGTTTTTTTCTAATTCTGCCTGTAAAAATGTGGTAGTAATCATATGGAAATCAAACTAATATTAACTCGTATTACAAGAAATTAATATATATTATCAATGTAGTCCTGATACAAACCAGGTATCAAATAACTGAAATAACAAGAGTTATTTCCCCTGTGTAATAGCTTACAAAAGATATTCTTGATACATGCATTTGATTATCTTCCCCGCTGCGTCTTTGTACAATTATCTTTTTTATCTTGAAGAAGAATGTAAATAAATATGTGCTTGGATATGAATCTTTGCCCCAAATAATAACTGATTCTTCTCCCCAACACTAAGCGTAATTAATTTTAAAGTCAACAAATAGACCTTTTTCAAATTTATATCTCAACAGAGCAAAGTCTATTGGCGAAGTTTACAAAAATCTCATTCTTTATACATTGATTCGATTGAATTGATATTTTTTTTTACATTTGTTAATAATTCCGTCCCCCTCCTACATTGTATATCTGTTTTGTTACAAGTTACATTTACATTTTGACAATGTGTATATTTTGTTCGAAGTTTTGTAATGTTTTTAAAGTTAATCATATGCTTATTAACTGAAGCAGATTGTCATGATACAAAAATGTCAATCTGGTTTTGTTGAATTGTTGGTAAAATATTACTTTGCAGTACTCGGGTTTGGTGGGAGAGCCTAGCCTCCTCATACTTCACCAGATAGCTGTTAAGTATCTGGTTTGGTGGGAGAGCCTAGCCTCCTCATACTTCACCAGATAGCTGTTAAGTATCTGGTTTGGTGGGAGGGCCTTGCCTACTCATATTTCACCTGATAGCTGTTAAGTATCTGGTTTGGTGGGAGGGCCTAGCCTCCTCATACTTTACCAGATCGCTTTTAAGTATCTGGTTTGGTGGGAGGGCCTAGCCTCCTCATACTTCACCAGATAGCTCTTAAGTATCAAGGTTGGTTGGAGGGCCTAGCCTCCTCATACTTCACCAGATAGCTGTATAATCTATGGTTTGGTGGGAGGGCCGAGGGTACTCATACTTAATCTGACATCTGTTATGTCCCTGGTTTGGAGGTAAGGGCTGAGGGTACTCGTACTCCACCAGACATCTGTCATGTCCCTGGTTTGGTGGGAGGGCTCAGGGTACTCATACTCCACCAGACATCTGTTATGACTCTGGTTTCCAGGGAGGGTCGAGGGAATTCATACTCCACCAGACATCTGTTATGTCTCTGGTTTCCAGGGAGGGTCGAGGGTATTCATACTTAGTATAGTGTCCATATCCAGATATGGTTTGTAGAATTCAATTAGCTTTTTTGAGTCGGGTATAAAGTTTTACGTATTTTTGTGCAACACTCATTGTACCTGTACTTGGCTGTGTTATTATTCTTATTTTATTGAGAATTCCTGACTTTGTGATAGAGTATGTAACTACCTCAGTATCTAAATCAACACTTTCATGTTTATGTACCATGATAAAGGAGACCAGACACAAAACATTTTGCCAAATTAAAACTGTTTTAAAATATGTTACATGTTAATACTATCAAGTGCTTTCAAATATGTGGATTTGTGCTTTTCATATCTAAATGTTGAAATTAGTAAATATGTGTTGAAAAAATAGTTATGAGGAATCAAGATAGTTGTAGTGTGAGGAAGTGTGTTGTAAACCAGTAAATATGGTGAGTAATAATGAAGCAACATATAAATAGCTTTGTATTTATTTTTGTAAGAAAAATATACAATGCTTTGCAGAAATCTTTTGTTTTCTGATGACAATAGTTAGCAGTTATATTGATGTGCATGCATTGTAACATGTTGGTTCCTACACTTACATGAATATTTTTATGGAAGTATTTTTGAAAAGGAAGCATAACTATGATGGAATGAACAGTGGTGAGAATGTATTTATAAGTGTGAAAATGATTTTTGAAAGTTGAGTGTGTTGGTAAATTGGCTATGTGTATGTGATAAGGTTAAAAATGCTGTGTAACACACAGAACACGACGATTCCAAATGTACATAATGATATACTCCAGAATGAATGTGTAAATAATCTGGAAATTATTTGTATCCATACAAACTTGAAAATTCCTTCCTATATATGTACAGAAATCATACTTGCATGCATAACAACATTTCAACATTTGTGTTTTAATAAAAATGAACACAATGACATCCAAACTTTGCATTTTATTTCTATCATGTTAAAAAATGCAGATCAAACTGATCGATGAATATAAAAAAAACAAAAACTGGCAGAGGAAGTGAAGCTCTTTTATTTTCCATGACTATTAACACATGCAGCGATCCTGTGAAGAGCACATGGTTTATAAATATACAGATTCAACATACTGAAAAATGAACATTAGTATCTGCCTCATACACTGTATGACAGATAAATGTACTGTACTGCCATTTTCAGGTCTGCTAAATGTATGTGACTTCTTAAACTTAACAGTGGGGGACTACAATGCTTCTTCTAACAAAAGATAGTTTTTCTTAACCTACGAAGAATTTTCATGAACTCAATTTTTTGTACCTTCATTTTAATTTAAACAGGATATATTTTTTATAATATTAAACAAAACATACCTGTTCATACCAGGAGGCCACTGTGGATTCCTGAAAAACATAAACAGACATTATATAGACAGGGATTGTCTATTTTTCATGATACATGTATCTGTATAATAGATTTAAAACTTGACAAAACTTTTAACTGGTGTCTGAGTTCTACAAATATTTGAAATGCTATGTGTTCTTACATAGAATGTCTGAAATTAATTTAAATTCGTTGCTAGGGCAACTCTTCACAAGCAGACATGATGACAAATATCAAACTAATTATTGTTGCTGTTCAGTGATCTCATCATATCCTCTTTGTATGTATTCATTTCTGACAGGAGAGGTTCCTATTAATGGGATTTAAGCCAGTAAGCTCAGCTTAACAAAGCATTAACCATAACAACAAAGTGGTGGATACTTGATTGTGTCTTGTAGTTCAGATTTGTTGTGTTGTCTTTAAACTGTCTTGCTGCATTAGATACTCTTTCTTGATGAGAATATTTGTAGAAGTTTAAGTGCCTTGATATTCCCTTTTAAAACACACTTCACTAAATTTTGAGGCATATTGACAAAGTTTAGTTATTTTAACTCTCACACAGAAGATTCATTGAAGGGAAATAACTTGCCCACAATCTTGATAAATTCTGTTCAGCTACTTACCATGTACACATAGCTCGTAAAAAAACATACAATCCCATCTGGAACTATTGCAGAAAAGTCTACCAAAAGGTTGCCATAGTTACGAATTACAGCTGCAAAAAGAAATAATTGAATTATATCCATTCTTCAGAATATCTTTTTGACCTCAAACTATGAAGCTGAAAAGGTTGTTTCTCATGAAATATTTTCAGGTCATATGGAAGATTTTATTTGTACTATAGCCTTAGAATGATGTAAAAAAAAGACTTCACAAATCTTAATTAACAAAATGAAGAGATTAAAAAACACCATAATTATTCTTCAGTTCTCAGCAAATATACAGATTATACTAACACAACATCATACAAAATCTACTTGGAAATATCTACATGTGAAGAATAAAAAAAGGACTGAGAAAGCCTACAGGAGTCCAGAATGTGAAAGGCTACACAGGTCTGGGCTGAGAAAGCCTACAGGAGTCCAGAATGTGAAATCCTACACAAGCCCATACTGAGAAAGCCTACACAAGTCTGGACTGAGAAAGCCTACACAAGTCTGGACTGACGAAGCCTACACAAGTCTGGACTAAGGAAGCCTACACAAGTCCTGACTGACGAAGCCTACACAAGTCTGGACTGAGGAAGCCTATACAAGTCTGGACTGAGAAATCCTACACAAGTCTGGACCGAGGAAGCCTACACAAGTCTGGACTGAGGAAGCCTACACAAGCCTGGACTGAGAAAGCCTACACAAGCCCGGACTGAAAAAAAATCCTACACAAGCCCATACTGAGGAAGCCTACACAAGTCTGGACTGAGAAAGCCTACACAAGTCTGGACTGAGGAAGCCTATACAAGTCTGGACTGAGGAAGCCTACACAAGTCCTGACTGTGAAAGTCTACACAATCCTGGACTGAGAAAGCCTACACAAGTCCTGATTGAGGAAGCCTACACAAGTCCTGACTGAGGAAGCCTACACAAGTCCTGACTGTGAAAGTCTACACAATCCTGGATTGAGAAAGCCTACACAAGTCCTGATTGAGGAAGCCTATACAAGTCTGGACTGAGGAAGCCTACACAAGTCCGGACTGAGAAAGCCTACACAAGTCCGGACTGAGAAAGCCTACACAAGCCCGGACTGAGAAAGCCTACACAAGCCCTCTATCTGAAGACTTGTTTATTTCACATTGATCAGTAAGTGTTATTTACCTATGTCTTCTCTAGTCTCAAACTTTGTACTCATGGCCACTTGGTCATTCCCTTTGCTGACAATCTATGAAATAAAAATATCAATGCAATATCAGTTATACAGGAAAAGTGTTTTTTTTCTTAAATTAACATCGCAAACTCTTTGATTTTCTGAATACCATAAGTAAAGTTCCTAACCTTCAAATTCTAGTTTGAATAATTAATTACTTTGCGAATAACAATCTTATGGAATTGTACAGTGATTAACCAATGAAGCTCACCATGGGACATATACAGGTACGGGCCAGTGTCATAGAGAAGGATGCCATGGTTACTGGTCGAAAGTCCAAGATCTTAGGATACATATCTAATGGGGACAAAGTCTGAAAAACAAAACATTTTCTTTGTTTTCCCCTTTGTGCATCAACATCAAGAAAAACAACATAATGCTTTAACAGTGAACTGATTTTAAATATCATGGCTGGATTTATGACATAATATTTGATTACACATAAAATATTAATGTTATATTGATATTAAATATATTCAATTACTTACAAAATTATCAATTTTATATGAATATTTACATACAAAATATCAATATTACAACCATATACTAAATTATGGTCCTCAATCTCGCATCTAACTTTTAATAACCTGCCAAAAAGTGTCATCAGTAAAGATGTGTGACACTGAGTGTCACTGATTTAATGACTTACTCCAGATGTGATAACAACAGACTGGAAGCGATCAAACACAGGTTTGATGGCTATGGAGGCATCCATGCAGCTAAAATTTAGGATCGGGTTAGATATCGTTGGTGTTCGATCATCAAATGGCTCAATGATGAGAGAAAAACCTACAGAATTAAAATTTAGATTCAGTTATTAGTCGTGTCAACACATATTACATGAATCAAAACATTAATGGTAACCTTCTATTGTAATGATTCTTATAGCCAAACGCTCTTAGATAATATTGTTCTTGATAAGTTCTTTTTGTTTTTAATACAAACGACGCCTAACTTTTATCTCTACTACTTGTCTTTAGATATTCAGCTTGTTTTTTTCATGTCATTAAGAAAATTATGCAGACGACTAATTTATTGTTATAAACAATAGCTTTACCTTTTATCTGTCTGATGCTAAAACAGTATTGACTAACAGATATGGGAACTAATCTATACATTTACCTTTTGTGTAGGTGCTGACAAGTGTGGCGAAGTGAGACATGAGAGTAAGAGGGGTGAAACTCTGAAGGTCAATAATTTCTAGTGTTCTAAGCAAAGACCTCAGTCTTTCAGCACAAAACCTGTGACAAACATAGAAAGGTCTTCATACAAAAAAATCAGGAAAGACACTTTACCAGCTAAATACACACGTTTCTATTGATCTGTAAATAGATCTGTACATATAGATTGATCAGGGAGTGGTTTAAACTGCAAGAATGGTTTATCTTGCAATGAAAAGCCAATTGCAGAAGTTCAACAGTTTTCTTCTTATGTCTTACCTTAAAAGTATATCATATTACCTGAATAACCAGACATGTTCACATTTTTATAACAGTTCACACGATTTGCATCAACAGATTGACAGCTTTAGGAATAATTTCCATAAATCCTGATAAATCTATATGAGTGATTAGTGGTGCGGCCTAAAAAGATCATGTATGTGGCCTAATTAACCAAAAGGCTATTTACCGAAGTGGTTTACGATCTATGCAGACTTTTTGTGCGCAGTCCTTTAGAAATGAAGGTGGGCTCTCTGACACGACATGCTGAACCCGCAGACGGATCTTCATGTACTCGAGGAATCTCTTCATAAAGGCAAGAAAGTGCTCAGCATTTCGTATATTACCTGGCACAGCCTCTGTCAGCCAAAAATACAGGTAAAATTCTTTATCAAATAATTTCTTATATTACCTGGCACAGCCTCTGTCAGCCAAAAATACAGGTAAAATTCTTTATCAAATAATTTCTTATATTACCTGGCACAGCCTCTGTCAGCCAAAAATACAGGTAAAAATTCATTATCAAATCATTTCGTATATTACCTGGCACAGCCTCTGTCAGCGGAAAATACAGGTAAATATTCTTTATCAAATCATTAAATATAATAAAAAGAATGTATTTTTTCAAAAATATTTTTTTGCAACCAATCTAAACAGTATATACTAACAAGTTAAAAAATTTGAATTAAAACTGATTTGAAATTTGAATTTTCATACATTTTTAGACTTGCAATGTTATGTTATGCTTTATCCTATTCAGGTATTAAGACCTAATATCTGTAAATGTATTAGGGACACATGGAGAAACTCTATCAAGGTATTTCAGGTCTAGCATTTATGAGACAAGTGTTATCAGTGATAACTTACAGTTGATGAATTTTTTGGAAATGCATGTTACAGTTCCTTACCTTGGAGAATTTGATCTGGTAATACTGCAAAACAAAAGAAATTAAGACATTGAAAGTTTCTAAAAATACAGGATTCAAAAAATGTATTTGCATAAAAAAATTCATTACAAGGTACAATAAGACTACTGAGATATATCACAGAACTCACCTGGATTAGAGAGAACAACGTCAGTTTCTCTGTTGATGTGTGCCTCCCTCAGCCCATCAACCAATCTCCTATACTCGTCTTGAAGACGATCTGTGTCAGAATCTTTGATTCTATAAATAATTTTAACAGTAAACAATATTACATAATTTAAAAAAAAGCACCACCTCCTGAAGCCTGGTAGGCAAATAGAGTATTCTACTAACTTCTACAGCTAGAATACAAATATGAATTTGTTTGTAGAACAAGGATATTGGTTTTCTGGAAATTTCTTCAGCTGGAGATTTTTCTTGAAGCAAAGTTACAAAATGGTAGCTAACAAAGACTTATACCTAATTATTGATAATGATGTTATTGTAAATACTTACAATGTTTTTTTTAAACAAAGATAAGAATTATAAATAGAATCACATTGCCATTACATTATCACCTGTTAATTAAGAACAGTAATCAATATATTGCATCATCTGTTGTTTACATTCTGCATATCATTTTCCTATGACAAATCCCAAGTGATGTTAAGTGGATTTTCCAGAGCTATCATAAGTAATAACAATACAATAATACCTGTTGATGTGTTTGGTGAGGGCTTCTACATTCTGGGTACATTTGTCCAGTGTTCGTCTACTGATAGTTACACTCATTGATTCTATACATACATTATCTGAAATTTTACAAAATACACATTCATACATGTCAACTCATTTTTATTTTTAATGATTTGGGAATTCATCCCAGATCTAATAATTTTATTTTTAGGCATCTAGAGTACTTAATTTTTTAAACATAAATTTCTGTTACTGTAATATGTACTCTCACTTTGAAGACTAGTGTGTTCACATACAAGATATCACAGTTTAAAGAACTATAAAGACAAAATTTGTAGAAACACCTCAATATGTACAAAATATATTTTTTCTGCTTTTGAAGGGCATAATATAAGATCTTAATACATGTCCTTTGATAACAGCTATGGCTGGAACCTGTTAATAAAAATCAAATAAAAAAAAAAAAAGCAATACCTATATTATGAGCTTCGTCAAATATAACAATGGATTGTTTTGAGAGTTCCTTGGACACCAAGTCTGCAATCTTAGGATCCAACAAATAGTAGTAGCTGTACACAACAATATTTGCATGGGAAATCTGAAATCATGACATCAAATCTTTAGTAAAGTTCTCAGAAAATAAAATCATGTATCATATACATAGATCCTCTGTTGTGTTACTCCAATAAAATGTTCTATTTCTTTTGGTAAATTCCCAATGATATGATTATCTGATTTTTTGTATTACTTTTCTATTGTTAATTAATCAGAAAAAAAAATACTGAAATTAAACCTGTAATTTTAAATCTTCACATTTCAAATTTGTGATAAAAGTGAAATATAACAGTGCTTGTTTTTATGAGTTCTGTATTAGCTTTGACACCATAGTGAAATCTTACAGCGTATCTTGCCAAAAAATAAGGACACCATCCTCTTCGTCTTCCAAAATCTTTGAGCTCATCCTGAATAAAAAGAAAGTTCCTATTCAATTTCCGATGTAGTGTAAATATAATTCGGCAAGTGGATTTGAGATTTGTATCTGAAAAGCATGATGTTTATCATTAAAGAGTAAAAAGCTGTGCTCACCAAACCATATACTCCTTCAGATAAGGGAACCTCTCTTCCATTCATATCAAATTTCTGTGAAAAGACAGAGAATATGCAGTTAAAAACTATATGGTAAAAATGAAAATTTTTTTATGCTTCCAAAACTATCCATTTATTCTAAATCCCTCTCCCCCATTTTTTATCTTACAAATTATTTTTGATCTCTGTCTTTCTATCAGACAATTATTAGCTGATTTACCTCGTAGAAACTGCAGGAGGGAACATTTTCGGGGTCTCTCTTGTGTCTCATCCGTACATGCGTTGCTGTCAGCTGGTGGCAGTTACTATCTACAGTCTTACCATCCTGATTCTGACTCACCTGCATTCAGCAATTGATGTTCTTTATATTCAAAGTAATATAAACAAAGATGCAATACTAACATTTTTTAATGTGTGTCACCTTTTCTTACTGTAAAGTCTTTAAAATTTGCCAGGCTCATATTTTGTCAGTGACAGCGTCACACATGTCCTGATACACAGCTATTAAGCCTTGTGCTTGTCTATATATTGATATCCATGTATAGACATATATATTACATTTTTTGAGATTTTGATTCCCAGTAATGATATATATAACTTCACTTTATATTTAAATGGATATTCAGCACAAATCAGGATTTCAAACAATAATTCATAAAAAAAATACTGAATGTATCTACTTATGTTCATATAGAAACTCTATACCTCAATTTACCACATTAACATACTTATAATATTCAAATTCTCTATAGATCTAGCCAGATCAATTTCCCACATTAGCTTGACAATGATAAAGCCACAATAGGTTTATATTTTATTCGCCAAAAAGTAGTAAATATTTGCGCATATCTTGAAATTGACAAAAACTCAGCCTAACAAAGAAATGGAATTCCAACCCCAGCAGATACTATAAGTAAACAGTGGGTTGACCTATGTATTCAGTGAATACTTAACACAAAATCTTCAATTCAGTCAGTAAATGAATTAAAGATTTCCAAATATGCTATATTTTGACAATCTATTTCTACATTGGCGAGGTATTTCCATTGATTTCGTCTGTCTAAACTGACATTAGGAAAGAAATTTTGATGCTGACAATAGTTTTTAAATGTCATTAGAAAGAGTTTGAAAGAGAAAGGTCAGAAAGTTGCCAACTTGTGCAGAATATCCCTCTAATGACCATGAATAGAGCCAAATTAAGCTCTCCTTAAATACTACCAAATAAAGAGCGTCATTAATTACATAAGCATCATTTTTAAATTAATTTTTTATAACCATTGTTTTATCAGCTACTCACCACACTGATTAATTGCTGAGAAATAAGTTTGTATTTTGCTATTCAGTTTACACTGATGTTACCTCCGGGTGAATACAGAGATTTTTCCTTGAACTGAGAGCGAGTGCCATGATCTTCGGTCGTTCTTCCCCTGCCTCCCTCTCATAGTACTGCATCAGATTCTTCAGTTCCTCAACCACCTATCAATACCAGATGATATGGTATGAAACGCGATGCACTACCTTTTAGTTCAATAACTTGAGTTCAATTATACAAAGATTTTTTTTTTATGGAAATGGAAAAAACTGACACTATTCAGTAATGACAGGTACAACAAGTATCATAGCTTAAACTACAGAACAAAAGAATAAAGACTATAGACTAAAAGTAACACATGTATTAATGTCCTTAACTCAAGTTTTGATCTAAATCAATTTACATGCAAAAATCAACAGATACAACAAATTTTTTTCTCCGTTTTACCTTTTGGCCTTATTTGATGACAGCTGAAATATATGTTTTTTGTTTATTGTATAGCAGATTTTACATAGGTAAAAAAGAAAGCCTTGGCAAAAGGGAAATTTGAAAAATGTTTCCCTGTTGAGGTGTTTGTAAGCGACACACAGCAGTCTTTCTCACCTTTTCTAATTCTGGTACTGTTCTGGAGCAGTAGATCACTTTAGTGACATCTAGAGGATAGGTCTGAAACACAATAAACAAACTTATGTTGAACACTTTTACATGGTTTATGATAGGCATCACTACAGTACAATACTGTATGATGTTAGTCACTGATGTATATGGTGTTGATGATGGGTATGTTATTTGTATGTAACAGAGGGTATGATTTATTTCAATGCTTCTGTTTGGATTTGAACAGGGAACCCCTGGTTTACTAGTCTAATGCTCGACCGATCAAACGAAAGAGAAATTCATTCTAGCCAAGCGGCATATTGTGGCTAATATTTACCAAGGTTACATAAAATGGATGGTCGAGAAGTGTAATAGTATGGAGTCACCTGCCTGATTGTGCAGGACTTTTCTGGGTATTCTGGTTTTACTTTCATTTGCTTCCATGCAAAACACTGATGTATACCTTATGGTGTGTCTACAATAGCATAAAGAACTGGTCTATGATGCTAATTTTTGAGTGAAGGTTGGTGTCCTGTTTTGATATGTATGTGTGGAAAATCTGCTTGAATGAAATATAGAAATAACAAAGAAGTGATAAAAGCACTTATGTCTAATAATAGATAAAAAAAACCAAACTATATGTACTTCGAAAAAGATAATTAAATAGCTAACAGTCAAATTTGTGATTGGTATGATCTGAGTATTTTACCTTACTAGTAAATACCATGACAACCAAAATATTTACCTTCATATAAGCCACCGTGAGAGAAAGTAATGTGATGGTTTTTCCTGTTCCAGAAGGCATCTCCAACACACAGTGACCCTTAAACACAAGTCATATACATAAGATATACATCGTGTATGTACATGTAACAGAGGTCATTTTTCATCTCAATGCCTCCGCTAGGAATCGAACCCGGGACCCCTGGCTTACTAGTCTGACGCTCAACCAATCGAGCTAAAGAGAAGTTCTCTCTAGCCGAGTGGTATATTGCGGCTAGTATTTTACCAGGGTTACATACTCCCCCTCCAGGAAATAACTCGTCCTCGAGTTTCCAGGGGTTACAGCGACGCCGGTGGGGCATGGCTAAGTACTATTCCCGGGTCCCTACATGGGCGCCAATGTAACAGAGGTCATTTTTCATCTCAATGCCTCTGCTAGGAATCGAACCCGGGACCCCTGGCTTACTAGTCTGACGCTCAACCAATCGAGCTAAAGAGAAGTTCTCTCTAGCCGAGTGGTATATTGCGGCTAGTATTTTACCAGGGTTACATACATCTCTTCTTAAATTGTCCCATATGAAAATTATTACTTGAGATTGTAAACAAGTTGTAATTGATCACACAATTAAAATTGAGAAGAAAGCTTTTAATTACATTAAGAAATTCTACAGTGCAATCTGTTGATTACATAGATGTACATGAAGAAGAAAATCTATAATTATCAACCTAGGTATCTTCGATAGCTTGATTTTATCGTGTTTCTAGATGAACAACAAAAAAAGGACACGTTTTTAAGATATTTTAAAAATCATATTGATAATAAAATACATAAATTTAAAGACATTTGATTTTAATAAGTTTTCATCTTAGAATATGAAAATTTAGCATTTTCACAGAAAAAGAAAATAGAAATACTCATTGGACGTGAGTGCTGTTAGCAAAGATATATAAGTGATAACTTCAAAATAATTCTATCTAAAATCTTGGAAAAGGAAAGCTCAAAATAAACTTTTATTGATAAAAAATGATAAAATACAATCATATAGTCACATGTTTTTTCATATCTTATACAATGCAATTGACTAAAACAGAGACATCATGTTACTTATCAATTGGAAATTTAAGTTACATGAATTTACTTTTGCATCCAAGGACCGCTTCAGCTCCAGCATGTACATATACTGTTCCGGATAAATGTAGTCAAACGGAAAATACACCAACAGGCCATCCACATTGATTCTGTTAATGTAAAAACAGATAATGTTTTAGAAGATTTCATTGGGACTTTAATGTGTAAAAAAAAAACAAGAAATTATGACAAAGACTCGAGCTATATTCCATAACTCTTTAAATTTTGAAGATTAAGGTGCGCGTCATTTTACTTGTAAATTATGAAAATAGGAGAGATTTATATCTACTGTTCAAAACTATTGTATGAATAGATACAATGATTCAATTAACACACATCGTTAAGGTTAGTGATATATATAAATATACAATTTAAGGAGCATGGCTTCCATAACCAACAATTCATTCTACTCATAATCTTGAGTGTACTGAACACCAAACTTGCATGTCTTATATACATGTACAAAATATATTAAAGTTTAGGGTATATTTATACTGTACAAATGGATGTCATCGTAAAATATTGGTCATACTTCATTCTGACAGTTAATTGTGCTGACTTCTTGAAATTATCCTCACGACAGACTATTTAACGTTAGGATACCCAAGGGAGATAACTCATATTATTTCAGTTAATCTAACTGAAAACAAGAAATCCGGACAAAAAGTTCCGGAAACTATATATATATATCATTGAGATATGCTTATTTACGGTTAACTCAGGATTTCGAGCAAACACGTAAACACATTAGCATCATTTAAACAAGAAGTGATATTATCCTTACTAACACCCTCATTTCTGTTAATATAACACTTTTATTAAACAAGGCATTAGTTACGTGTTCTCAAAATTTACCAGCTTCACACCATAAGTACTATTTGTATACTTTATTACCTTTTTTCAGTGATCATTGAGAGTCTGTTAACAAAAGATACTTCACTGATTTTTAATAAATTCATTTTTCAAGAATGTTTCTGTTGTATTGATATTACAGAAAAAATCTAAATATTTTGTAAAAAAAAAAAAAACATTTATTTTCCCAGTGGATTTACTTTCATTGATTTTGTTTGTAGCTTTAATCAATGAACTGATAAAATAAGTATACATAGATTTATTAATCAATGCCCGGTATCTCCCAACAACACATTAATATGAATATCATATTATCTCTACCAAAACCAGCAGCCTAATAATGAAACATTACTGGTAATTAAGTTAAATTCCAAAGCATATTAGAAATGAAATATGAAATGTATACACATGTTTAATAGATTTGAGCCAAACTCTAGATGGAGCTCAACCAACTGAGCTACCTGGATACTGATGATAGAATGAGCCCAATTCTGCTAAAATATATATAAATATATCATACATTCGTGTCTTTTTTCTTTTCTGTTTCAGTTTCAGCGGAAGACTCAGTAAAGGTGTGTTGTTCCAACAAGACAATGCCCATGTTCACAAGTCTGTCATTGCAATGGCTGCCATTAACATCTGTGGATTTGAATTAATTGAGTATCCACCTTATTGGCCAGATCTCAGTCCATCGGAATTTCATCTACTTCCAACATAGAAAAAGGTCATTTCTAGTACCAACTTTCAGTCAGATGATGGCGTCATAGATGCAGTGGAGGACTTTCTGAACGGTCAGGAAAAAGGACTTCTTCAAAAGTGACATGGAGGCCCTTAAACATCGTTGGCTAAAGTGTATAGATACTACAGGGAATTATAATGCAATTTGTCTGCCAAAATTCAATATTATTAAATATGAGGCTCACAACTTATCAATCAGCCCTTGTAAGTCTTCCATAAAAAAACCTGACCCGTGAAGGGAGTCGGTGACCTCACATCAACTGGTGCCATGAGGGTGGTACATATGGTACAGGGTGGTTAATGAAGTGATGTATGTTGCTTGTGTAGCTGGTGGTACAGGGTGGTGTATAGATGTATGGGGTTGTTTGTGTAGCTGGTGATACAGGGTGTGTATAGATAATGGCGTTGTTTGTGTCGCTGGTGGTACAGAGTGGTGTATAGATGTATGGGGTTACTTGTGTAGCTGGTGGTACAGGGTGGTATATAGATGTATGGGGTAACTTGTGTAGCTGGTGGTACAGGGTGGTGTATAGATATATGGGGTTACTTGTGTAGCTGGTGGTACAGGATGGTGTATAGATGTATGGGGTTACTTGTGTAGCTGGTGGTACAGGGTGTATAGATGTATGGGGTTACTTGTATAGCTGGTGGTACAGGGTGGTGTACAGATGTATGGGGTTACTTGTATAGCTGGTGGTACAGGGTGTATAGATGTATAGGGTTGTTTGTGTAGCTGGTGGTACAGGGTGTATAGATGTATGGGTTTGTTTGTGTAGCTGGTGGTACAGGGTGGTGTATAGATGTATGGGGTTACTTGTATAGCTGGTGGTACAGGGTGGTGTATAGATGTATGGGGTTACTTGTATAGCTGGTGGTACAGGGTGGTATATAGATGTATGGGGTTACTTGTATAGCTGGTGGTACAGGGTGGTGTATAGATGTATGGGGTTGTTTGTGTAGCTGGTGCTACAGGGTGGTGTATAGATGTATGGGGTTGTTCGTGTAGCTGGTGGTACAGGGTGTATAGATGTATGGGTTTGTTTGTGTAGCTGGTGGTACAGGGTGGTGTATAGATGTATGGGGTTACTTGTATAGCTGGTGGTACAGGGTGGTGTATAGATGTATGGGGTTACTTGTATAGCTGGTGGTACATGGTGGTGTATAGATGTATGGGGTTGTTTGTGTAGCTGGTGCTACAGGGTGGTGTATAGATGTATGGGGTTGTTCGTGTAGCTTGGTGGGAAGAAAGTGGGCAAGACTATGTATTTACTAGAGTTACAATATATTTTAAGGACATTTTTGTATGTTACCTCAAATTTCCTACACTGTACTCTTACAATTTTGCTTCAATATCAGCTGATCTAACCAGAAATGAATTTGGCATGTCTGTCGATATGCATTACATTGTTGAAAGTGAATGTTAACTTGTCAGAACTCATAAGTTCATACCATAAAACTCAAGAAGTTGATGTAAATGTTACATGCATAGATATTAAACTTTCATCCTAAGAGTTCAGAGTGAAACTATAGCTGACAGGAAATAAAGTCAATGTATAGTAATCTTGTTCCAATAATGCACATTTTGAAGCAGACTTGTTGCAGTAAGATATTTTTCATGGAGATTGAGTATCAGCTTGAAGTGCCTGTGGTTGCAATTCCAAACTGCATTTAAACTGTGGATGTGCTACTTTTGTCAGCAATAGTTTAATACATTCGTAGTAAATAACCAAAGTAAAAATAAACCAAACCATATTTCACAATTGCAATGGGTATCCCATTTTATTTATTTGACATTTGATACATATTGAAGTGTACATCTCATCAACATTTATGTTACGAATTAAAAACAACTTTTTTTTTTGTTTTTCATAACATGTTCGTATTGTTTGGCAAAGTGTTATTCTATAAATCATATTATAAAGATTCTGCAATGATGCAGCTGATGACAGCTTAACATTTAGCTGAGCAAGCCTGGCTTCAGTCTGTGAGAGTATAACCCAGACAAACGCACAGTAGACCACATAGAATCGTTTCTGGCATGGACAAGACTTGCAATGTACATGGTAAACCAGACAGACTTACCAGGAACATGGTAAACCAGACAGACTTACCGGGAACATGGTAAACCAGACAGACTTACTGGGTACATCATACACCAGACAGACTTACCGAGAACATGGTAAACCAGACAGACTTACCAGGAACATGGTAAACCAGATAGACTTACTGGGTACATCATACACCAGACAAACTTACTGGGTACATCATACACCAGACAGACCTACTGGGAACATGGTACACCAGACAGACTTATCGGGAACATCGTACACCAGACAGACCTACTGGGAACATGGTACACCAGACAGACCTTCTGTAAACATGGTACACCAGACAGACCTACTGGGAACATGGTACACCAGACAGACTTATTAGATACACCAAAAAAAACCCTTACATACACGGCATGCCAGATTACAGTCTGTACATGACAGAAACGATTATATTCTTACTACACATTAAGTACATCATGTCCGATCAAACTAACTTCACCGAAAGGCATAGCAAGCTGACTACAGCTACTTGTATTAAAAACATTTCTCACATTGGCACCACTCAGGAGCCAATCTCTCTCACATAGCCATGCTTTGGTATAATCACAATACCAACCATTCACAGTGCTCCATCATACACTCACCACACACACCAATCTCAGTGTTGTAATAACAACAATCAGCTTACCCTATATTACCTGTGACAAGCCAAGCTTTGATGTCCACTCCAGTCCTGGACCTTTTTCACCCCCTTCTATGATTTTTGGGTGTATTTGTTTGATAGTGGTTTTTTGTCATTGCAAATACACAAGATATTGTTTCTACAAATGCTTGACACAGGCAAAATAAAATAAGATAACATATCACCAACTGCCCCACCCCAAATACACAAAGAAACAAAATGTCCAGTTTGATCATCTAAAAATATTGCATCTGGTCCAGCTCTGACTAACTAATGATACTCTGTCAGTTCTAATCAAAAGCTTCTTTTTGATTTGAAACATTGGAGTTGAAGAAGTTCATATTTTACTTTATCTTTGAAAAAAAATTTAAAGGAAAAAACAAAACATGTTCTCCAGATCTCTCCAAAGCTCAGCATTAGAGAATCAAGTGGTGTTAAGTGTTAACATGTTTTCAATTGAAAATAAAAAGATATTACAAATCTTTTCACTCTGACAAAATCTATGACAAAAGATATCTAAAACTTGGATTATTTGCAGAGACAGCTCTTTACAGAACATTGTCTGTCGTACACTCATATCTTAATGTATATTAGTCTAATTAATACATTCAGCCACTGTATAAAATGTATGCACAAATTTTTGACATCACATACATAAACTGTGGAAAACTGCCAATAATTCTTTCAAGTCTTACAGGTCAAACTGCAAATAAAAAAAAAATCTTTCCAATTTTATGATCCAAAACACAACATTGCCTAATTAATAGAAGAAAACAATACATTTTTTATGGTTATTACTGATTTGAATATTGGAACACATCAGAATGTCAGTTACTGTACCCGTGATACAGGCCTGCCAACAACCTACAACACAAACTCCAATCCCTGCCCCACCCCCATCCCAGGGACCCCTGCCCCACCCCCATCCCAGGGACCCCTGCAATAAGTTGTTGTTGCTTTACAGCAACATATAGAGACAAACAAAAGAAACGCACAAGACACTTAATAACACATAATAATAACAACTATTTGTGACATGTTTGAATCAGCTAACATCCCTGCAAATTTTAAACCATTGCTTTCAGTCTCCCAGAAACCTTGCCCAACATCACCTGAGACATCCTTCATCCTGAGATTTCACTTCAAGCTCAACTCTTGTTTGTGATCAGGTACCGGGGTGTTACAATTATCCGGACATTGTGGATCAAACAACTGTTTCCCATGATTACCACAGACATGTTCATGTATACTGGTAACCATCTACTGATGATCCCAAAACCTTCATTACTCTCTTATCAAGCATTAAACCAAAGTATCAATAATTTTTCTTAATTTATCTCAGAAATCATTCCTCCGTATGCCAAAGTTTTCAGTACATCTGTACTTAGTAATCTCAATCCATGAACTATTATCATACATGTATTCATGATCATCAAACAGCAAAGATCAGCCAAAACCTCAAAGCTTTTAGTAACCTTGTAATTGATGGGAAAAGACATTCAGCACTTTTGGTAACTTCTAATTTTTCAGGACACATGCACTCTGTAACCCCTTGACCTCAGAATCGAAGAATAACCTTTTGTAGTACTGGTATCAACTTTACTACTGCTGACCTATCAAACTTCTTTTCCTAAAACTTTTCAGTAAAGCTGATGTCATAATGATTAAATTAAAGGTAAAAAACAATCATTGGTAAACTAAAATTTTCATTTTTGCTTGTTTTTTTTCTTTGGTATTGCTAGGCTAAAAGTCTTAGGAGACAGAATTTCAAACCATGATGCTATTAGCAAAATTGTTTGTTCCTTTGTAAAATGCGTTATCTCAATGTTCATTAATACATACAAACAAATTTAAAAGTACTTGGTAAATATGTGTAAAAAAGTCAAGGCATTTTCATAATGCCTGATGCATATTCTATACAGTAATTTTTTCTATCAACCCTATTAAGCTTTCAGAATGACATGGTCTACACAATAACAGTGTATCAGGAAGACTTTGTGTATTTGCATCAAAATTATATTAATTTGTTTAGAACCTACAATCCACCTTTAGAATACAAAATTAGTGAAACATACTTGAAACAGAATGCAACACCCTGGAGATATTTCAGCACATCCACTCGCACTTCGTAGCCTGGACAGCAGACTGACTTCATCAAAATATCTCTGATATATCCTAACCATTACTTTCTGTGTCAAAGACCTTTAATTTATTCTGATTTTTCTTTTCTAAATAGTTCACACATCTGCCATCCTCAGACATGAACTGGTAATTTTCATACTTCACTTCCTGGATTGTGACCATGATATACTGATTTATAAATGCTATTCTATTAAAGGTGAGGTTTGTCTTCATATCGGAGTGTCTGGCCTCATCAGTACTCAGAAGGAAGAGAAACATGTTTCTGTTTATTGAGCTCCGTTCCTGTAATGGAACATCAAATTTGTCCTATTATTTATCAACTGTTACATAATTGTCAGCACATAATGTTAATTGAAACCGGGAATTACACAGAATAAAAAAGCCTTTAACAAATTTTCCTTTCATACAGAGCCTCACTTTCCATTTGTTAAATCATTCTGATATACCACTTTTCTCAGCATTTCTACTTAACTGTTAAAGGATCAGGATTGCACTATCTTGACACCATATTCTTTTAAATGCTAAAACTGAATTCCACTTACTAAATGGAAGCAAAAAAATTTAGAGGACCTACAAAATTTTGATTATACAAACACAATTTTTTTTAATTCAAAAAGTTTCAAAAAGGCCAATTCTAAGATAATTCTTAGTGGTGTTGTAATGGTGAATTTCTGTGAATACTCTATGAAGAATATACTGATCAGAAATCTTGCATATAGCCCAAATCAAGTCAGTAACAATTTCTTGTGTGAAATATATCAAACATTTGTTGCTTTTAATTCCTAACTTTAATTCAACAGATTTCAACAAACCAGTGAATTTTTCCTTTGAAATTTTCTGAAAAGTCCACATTTAATAAAATACTGAAATCATTGAAGTCCTATAAACCAAAACTGATTTTAGATATTGAGTAGCCTCCTCCTTTTAATTTTTACTAGCTTTCTTTAGTACCTCCCAGTAATATCTTTATCTAATTAAAGAAAAATTGTTCACTCCTGAAATATGTTAAAGACTAAATTGGATTCTTTTTTAAATCTTGAAACAGAAGATCTCGAGGAAATGGTCTAAATAGAATGAGGTCCTAGTATACATATGGATTGTTTATATACAAAAATGGCTCTATCTTGATCAATTATGGTCATTTTAAAGGTCAAATTTTTATACCAACACTTGAAGACTACGGAATTAAATTTTGTATGACTCTATGATTAACGAGATTGTCAATAAAGGTCACCATGACAAAAGTTATAACAATCATTAACTTTTAACAGTACAGGGACCTGTTCTGGTAAGCCTAAATATTTTCCTGTTTGAGGGGAAATGTCCTTGATCAATTTCCATACATCTGAATATTTCTGAACAAATTCATATAATACCAAATCATATCAATACTTCAGCTAAACTTCTCATGAAATTTCAATCGCATCATTTCATTCATATTTTAAACAAGAAGTTCTTTGTTGGGGAATTTTGTTTCAAAAACAGGTAAATTCTTTTATAAAATACCTGAGGGAAAATTTACCAATAAATAATACAGAAATTGACCTCGATATATCTGTGCAGTAGAAATAGAACAATAGATTTAGTTAGCAATGTTACTGTAATAAAGAGATTTTTAACAACTTCCCTTTCATCATTATACATCATTTTTCTGTTATGTCTAGATGCTAGAAGCTTTCAAAAACTATGTCAAATGATATTAAAATAAAACTTAATGTAATGAAGAAATATCAGAAACTTTGGCTTAAGTGACCAAGACCTTGTTTATTGTTAATAAAGCAAAAACATTATTGCAAAACTCAAATTTTGTTTCTGGTATCAATATTTCCTAAATGCCATTTCTTTTTTTACCTTAAATGGAATTTTTCAATCCTAAGTAAATGTTTTCATGCTACTCATCATAGACAAGGATAATTGTTGAATTAATAAAATTTTCAGTTGAGACTAAAATTTTGTCTTTGGTCTTCTGAAAAAATGTTCCAGATATTACCACACAAGCATGTTATAAAAGGAATAGAAAATCTGTGTACAGTTGTTAGAATGTATAGAGACAGCACTGAAACACTGATTTGATAAAATGAATTTTGTAGTTCATACTCACAAGTGTCCCGATAACTCTCTATATGCTAATATACTAGCTATCACAACACAACAATTGTGTACAGCAACAAGCTACAGAACAACTCCTTCCCACAAACCACTTTAAGCTACACTCTGTATAAGCCTGTATAATTAACAAGACATCATTTTGATTATGTTGACTCTCTTTCTCCCACAAACATTCTCTGACCCCGGGGGTCCCCTTACATAACAGACATAGCACACGAAGCAGTATTGAACATATGAAACATTTTTTGGCACAGTGGATTGTCTGTGGTGTGGACAGACAACACGTTACAAATAACATAATTAATAATGCATTTTACGAGAATTCACTCTTCAAAGGAAACGTTTCCTCAACTATTGGCCACAGTTAGACATTAAGCTCCGTCAACACTGGAAACGACGTGTATGTAGAATTACTTTAAAACAGATTAACATCCAACAGATTCTTTTATTCACCAAAAACTGAACTGTTTTGGAATAGAATATCCCACTAAAAATCCAGGATTGCTGTCACGAACACATTTTGTAGTTTGCCCAACAGACCCATTTCAACACAAAAAAGGGTTTTTCATTAGCATTTTGTTCACATCTTGACTAAATGTGGGTGAAAATCTCCTCACACACAGCAATCAGGTTTATAATCTTGATGTTTTAGCTAGTGACCTGTTCTGCTTACTCTCAATGAGCCAAGCCTACCTAACTACTTTTCTGTCGAGAATGTGCAATACGGTAAGTCCTTGGGGGTAATTTTGGGGTGACTGATTGGCCGGGGATAACCACTGCATTGTCTCCATTCACATTTAACATGCTTGCTAGCAGTGGCCGCGTGCTTGTGTCTTTGTCAGCGGTGTTACACCGCGGCAATGTTGCACTTAAGTTATTATGAGCCGACAGACTGCTGGAAGAGTTACCGGTTTTTTGTGACACACTTTGGGAGCGAGGAAGTGTGCTGAACATAGACTCCTTCCTTGGGGGCACTGGGGGTGGGGGGTTACCACGTGGGGGAATCTGTGGGGGGTCAGGGGCATTTTGGGAAAAGAACACATCACTGTTGGTGGAGTCTCTGTTGCGTTTCCTGGGTGGCAGTGGTGGGGGTTGTAAGCTGATGGGCTTGTCCAGGACTAGTGGTGACGGCACTGTGTGCGACGAATGTGGATGAATGATGCTGGTCATGGAGCCAGAGGATGTCATTGTACTGAGTGTCCAGGTACTGCTTGTCAAGGCATCTGTAACAGTCACATAAATATCAGTTAGGTTTACAGGTGAAATATCAAACCTGACTAAATCATCAAAATATACTCTGACATTGATCATCAATCTTTAGTAGTGATTGGAATAAAAACTGACAGATGTATTAGTGAAGCATCATCATATTAACTTTTTACTGTTGAATCTACCAAGCAGTAAGGCTTCAGAGGAAAACAAAATTGAATTGACTTTGTTTTCAATTATGTGAAAATTAGATATCTTGTTAATTATCATAAGTAGAAAATGCACCTCATTGTATTTTCCTGTTGACAAGCAAAACTCTATGTCTCAGCAAATATGTCTTTCATGAAAAATTGTCTTCAATGAGTTCTGGTTATAACACTGTCAGCATATATAAACCTAATAAGCCTCAGATGGCTGATGTATTCTATATAGCATTAGTATAAGGTGGTGGTACTTACCGCCCTGACCTAGTACAACCGGCGCGAACACACTATCGGAGCCAGCATTAGCGGGTGGTGTGAGAGGGGTGGTTGGTGTGGGAGGGGTAGTGCAGTGAGGTGAAGCAGCTTCTACTTCCTCCTCCTTTATCTGTATGTAGCCAGGGTCCTTGAAGGAGGAAAAGGGGAACACTTTGACAGTGGCCCCATGTCGTGTGGACATAGCCTTGGTTCCAGGAGATTTGAGGTTGTACTCAGTCTTTCTTGGCTGCAGTAACAAAAACATAAGTGAATAAGCAGGGTCAGCTCAATGTTTAGAAAACATGAATAGGCCTACTTATTTCTACAATAATAACACTGTTTAATCAATTAATATAAGAATTTTGATTTGATGACAAATAAATGTATTAATGATACTATACTTTCTTCTGTCCTCTACATCATCTTATCATCTGTCCTCTACATCTCCCTATCATCTGTTCTCTACATCTCCCTATCATCTGTTCTCTACATCATCTTATCATCTGTTCTCTACATCTCCCTATCATCTATTCTCTACATCTCCCTATCATCTGTGCTCTACATCTCCCTATCATCTATCCACTACATCATCTTATCATCTGTTCTCTACATCTCCCTATCATCTCTTTTCTACATCTCCCTATCATCTGTGCTCTACATCTTCCTATCATCTGTCCTCTACATCTACCTATCATCTGTTCTCTACATCTCCCTATCATCTGTTCTCTACATCATCTTATCATCTGTTCTCTACATCTCCCTATCATCTATTCTCTACATCTCCCTATCATCTGTGCTCTACATCTCCCTATCATCTGTCCTCTACATCTCCCTATCATCTGTTCACTACATCTCCCTACCATCTGTTCTCTACATCTCCCTATCATCTGTTCTCTACATATCCCTATCATCTGTTTTCTACATCTCCCTATCATGTGACATCTACCTTTCATCTGTCCTCTCTTCTCCCTATCATCTAACATCTCCCTATCATCTTATCCATTCCTGGACCCTTTGGTAGATCAAAGGATAAAATATGTCAATTTCTACTGACATGAACTTTGACTTGAACCCAAAAGAAATTCTCATTTGCCTTCTGACCTCTGATTTTCATTCATAGTCAGATTACTTACAAATTTTGGCGCTTGTTTTGCTCCCCTTGGCTCGATCTCTAATGACTTGTTATATAATGCATCGTTGAATTCTTTCTCTGAATTGCCTTCCCTCGGATTTAACTTTTCAAAGAATTCCTACAAATTTAAAAAAAAACAAGAAATAAATGAAAAATATTTTCACAACAGAATTATCGCAGATTATCAAAAAAATTCAATTTTCCAAATGTTTTTCCAAATTTTTTTCCAAATATTCTACTGACTTTTAATAGTCACTGAAGTTACTGAAAAGTAATTAAAGCCCCAATATACGTAACATTCACCAAAAATTTAGTGTAGAGTCACACATAATTATTGAGATATTCTCTAGTTAAAATTAAGTCATTCAAACAATAGTTACCATTACTTTATGCATAAAGTATTGATATATGAGCAGTTAAAACTCGCTATTTGTAAACACACCTCCATTTTAAACATGTCGCCATCGAAATTATGATTGTTGCCGAACCACGTCAGAAAGTTCATGACCTGATCTCGCGAAAGTTGAGGTTTCTACTTATGAAGGAAGAACATGCAGATATGTCTACGGTAAGTTTTTGTTTACAAACATTGTTTGCGAAGTCTTGTCATAAACTTCAGGTATTTCTGTGATAAACATTCAGTTTTGCGAAATTATTAGAAGGAATAATTAGTTTAGAAACGATACGACGCACAATTATAACGTAAGAATTCAGAACTGGCCTGATGTATGATTAGAAAAAAAGGAAGCGACTGGTGAACGTCTGTACTGTGTCTGCCATGTTTACACACGCGGAATATGCGCATGCGCAATGTCATCGCTACGAGCGGTAATGTATGAATTATTGTGGGTCCCACATTGTTTATTTTCCGATTTTTTCAATTTTTATTTAAATTGAAAACAGTCAGTTTTATTTTCTATAATTAAAGGAAAGTATTTGTTTTGTTACATATATTACGAGGAAAATAAGATAAAGTTTGTTTTTTTATAGTGATTTTTACTTATATTGGGACTTTAAAACAGTTACTTGTTGTTTGTGAGATTTCAGATATTAAGCCCAACTTACCCGCATGTCCGGTTCACCTTTTAGACAATATGGTTGATTCTGATATTGCTGAATTTCCCCGGTAATCTCTGCAACTTTCCGTCGCTTACTAAAATTGATTATTCCTTCTGGTCTGTTAGGAAGAAAATCTGGATTGCCCTCCTCTATTTTCAATATATTTGTTAAATACATTCCTGAAAGGTTAAAAACAGTACAGTATTATTAATTTTGATTATTGAATACAATTGTCAGTTGACATATTAACCTGAGAAAGAAAATAAAACAGTTCGAAAGCTCTGTTCAGTCATAAAAAGAAGACAAGAGGCCCAAGGGGCCTTAACAGTCACCTGAGGAATATATGTCAATAATCTGGGGATTTCAAAATGTTGCAAAAATGTAACAACACCTGTGCAGGATGTGTAAAACATCTGTACCAAGTTTGAACATGATCCACCCAGTGGTTCTTGAGAGGAAGTCCAAAAATGTCTTAGCCAAACAGAGGCCAGGGTGGCCATCTTGGATTTTGAATCGACCCAAAAAGTTAAAACACTTGCGAGGACCTTGTGTAGAACATTCGTATCAAGTTAAGACATGATCAACGCAATGGTCAATCTGACTGTTGGTTCATGAGAAGAAGATTTTTAAAGATTGATCTAATTTTACCCCCTTTTTCCCCCTCCTGGGGCCCCTATTGGGGTCACACCCTTTTTCTTCGCAAACTTAAAGCGGCATCCCATGGGGATGCTTTGTGCCAAGTTTGATCAAAATCCATCCACTGGTTCTTGAGAAGAAGTCGAATATGTGAAAAGTTAACGACGCACGACGACAGACAAACCATGATGGCAATATGTCACCATGAGCTTTCGGCTCAGGTGACCTAAAAATCCATGTGAAGTAGCAACATCATATCAAACATCTAAATGCTGTTGAACTTCAGAGATCCCACTGTTACATGACAGTGTTAACTTTCATTTCTTTGTAGACTATAAATCTGAAGGATCTATTTCTATCCTTTGTTGTATTGCCCCTGAGTAGCCAGTATCACTTTGAGGTAGTGTCTAGTACTTGGTGAATACATCACTGAACAAGACACAGAAAGCCAGTCACTCTAGAGCAATTAGCATTAAGTCTGTGAACACAACAACATCAGCACAGGCCTGTTTGTTTTTCAGATTCCTGAGAAACACAAATCGCCATGGGTCGAGAGCATCAAACCATGCACCTCAGTTCTTCACCCAAAGTTATGTACATTAACGCTCTAACCATCAGTGCTATCATGGCCATATATTTCTATACTATAGATAGATATTGTATAAAAAAGTACATCCTTATCTCGGTTAAGTAGTATCAGATGAAAAACCAGTTCTAATTGCACATCACATCACATCATGAATAGCTGCAAGATATTTGAACCTGAGTAAACATCTTTCTGATTATGACTTCAAAAATATCCTAATTATAAAGCAAGATGCCTGTTAACAAAACACTCACCAAGAAACGGTACACAAGGAGGATTTATAGACCGTAGTTTTTCTACATATTTCTTGAAGTGATCAGAATTGAGTTCCCTGGCTTCATTGAAAGACTTCATAAACCTGTGAGGGATTTCCTGTCGAGAAAGAAGTCATACACTGATAAATAAAGAGTCTACCAAAGATCAAGATGGTATGCTTACTCTGATGTTATTATACTGTATGTCAAGACTTTTTTCTATTTGATCATCTACTACACATTTTTACAATGACATCAGTTTGACCATAAAAACATAGCTGCTGTTAATCAACAAGTTACTGGCAAGTTGTTATTTTTGAGGACTTCTATTTTTACTATTTTCAGAGGAAAGAATAAATTCATGACAAGTAGACACACTGCAAATACAATGTTTTTTTGGCAAATATCTAATTTTTTTGTGGTTTACAATAAAACAAAAAAGGATGTATTTATCATGAAAGCTATAAAGCAGGCTTTTGACTTTTCTTACTTATTTTCAAAGCGTCTTTCCTTGAAAAAGTGGGGGGGGATTAAAAAATAACAACTCTTACAGTAAGAACAGAAAGTCACACTGATCTACATGAAAACGTCATTGTTTTTGTGTGTAAAAATACAAAAATCAAAACTATCAAAAGTGCGTAAAATTGTGCCTTTCGACTGAAAAATCTATTCAAAAGATTCTAGGTATATCACTATAGAACAAATACAATAAAAAAGAATTGTTCAAAAGGTCATTTAACAACTGATATGTGAAATGATGAGAACAAGGACTTACCTCAAAGGTGTGTTCCAGTCGATAAACTGGAGCAGAATTTATTGCACTAACTATTTCTAAAACACCATTAAAATTGTTCAACTCTTGGAAAACGAGCATAATCTCCAAAATACGACACACAATTGCCACCCTCTCCTCTATATTCTCAGCCATCACAATGCATTTCTCCATCCAAAATGTAAACTGCAACAAAAACAACATATCAATTAAGCACAAATGTACAAAAGCACTAACGACAAAAACAAATTGAAGATATTGTTTATGTTTATTTATTTACATGCTATGTTTATCAACTTAACTATAAAAAATCCTGTTTCAATGGAACTTCATTGTTTAACTACTTGATCTCTAGTATGCACAAAAAATATGTGAATTTGAGAAAAAAAAATTTACCTCTTCAGCAACGTTTCGAAATGGGAGTAGCAGAACAACATTAGACTTACATTATTGGTAAAGGCTATCATCTTTAAGAGATTAGGAGATGTATTTTGCTTGTCACTTTTCATCCAGGCACAGCCAACCAGTTCTGAGGGTTGTACGGCACGATACAGGTCAAACTCCAGCAAGGTCACCTGACGGGCAATCTCTATGGGATGTAGCTGTAACAAGCGAAAATATCAGATTGCAGCTGTATTTCAGTAGGAGGGGCAATAAGTTACTGCAAAATAATCAATTTTTGTGGGGTTTGTTTTTTCTCTGAGCAATTAGTCACAGAAAAGTGATTATGTTGTATTTTCTCTGTCGGAGGAGCAATACAATGTAGTAAGACACTGCAAATAGGTTGTGAGGTTAAGATTTTCTCTGTTGGAGGATCAATAATTAGATACTGTAAAACGATTAATTTTGTGGTGTTAAAAATTTTCTCTGTATAGGAGGAGCAATTGATAGATAGCATAAATTTTCTCTGTAGATGGAGCAACAGATACATGCAGAAAAGTGGTTAATTTTGTGGGGTTTGAATATTCTCTGTTAGACAATAAAATGTAAATACTGTATATTTTCATTGATTTTATGGGTACTCTTTATCCATGTATGAAAACGTCTACAAAATGATAAACTCCTCAGAAGCTGTCACAAGTACACAGTGAAACACACTTTGCTAAGTTAAAAACTTTACCGTCATGAGGTCAAATGCCTTGGGTTCTCTTGTCAAATGCCACTCAACATTGGGTAGAGGTTTCTGATAGGTGAATTCGCGTTCTGTGCTCTGACTCTCAAAGCGCCGATGAATGACCTTTATGATAGACTCTGCCATTTTCTTCATGGCCTTGCCCTTGACCCCAGCAAGGAACTCTTGGAGTTTGTAGAGCAAGGACATGTCCCGCTCAAAGTCGTAGTAGTGATGGTCCACCCAGTGTCGTAACACATTCACCACTCTGTGATAGACAAACATGATATCAGATTAGGCTATTACAAAGTTTCAAAACATCTAACCAACCATCACAGCCCTTTTTGATTCCAGCATAAACAAAAAACTTAATTCACTTCAAAAAAACTTAAAATTCAATCCCTCTTTATTTTTAGTTATTGTTTGAAATTTATTTTCTAATCACTCTTTACATCAGATTCAATTTTTTTTTCTGAGTTATTAGAAAAGTCAGTGAATGATTCAAGAAATCAAATCAACTTAATTATTTGTAAAACTATAATCTTACCTAATATTCACCTGTTATAGAAATACAATATTCACCTGTTATAGAAATACAATATTCACCTGTTATAGAAATACAATATTCACCTGTTATAGAAATACAATTGCAACATTTCAGTTTAAATTTTAAATATTCTTTGAAAGAGAGATATTCAACCTACTCATGTGAATATTGAATACCCTAGTCCCATTCAAACAGGACTTTCTTCTGGAGGACAAAGCTATAATAACTTTGCTGTTGTACTATTATGCTATGTAATTGTTTCAAGTTATTAATTACCGAAATTGCACAGGCTTGATGTACTCTTTACGGAACCTCTTCAGATCATCACGAGCTTGCTGACTCTCTTGCTCTGGTAGTTCAGTCTGAGATTTTAATGGAAACTCTGGTATGTCGAACCTGGAGGCACGGACATAAAATATGACACTTCATTTTCTGAATCAACACAGGTCAGAAAAACTGTTTACTTAATCGGAGCAGCCTACATCCAGTCAGGTATTCTGAGATTGATAAGAATTTTCCCCCAATCATTACACAATACTTGTCTTCTTGATCCAGACACTTTGCTGTAAACATAGGTAGTTGTTTGTTTGGCTACAGATATTATTTCAAAGATAAATACAAACTAAATAAATCAGATGTTTCAGCATGACAGCCATCTTCATGGTGAATATTTAAACTCCAATCCAATTCCTTTGAGTAGATAATGATTGAAAGTACATACCTTTCTTTGAGAAGCTCAAGAAGTTCATGAGGTTTGCAGAAAGAGCGGTAGGTGGTGAGGAATGTCTTGACAAATTTGGGGTCGGCGTACATGTGATAAGTCAATCTCTCAACCAGCTTCAGAAGTAGTCCCCCTTTGATAAGCGGGCTCTCAATAGGTAGCTGACGCCGGTCCTCAAACACAATGTTTTCAGCCGAATCCTCCACAGAAAATCTTAAGTTCAAATTTAAAAGATATCCAATTACTTTCAGTGTTTCCTTCTATCATGAAAATTACTTAACAGCTGCAATCTAAAAACATTTTTTCATCTATCATGAAAATTATTTAACAAATGAAATTTAAATACATTTTTTGATTCTGTCAGGAAAACTGTTTAACAGCTACATGTAAGCAAGGAACATGTGGGAGACTGGACTACGCTTCAGAATCTTAGCTCTCTATCACTTATTATTGAAGATAAAATCTAGAATGACCAAATATTTAAAAAGCCATCCAAAGAATAAAGTGCTGTAACCTTATCTTGATAAATGTAAAAATCATGACAAAGATTTTTTTACATCATTGGGGAAGATACAATGTCTACCAGTAATATTAATCAGTACTACACAATCATAGAGCTTGGGATTTCTTGAATGCCTTGTATTCTGATATTCATTTCTTGATCTACCTTTACGTTTCAGAGGGAAGTAATTATTCCTTGTTCTAAATGAAATTTCAGGGTCATTATCTATTTATCTACTTGTGAATTTCCGGAAGATGTCATTGTTTCTTAATATACCTATAAATTATGACCTACCAGTACATTTAAGGAAGAGGTAATTATTTCTTGACCTACCAGTACATTTAAGGAAGAGGTAATTATTTCTTGACCTACCAGTACATTTAAGGAAGAGGTAATTATTTCTTGACCTACCAGTACATTTAAGGAAGAGGTAATTATTTCTTGACCTACCAGTACATTTAAGGAAGAGGTAATTATTTCTTGACCTACCAGTACATTTAAGGAAGAGGTAATTATTTCTTGACCCACCAGTACATTTAAGGAAGAGGTAATTATTTCTTGACCCACCAGTACATTTAAGGAAGAGGTAATTATTTCTTGACCCACCAGTACATTTAAGGAAGAGGTAATTATTTCTTGACCCACCAGTACATTTAAGGAAGAGGTAATTATTTCTTGACCCACCAGTACATTTAAGTAAGAGGTAATTATTTCTTGACCCACCAGTACATTTAAGGAAGAGGTAATTATTTCTTGACCCACCAGTACATTTAAGGAAGAGGTAATTATTTCTTGACCCACCAGTACATTTAAGGAAGAGGTAATTATTTCTTGACCTACCAGTACATTTAAGGAAGAGGTAATTATTTCTTGACCTACCAGTACATTTAAGGAAGAGGTAATTATTTCTCGACCTACCAGTACATTTTAGTTCTTGACCTACCTGTAAATTTCTGGGGGAGGTAGCTTCAGAGGCTGAAGCTTTTCCTCATCACGAATGATACTGTCTAGTCGTCTCTCTAACATACTGTAATAAGATAAAATAGCACATATAAAACATCCACAGATAACTTAGTATTGTTTACTATTAAATTCTTGTTTCATTTCATTTCAGAATATTTTATTGATATAAACAATCAATAGGATCAGACTGCAGGCTAAAGCCTATTTAAGTCTTCTCCAAAGAAAACTCTTCTGGTAATTCCTGTAATATTCGATATCAGAAAGACAAATAATGCATCTTTAATCTGAATGTTTTGCTCAGCAAATAATACTGTCCAGGCCTCGACCTCTTCTACAATTTCTCTGTATCATCTATGAGAAATTCAGACTGTTGTTACTGTGGGTTGATATTTTATCAGCTGCATCGTGTTGGTTCCTACCTCCTTGTCTGTAGTGAGATGAGAGCAGCCATCCAGTTAGCTTTCTCCTCTGCCGACTTTGAACTCAATGTAACTCCATTGTTGGTGTGGTCACGAAGCTGGATCTCAAAGCAGTGCTTACACTCTGGAGACAGAAATAGTTATATTGTATACTGTACAGTTGCTTAATTTCACAGAGCTAATATTTCATGAGAGTCCCGTTGGGCCAGTTGCCCTGTATTTAATTTCATGTAATCTATGAACTGGTATATTGGCATAGTAAATCATCTCTGAGATATTCAATCACTGCAGAAATGCTATTATGTATTTGATTTTGCATAACCCGTACTGTCTGCCAATGAGTTAAAATTTAACCAAACGCTCCCCAAACCAACCAACAACTCCCGAAAACATTACTAACTATACAGTAAGATTTGAGTATTGTGATGACAATTGATAACTCTAAAGCTTCTATTTCTTTAATTTCCATCAAATTCTTTGTTCTTTCTTTTCTTGTTTTCTTTTTCATTTAATCATGCCAGCATCTTTGAATTCTACATACCCTCTGTATCTTCTCTGTCCCTGATCTCTATTTTTCTGATCAAGAATTTTTCCTTAAGTTTAAAATCCCCAGAAGCACTGGTTACTGATGTGCGTCTCATGTTTTGTTTACACATGATAATTAAGCCGTCAAAGAGGAAGACGTGACGCTCTGTGGGTCGACCCCTCACTTGCTTGTTGAGAACACCCTCTGTCAAAACAAAGTATATGTGAGAGGATTAAAAATGGACTTTCTTTACAGATCATAGATTTGCCCAGTTGCCAAGAAGCATCAACCATTAAAATGGATGTAGTTTGATTTCAAATCCAAACTAATGAGATATCTTGCTCATCTTTTTTCCTGCCTTCCAAGGTCACAAGAAAAGACATGTTTTTCCTTTCTCTATAATACTGTTCAGATCAAAATATAGCAATACAAAAGATGTTCAAAATGAATGACAAAATAACCCATATGAAAAAAAATATACAAACAGAACCATATACACATAACTGAAAGAAATTGAAAATTGATACAGCTAGGTACAGGGTTCAATATCTTGACCTTACCAGGTATTCATAAACAGAAGAGATAGTCACCTTGACCTGAAATAACTAAGTATCTGACTTTGACAATGTATAGAAGAGATCGGTGAGGGTATTTACCTAAGATAAATTCACTACAGCTCTGCCAGATATCCTTGCCCTCCCAACCGTCTATACTTTTCTGGAGATCAGACATTTTTTGTACAACAGCTTGGCGCCCAGTTTTTCCTTGGAGTCGGAGTGATGTCTCCCTGTAAATGACCATGACATAAACAAGTATTTCTCACTCTCTTGTCAAGAAGCTTAGAATAACTATTAATGAAGATTTGGTATGTTTCTAAAGATTCTGCATCATGTGTCAAAATATATCTCTCCAAAATTTAATTCCAGCATCAATATATAACTTGAAAAACACAATTTAGTCATTTTAAATTAGTAACATGTACAATGACAATTCTAAAGTTCTTCAGATGCCACACACATCATGGCCATGTGTACTGATTTATAAAGTGACTTGAAATTATAATGTGTATTGATTACAATTTTACAGAATATCATTGATGTTATACCAGGGTTTCTTCTTTGGTAGATTTCCGGAGAACTTGCGCTCTAACATAGCCTTTAAGAACGTGAGGAGTCCACTGGCCTGTTCTAGACTCTCCTGATCTTCTTCATTTGGACTTGTGCTGATCAGAGCCTGTAATTATCATATACAGGGCATTTATATCATTTTAATACTTAATTCACATATATATATATATTCAGGATCAATAATCTAATTCATATATATTATGTAAAAAAGAATTTAACCATTTTGGTTACAGACAAATACTGGCTCTCTACAAGATTACAGATGGCCAATAAGATATATATCTTATAGGATGTAAAGTAAAGCATAACTGAATATTCATCACCTCCCACATGATCTGTTTGTACTTACCTTGATGACTTCAAAGTAGTGGAGGCAATGATATATAGGTCCTAGTAACAACTTGGGTAACACATACTTCATGGCATCCTTAAATCCATGACCTTCATTCTGTTAACACAAACACACACAACAAAAAATTTACAGCATAACCCTTTAGCTAATTACAGAAAAAACCCAATGCACCAAGTGTAATATGGCATTTCAGGAAATCTTCAGTTTAAGGGAAACAAACAAGGAATTTGCTTGTTTCATCATTCTTTCTGTAATGATATAAATTTACTGTAGAGTCACTCCTGTGAGTCTTACTCGTAGTCATCCCTATGAGTCTGAACTGTAGAGTCATTCCTGTGAGTCTGATCTGTAGTCACTCCTGTGAGTCTGACATGTAAAGTCACTCCTATGAGTCTGACCTGTAGAGTTACCCCCTGTAGAGTCACTACTATCAGCCTGACCTGTAGAGTTACCCCCTGTAGAGTCACTCCTAAGAGTCTCTGAGTATGTGTCAGTGTCAGTGTGTTTTACAGATAGAAACCTTCCAGACTGACCTGTAAAGTTGTGTTGAGATCTTCTCGTTGAAGTAGAGTGTACAGTCGTTCCTTCCCATGTGGAGCCAGCATGTCATCCACATACTTTTCATATACATTGAACGCCTCTTCCTATTTACAAAATCACATATACATGATAAAAATTGTACAAATATCACTTTAACTTGGCACATACATATTCTTAGAGACACCAAAAAAATAAACACAATCATATAACATCCATTTATAAAACTAATCTTTAACAACAGTTAAAGTAGAAACTCTTTATTAGATGAAAGCCCTTTCTTACTAAATTGTTTACTAGATATACTTATGACTTTTCCTGTTTCCTTGAGATGTGTGCTATAAATCAATGACACTTACCTCTGCCATATCTAAGAAACAGATTCCCACGAGTGGTAGGTCCTTCTCCGCGGCCATTTCCACCTGTTCCTCCACTGAACTGAGCAAGTTGGCAGTAAACTCATAGATGTCCAGTATGTTGCTGAATATTACTTCTAAGTCCTACAAACATATACAAGGATAAAAGTTTGTAATTTCAAAAAATGGGTTTTATTTTTTGGAGTGAACCTGTATTAACTTGGTTTTTCCATGCATTATCAGGGTGACTATATGTATATGGTACCAGGGATGTGGTGTTAGATAAACTATCTTGGAAAGATGAAGGACACTTCAAAAGTCTGGATATATTGATTCCTAGTAGAAAAAAGGGATAAATGAACTATGGAGAATTATCTCTCATCAGAAGAAAAAGTCTTGACATCTTGACCTAAAAATCAAATAAGGATTTTTCTACTTGAAATAATAAAATAATAAAAAATAAATATAAATTTTGAAGAAAATGACTCTATTTCATCAAAAAAAAATGAGTTTAAAAAATATTACAAATTAAGAAATCGTTTCTAAATCTAGAAAACAATACAAGGTTTAAGTGGAGGACAAGTAATCCCTTTTCTTCTATTCCTTTTATATTATCAACAACTCTTTCTTGCGTTTGACTTTTGAGGATAAATTTCAGACATCAGCACATAAAGTATTTTTCGGCAAGTAAGTACAATGGATTTAAAACACTAACCTTACTCCTTGGGAAGTGTGTGACAAAAGGAGCTCTGAAGACCTTGATTATCATGTTTAAGTCTCTCATATATTGTGTTTCCTCATGAATGAAATCTTTGACAATATCCTCATACTTCAAAGACTCTGTTTTGATTGGTTCCTCCACAACAGGAAGTGACACATCTTCCTCTTGTGAGAACATGTCCATTAGTACCTGAAACAAACACATATCATACTTCACATTCTGTCATACTGACATGTATGCAAATTTAGACCAATTTTCCTTGACCTTTTGCAAATGTGCACAAATTTTGTTCTCCACAAAGAATACATGTTAACTATCTATAAAAAAAAATCTATTTTTTTTCACTTTATCAATATTGATAGTTTTTGTTCTAACTGATCAATCTCTTGAAAGTTATTTCCATTTTTTGTTTACTTTTTTGGAACTTATGTAATTCACTTGGACAAACCCCTACTGAACCAGAAGTGGAGCTGTCTGTCCCTTCTACAATTGTATCATGATTTCTTTGACTTATATCTGGATGATTATGAAATAAGTATTATTTTCCTTGAATATCACACTATCAAAAATATTATCATCAATGTCATTTTGCACAAAGATCTATAATGTCCAAGGTTGTTCAAAGTGACAACATGAGAAACTTAATAATGCAATTTCATTGCAGACAAAGTATCTGCATGCTAGATTTTTACTGTTGAAACAAATAAAAAATCCTTTGTGTGCTTGGAACATTTTTTTAAATATTGCTTCTTTGGATTTCCCTGCCAACTTATTACTTGCATCTTTCCGTATTAACAGATGTATCTCACCTGGTCAGCACAAATGGCCACTTTGATGTCCTGGGATGTGATCTCTGCATGCTTGATGTTCCGGACATAGTTCCCAGTCAGCTTTTAAAAGATACAAAACAAAACTTTCAGGAGACATGAATTCATCCATTTAAAAATTTAAAACTACATATCTGTATGTCAATGAACGACAGATATAACATTTTAAGCAACAAACTGATACCCTGCAAGGTATCTTTGAAAATGCATATCAAAAACATGGAACTTTTTACATCATAATGATGTCTAGGAAAGGGAAATAATTGTGTTGGGTTTTTCCGTGTAACGGGGCTCCATATTGTTGAGAATGTCCCCAACAAAATCAAATTCACTCACGATTTTACGTTTTTCCAAGATGGCGGCCATAAAGCGAACCCGAGAGAGAGCCCCTCCTCACAAGAAAACGTGAAAATATGCAGAGACGGCAGTGTTCAGAAATGTAAAAAGTATTTACACGAACAGTGAAAACCAACAAGTAAACCCTAGAGAGCCTCTGGGAGTGTGAAACAAATAATGAAAGAATAAAAGGCGATATAAAGTCAGAGGAACGCAGTTCCCTCTGTATTATTTGCTAACAATGCTCACGCATCTCATGGGATCCCGGATGTACCATCCAGGAGTGAATGACAGAATTGTAACCCTATTGTATATAATTATCATAATAAGTTATCTAAACCAAAACATTATAAACAAAGTATGATTAGTAAATAACACAGCAGTGTACATGGAAAAGATTTTCACCTTAAGTATGTCTGCAGCTATGTATTCCAGCACTGCTACGATGTACAGAGTTACCTGGAACTCAATCCTGTATCCAAGAGCCTCCTGAAGAAGACAAATCACAACATACATGTACATCTTAACTTTTCTGTTCTGGTTTACTACAGTACTCTTTTTAAAATAACACTGCTTGAATATGAAAACACATTCAGTATATACACCTACTTCACAAGAAAATGTTTCATATATTACATTAAATTTGGTATATTTTTTTCCAACCCTCAAAATAGTACTTACAAAATTAACTAATTATAAAAATTCACAAAAAATATTGTGTAACCTAAACTGGATGCCAAAGATGAACTAACCTTGATAAGGAGGGTGTGGATTTTATCGACAGGCAAAACAAGTGGGGTATTCTTGCGACCTTTTTCCAAGGCGCTGTTTGCATCGCGGATAGCCCATTTGTCAATAGGGTCAGGAAAGGTCTTGTTGACTCGGTCGATAATGTCCTGTACAGAGTGTGGATGTGACACACACAAAGTGACCAACAGATTCAGGATTAGGCTCTCGATGTAGTCTAGGGCGTCATCTTTTGCGACAAGAGATGGGTGTACCTGCTGGTGGACCTGTGGATGAAGTGTAAAAATATAAATATATACACCAGTGGTAATTAATCTAATAAATTAAACTACAACTTTCAGTACATGTTCTACAAAATAAAAGACTTTTCAGAGACAACAACTTGATTTCATCAAGTCCACCTGACGATGACAATAGGTAATGAAGTACATGAATAAATGTGCTCAAATGACAAAAAAATAAATGCTTTCTAATATCATATAAAAAAAAATTCCATTGAACTTAAAGCTAAAATAATCACTTGTTAAATTTTTAGAAGTTAACATAATCAAAATAATAATTCAACATAATGAAGAATATCATATGCATACAGATGAGAAACAATTTTGTATAGGAAAGATTTTTGGGTCTCCCAAAATTTTGCAATCTTTTGTCAGATTAAAATATATATATCATATAATTCTTCACAAGAAACATGTCAGATGATAATGGCTTGCAAAAATGAAAACTTTGAAGACTTATTTCATGAAATCTCACATGAAATGAAAACTCATTTAAAATCTCATATATATGTATATATCTAAATATTTTATATATATATTTTTGTGCATTTAACTGGTGATATTCATCAAATTACTTTTTATTGTAACTAAACATACATTCATTAATTTTTTTATCATAAATTTTCTTATTTTCAATCAAACAATTCTTCATTTAGAATGTGGCCTAGATGTACTGGTAGACTACTTTCCTCAGAGTGTGACATGCAATTGTTTTAATTGTGATCACAAAATATGCTCAGTGTCTACAGTGCAAAACAATAAAAGAGTGATATAAAACATTTTTGATATTTTAATCAGCATCTTCCATACAACTACTCAGGATTGTTTTTGTAAAGGGCCATCGGCCGAAGGGATTATCAAGACACCTTAATTTAAACCACTTCTATTGATTTTATTTCATAACTTTGTATTTATTTTATGTTCTATGTATGTGATATAATTCATGTAATATTTGTGTCTTGATAAAGGGGCAGATTGCTTCGTAAATTTGACAATTCACTTGTTAGTACTGTTGTTATTTCTTTATTGATCATGTATATGATATATATATATATATATATCTATGAAGAAGATTTAGATCTAAAGCCAGAATAAGAACAACCCAAATCACAAAAGTAACCATGCTGATTCAATCTTAAATGATGATTTTTGTATGTAGATTGTAAGAAATGAATTTCAATGAAACCATCATTCACCTGAAATTCCAAAATCAAATTGAAAATAGTTTTCCAATACGACATAAAAAAAGTTAAACAGAAGTCTTTAGTAGATGGCCTTGCATACGTGGATTGGTATAGTGATACCTAGTTACTTTACTCATCAGCATACGTGGATTGGTATAGTGATACCTAGTTACTTTACTCATCAGCATACGTGAATTGGTATAGTGATACCTAGTTACTTTACTCATCAGCATTTGCTTTTCATGTTGTAAAATTCACATCCAGAAAATGAACACTGAGAGAAAAATGACATCAATCAATAATAGTCAATGACAATAGATCACTGGTGTCTTTTATTTTAATATTCAAAAACCAAGATCATTAAAATGTTTAAATAATTAAACAAGATCAGTACTGTACATGCTAAAATGTTAACCAACTTTTGTCATGTTCAAGTCACGATTATATGCATTGGGTAAAAATATCTAGACATCCTGTCCATCTGGCATGAAATTGCTGTCTGCCTATATTGCTATGCTCTCTTATATTGATTCCACTTCCTCTGGCTTCGTTTTTCCTAAGAATGGTCTAGAGTATTGTAATGAGGTTGTGTGGTATGCGAATACAATTACAGTAAAAAAAAATGGAATAAAGGATAGGTCTAGATCTGCATAAAGCAGATCACCATGTTTGTGCAATTTACTCATAAAGATAATAGTTTTGCATTGACCATTCTGCACAGCAGATCCATCACTTTGTTGTTTTCATATGAACACCCATGATCGCAACAAACTGTTAAACCAAATGTTACCATCACACTACATGTATAATCATTTATCAAAACTTAAAATTTGTTGGTATTTTAAATCAATCTTATATATCAATAGTTTATTATTAGATAAGTCTTCTGATAAATCTTAACTGAAGCCCATGGGTACCATACAATAACAAGTCATGTATCAAGTTTTTAACATATGTAACAAATTGTTCTTTCATTCATGGATAAAATATTGAAAATTACCTAATAGAGAAAAAAAATATGCTACAAAGTCTTGTGTCAATGTATCGTATTCAGACTATCAATATAAAAAACTAATCAAGCTATCATCATCATCAAGTTTAAATTTATGTTCAGCACAACGTAGGTCAAATTCGTCATCTTCATATATATCAAATAGGTTTTAAAACTATTCAAGGAACATATGCAATGTATTAAGAATTACCTTGTGTAGTTTAAATATACTGGTGTGTTTGGTTTGAGATACAGCAGTAAATCATATCTTCAAATGGTATTATAAATTACTTATATAATCCTGGAAGGGGTCAAGGGGTCTTTGACCCTACTCAGTAAATTTTGTTGGATTTTTTTCCTGAGCATCAATTCCAAAATTTCTATGAGACCAGGTACAAAATCCAATACCTGTAGTGGGCCCTCAAAATTTGAGTGAGTCCTACAGAAAAAGCACAAGACCAAGACTCAAATCTTCGAGTTCCAAAAATCACTTCCCTCTAAAATGGAATGACCTATCCACATTTCTATTTTCTTTTAATTTTACAGAGAATGGACATACTTCTATTATCTAATTTCCATGTCTTGTGAAAAAAAATCTGAAAATGACCCATTACTCTCAATTCCCAAAATGTTCCCTGACAAAAGCCTTAGCTTGAGCTCTGTCTGATTCTTTTCATTTACTGCCTTTTATTTAAACATACATACACTTATATGTAAATCTCCAGAGACTACAAAGTGTAAACTTTGTTTGGTGAAGAGAATGCAACAGTACAATATTAAAGGAATTAATATATGGTATATGCATTAAGTTTGCTTTCCCATCCTAAATGAACTAAGTGTAAACTTATTGAGTCACCATAAAAAAAGACAAGATTTTTCTGATTTCTAAATATGTCATTTCAGACTTCTATCAAAATTCTGTGCCACTAAAGCAGGACTTAATTTTTGTTACAAAAACTTAAGATAATTTCAAATCAATTTGATAGCAATTAATCATACACTTATAGATAAATACTAATGATGTACATTTGTATGAAATGTAAATTTATGTCAAATTTCTTTTTCAGATACCTAAATGTTATTATAAATTCAACACGAAACATACCACAAAAATGTTCATTAAAGAACATCACGTTCCCTGTCACTTTTAGCATGATCTTAACATTATTCAGGTAAATTCAACAGCTGTGAACATGTGAAACACTACACATATTTTGATAATTGTCAGCATTTATAAAGTCAGGACTCGGGAGTATAAATCACATAAATAAACTGAAATATGACATTACATGAAACATTCATTACAAGAAGTCCTGTAAGATATATGCATATAGAATATTAAATACGTCTAGATAAGAAATTTGACTTAAATTCTTGCATAAAATTGCAAAATAGAAAATTTATTTTCAGAAAACAATATAAAACCTGTGATTGTACCAAACAAATTTGGCAATTTTAATTCACAATTTGTATATATCACATACCAGTACACAGTATAATATTACAAGATATAATTCCTTTTCACACAATCAAAATTTTATTATGCACGTTTTTATGATATGCATAAAATTTTAATACGAATGAAAATATAAACTTTTCATACAAACAGCATTCATTTCATGCCTGATTTAAACTACACAATCCTGAGATATGTACGTGTTTAAAGTGAAAAACTATTTAATGCTAAGCATACACAAAGCTTCACATTGTTGAAAACGGAATTCATAATCGTCATATTCTTTCGCGGAAAAGTCTTCCTGTCACATGATTAAAAAAGTTCGTAAATACAAGGCTAATATAATAGGTCGATTAGGTGAGACTGTCAACTGTCAAAAAGAAGTCTACCGTGACATTTGTAGAGACATACGGTTTGATAAATAATCATACAGTGTCTTGGACATGTATTGGTATTTAGTTATTTTAAAAAGTAACAACATATCCCCATATTTACTTAACTGCGCATCTCATATGCTAGTGCTTATTATTCAACTTTCCACTTTCTCAGCTATACATTTCGACCGACTTTCGACTTACCCCATGCAACGCACTAACGAATATGCCTTTCCATTTCGCCGCATTTTCTTCGGAGAAGAGGTTCTCTGATCCGGTTGCAGGAAACATTCCTACTGTTGCTCGATCACGTACCAAAAACACATCATGAAACCATGATTGAAAAAGATCGACTATTTTTCTGAATTGCTCCTGAAAATACGGCAGGTGTCGGCGCTGGTGACCTTCACGTCAACAGCATAGTTAGGCCTTTCCCTTGCTACCATCGACTTTCTACCCCGATATGTAACATCATGATAGTGTTATGTATATTATTCACATCATTAAAATACTCCACCTCCGAAATTTAAGGGTAAATATTGTCTTTTGTTAGTACCAAAGCTTCCGCAAAACCACAACAGGAAGTTAAAAGTAAAAATCGTAATGCGCATGCTTACTACGCCTGTCGAAAAGTGGCGAAATTTTTCCCATGGGATTAAAATATTTGGAATTCCGAACATATTTTTGTAATGCATGAAAATCAATTAATACAAATAATGATTTTTGTATGTAATAAATAAACGTTCAGTGGTACAAATAATGATAAGATATTAAATACAAAGTTTAATGTCGTAAAATTTCCATTCCTATTTATGATTTACCCGGGGGGATGACAAGAAAGGGAGTGACATGAATGGTTTCGAAGACCAGGATAAAGTTATCACTACCTGGCACATTGCATTCAAGCGATGCACAGACTTCGATTTATGGGGACAGCCGGTTGAAGCTATCGATGGATATCACAGGTGTGGGGTTTTCTGTTGTAGTAATAAATATTTTACTATCTATCTTCAGTTAGCTTCCTGAAAACAACAGAACAGTACGATACACTTTACTTCACTGTTGAGAATCGTCATATACACTTTTTATGAACAAGTTGTGTGCATAAATGTCGACTACATATTAAACTACATTGAAGACTGCACTGCACATTGATGTTTGCATGTGCAAAGTATCAATCAAGGTCGCTTTTCGCGTAAGCGGTTGAAACGGTTGGACCGGTTGAACAAGCAAGTACATATCGGGACCGAGGCTGGACACGGGGGATATTTGGTATTCGCTGATTGAGGGGTCCAGCCATACCTGTCCGAAACTACCTTGCTGAATATCATCATTTTTAAGAATTTCAGTTTAAAGTTGCTTCGATGCACTCAAATATTTCCGGAAGCATTGTGCTATCAAGTAAAAGTGAAATGGATTGTATCTTAATTTTAGTTGATGGTTTTATGATTGACACAAAGTTCCCAAACTGTGTGTTTTGAGCTTTACATGTGCTTTTGTGTATAGTGAAATAATTCCAGACCACCTGAACCGTTTTGACTGGGATGCGTGAAAGCGGTCCATGCCCAGTTTACAGAAATCATAGGGGATAGTGTTGATATACAGGAAGCGGGCCGCTGCGGTGTCTGACAGAACTTGTTGATATTCAGGAGGCGGTGTCTGACAGAAGTTGTTGATAATCAGGAGGCGGTATCTGACAGAAGTTGTTGATATTCAGGAGGCGATGTCTGACACAAGTTTACAGAAATCATAGGGGATAGTGTTGATATTCAGGAGGCGGTGTCTGACAAAAAGTGAAATATTTGCTAGTCTATAGTATTTTACATTGAAAATTGTATAAATTGGTACAGAAGAGGTAAATGTTGAACTTGGCTCATTATTTTATTTGATTTATTATGATATTTAGTCTGAATTTTCAGTGTATTGTACATGCTTTTCAGCATTGTCTGACTGTCTTGTCATTGTGTAATTCTGAGTTCTCGCACTCAAAATTAAAAATGAAATTCGCTTAAAACTTGCAACATCACACTGTTCTAATACAAATTATCCTATAAAAGTGAATGCAGGTAAATTCTGACACCACTGATCATGGTCATAAGTCAATATTTTTGTAATAATCAGAAGATTTAAGTATAGAAGAAATCTGTAGGATGGTCTTACGAGCAGATGCTTCCAACAATCATATAACAGTACTTTAACTGAGGTCATTATTTATTTCAATGCCTTTACTAGGAATCGAACCCAATACCCCTGGCCATGGCCGGGTCTGATGCTCAACAGATCGAGCTAAGGAGAAGTTCTCTCTAGCCGAGTGGTATATTACAGCTAGTATTTTACCAGGGTTACATACTCCCCCTCCATGAAATAACTGGTCTTTGAGTTTCCAGGGGTTACAGCGATGCTGGTAGAGCATGGCTAAGTATTATTCCCGGGTCCCTACATGGGTGCCAATGTAACAGAGGTCATTATATACTTCAATGTCTTCGCTAGGAATTGAACCCGGGCCCCCTGACTGATGCTCAACTGATCGCACTGAAGAGAAGTTCTCTCTAGCCAAGTAGTATATTGTGGCTAGTTTTTACCAGGGTTACAGTAATACAAAAATAAAAATGAGACATTGATTCAATGGTGCTGAACTCTACTAAAACACCTATAATTCACAGATGTGCGATTAGGACAACAAAAGTTATACTTTTGTAATTTATTGTCTTTCTCTTTCACATTTAGCAATCATCCTCAAATTATTAGTATGTACACTGTTTCTCTATACTAAGACCATATTTTCAATCTCGGTATGAAGTAAAGTTCCCCTTTCTCCAGTGGAGTACTGCTTCAGGCTTTTCAGCCTATCAAAATAATAAGGTGCCAAATATTGGAATGGAGATAATTTTGTTCATTTTATACACCTCCTAAATATTGAAGAGCACTGCTCTTGATCAAATCTCTAGCCCAAAGCGCTACACTCATAATACTAGACATTTTTAAAGTAACAGAAATGCTGGGTTTTAGAAATGTGTTTGTTGTGTGTATTATCAATATGAAATTTGCATTGTAGACTTTCCAAGCAGCTGCAAGAGTTCTGTGGAACAGACAGCCAGTTATTTACTGATGAACAGAAGGTAATCTCAGACAGTTCTAGGATTTTGTTCCATCAAGAATAACATAAAAGTTGTAAATACAAGCTTTTTAATTAATTAATCAATAAATCCTTCATTAGTAGAAAGGCATTTGACCTGTTATTGGCTTAAAAGAAAAAGGTGAGAGGGAGTGAGGGAAAGATAAATGGTTCAAATATACGGTAATTAATAGATGTAATACTATTTGTGTCCATTTTCATGTTACAAGAAAATACTATGCTGTTGTAATTGATGGATTTGAGTCTCTCTCAGATCATCTGATTTTGATTTTAAGTCCAAAGTAATAGTTTATAGGTAGATGTTTTGCAAATTATCTACTCAAAGTTTGGAGGTGACAATTTAATTTTTTTCATTATGAAATACATTAAGAAACTGTGGTATCCCAAGTTCCAAGCTGTAAGACCATGCTCATTCTTGTACGTGTTTATAATTTGATTTTCTATTTTTTCACAGAAAGTTCTCGGGAAGATTTCAGTTTGTTTGAATTTACGATGCAAGGTCTTACAGGTTTGTTTAGTTTAAGTCACAAATTACATCAGTGTTGTACATTAGGTCGAGTTGATACAACTACAAATGAAATGGCCACCTGAGAACTGAGAAATCAGAACTCTGAAATCAGAACTGTGAAATCAGAACTGTGTGAAATCAGAACTGAGAAATCAGAGTTGTGAAATCAGAACTGAGAAATCAGAACTGTGAAATCAGAACTGTGAAATCAGAACTGAGAAATTAGAACTGAGATATCACTCTGCATACATGTTTGATATCAGAAGGTCACATTAAATACAAGCATAAAAAGACAGGATGGAGACATGAGCCTGTAACAGAGGTCAATCTGTAGTTTATTGCCTCTGCTAGGGGTTGAACCAAGAACCTCCAGTCCACAAGACTAAGGTTCAAGTTCACTCTAGCTGAGCAGAATATGTTAAATAAACAGGTAATATTTACAAAGGTTACATAACCCCACTCCAGGAAGAACTAGTTTCTCAGGGTTTACTTTGATGTCTGAGAGGCAATGTTAAGTATTATTCCTGGATTTGGTCATGGACACTGATATAACAGGTGTCATTATTTATTTGAATATCTCTGCTTGGGATCAAACCAAGGACCTACGGCTTACTGGACTAATAATGGATTGGCTGAGTAATCTATATGTATTCACCAAGGTTACATTTAACTATTAGGAGAATCTTAGAAAGATACACAAATACATGCCATGTATTAAGGATGTACACTACCTTACTAAAGCAGTGGCTTTTTGTTCCCAAAAGAGTTCCTTACTTAGAAATCTTGGAAAAATATTTTAAAGGATGTTCCAGTGAGTGTTATGGGAGTTGGTATATCAAAATTATACTGGAAGGTATGCAGTGACAGTTCATTCAGAATTCAAAGATGTCAGAAAAGACAAATTAAGACAAGTAAATGAAAATAACACTAAACAAACATAGATCAATGGTCTATGTTGTTATCCTTGAATTTGTATTTTGTTTTGGTTTGGGCTAGCGTTCTTAGGGAGTCCATTTGGATAGGTGGATCCAAGACAAAAAGCAATAAACATGATATAAGTGATAAAACGATGAGAGGTGATATTGTGTGAGGTTAAGGAATCAACACCAGTCATAGAGCTATAACTGCTAATCAAATTTGAATATTACTCATAAAGTTGAATGAAACAAGATATTTTGTCAGGCTGTATAATGTGTATTATAATGAGTAGCCATAAACCATCTGTTTTATTTTTTGTTTTATTTTTCAGAATCCTGGATCTCCTGAGGGAATTCTCTTAGAAGATCTGAAACGCATCGGCTCAAGTAAGTTGAACTGGAAACCGTTATTTTCATAAACATATTAAATCCGCCAAGATGGTCACGGTGTCCAGTGTTCAGTCACATATTTTATAGATAATGGTCACGATGTCCAGTGTTCAGTCACATATTTTATAGATAAAGGTATAAAAAATACTCTATTGAGCATTACCTGGCATTATCATTATTTTATTTCCAGCTTTGAAGACGGTATTGAGTAAAAAATGTCAAGACTTCCCAGTGGATATAACAGTGGCCCAGATACGCACACAGTCCCTCAGCAATACACAGTAAGAAAGCTATTACAGAAAATAACGTTTAAACTTATTGGAATATTTTGATGATTGCAACGAAAAAAAATTATGAATGTTTTTACTAGACCTTTTTTTCATTCTACATGTGTGTTAGAAATTGTACTCTACTGAGTTGATGTTTACATTCTCTTAATAGGTTTCCAGTATCTTCAGATCTAGATGAGGAAAAGCAAGAAGGCAGAGGTAATTTTCATGATTGAAAGAGTAAACACAAAAACAAAACACAAGCAAACAAATTTGAATTAATTACATTACTTATATAAACATTCTTACTATTAACTAATTTTGTAGCCAGTTGCAGTTTACTTTTTGGGTATTAATTAAGTTTTGCAGTCACCAGTAACAGCTATCAATGTACTAATATTTTATAGCCAGTTGTAGTTTACTTTTGTATATAGTGTGTGTTCAATAGTCACCAGTGATAGCTCTCTTTTGGAAAGTTACTCCCTAAACCTCTCTCTATGAATGATATGTTGACCTTTGACATCAGTGGTAGCTGTCTATGTGTTAATATTATATCTTGAAGCCAATGGAAATTTACTGCCCAAACCTCTGTCTATGAATGATATGTTGACCTTTGACATCAGTGATAGCTGTCTATGTGTTAATATTATATCTTGTAGCCAATGGAAATTTACTGCCCAAACCTCTGCCTGTAGAGGGTATGCCCATGCTGACCATTCGGATAGAGAAAATTTGTCTGAAGGATGCACGCCAGTTTATAGACCCTTACATCACTGTATCAGTAAAAGGTAAAACTGCCAGAAGTCATAGGATCCACAACATTTTCTAAATGTCACCGCCCATTTCATTGTAATGTAATCTGACACTTAGCAGAAGTTTCTGTAATATGATATGACCATAGTAACAGTACGATACCATTGTTGCTGTAATATGACATGTTTATAGTTACAGTTAGATATCATTGTTGCTGTAATATGACATGTTTATAGTTACAGTAAGATACCATTGTTGCTGTAATATGACATGTTTATAGTTACAGTAAGATACCATTTTTGCTGTAATATGACATGTTTATAGTTACAGTAAGATATCATTGTTGCTGTAATATGACATGTTTATAGTTACAGTAAGATACCATTGTTGCTGTAATATGACATGTTTATAGTTACAGTAAGATACCATTGTTGCTGTAATATGACATGTTTATAGTTACAGTAAGATACCATTGTTGCTGTAATATGACATGTTTATAGTCACAGTAAGATACCATTGTTGCTGTAATACGACATCACAAAAGTTACAGTAATAAACAATCAATGTTGTAATATTGCATCATTATAGTTTTAGCAATATACCTTAAGGATTGTTGCTGTAATGACATTTCTATAGTCACAGTAATATGATATGATTAGTTACAACAATAAACCATTGTTTCTATAATATGACATAAGTGTAGTTACTGTGGTAGGCCATTATCATAGTTGCTGTAATTTTGTTATGTACTGTTACAGTGTAATTTAACAAAATTATTGTGTTGCCTTTAAAGACTCACAAGGAGGAAACCTGATGTCCCCACAGGAAACCCCAGTAGCCACCCGCAAAGAAAGTCAGCAGATTATTTTCAATATGGATGTGTACATACAGAAAATGATTGACAGTCTTCCTGCAGGTCTGTATCTGGTCACATACTATTACTGTAATCTGACTCATTATCTCAGGTCCATCTCCCCATCCTCTTCCTCATTGTCACCTTCATCAACATCATCCTTCTCACCATCACCCTCACCATTTTCCCATCATCAGCCAAACCTTGTGGTCATCCTTATATTCTCTCATCAACCAAAACATCACCCTTATTCTTACCTTGCAATCCACCCTCATTGTCACCTTCACATTGTACCCAGGACTTCTAAACAAAACTTCAGATGACCATGTTTGATAATATTGTGAGTGAATCAGATTAAAATGAAAATATCTGTTGTTAGTATGCTCCCAGTATTTACCATCTCAACTCATCATACAGAACACAAGTGTTATCATTGAGTGACAAACGAGCCCTGTTCTTGTAGAGCTGGTCTCTTGATTCCCAATAACACAAACAATCTGTCTTGCCACGAGATGGTGTTGTGTCTATTGATAACATCAATAGATGGGTTAATATTGATTATTGTGTATAAATGTGTTTATAGCTGGTATAAAATTTCACAGATGTCTTGATAACCTGAACTTAGTGAGAGTAGATCACTTGTAAATACTTGTTTGTTTGCAGTCGAGGAAAGTAGAAGTTTATTTCAAATAAGATAAGTTAATGGTATAGAAATCAAAATAGTGATCAATCAATTTCATTTACTTGATCACATGATGCAGTGTCATTTTTAGACACCAAATTTTCATCAAATTGATATTAGCATATCACTTCATTTACTGTATATGAATGCAGGCCAATTAAGCATCTTGGTTGCAAATCTTTCCCTTACAAACTTCCTTATTTTATTGCAGGCTTTGCCATATTCTTTGAGTTCAAGCACTATAAGCCAAAGAAGGCTGCGACCAGTGTTAAATGTTGGGCGTGTATGGAGAAGGATGAGATCAAGGAGGGAAATGTGGCTCTGGAACTGTATGTGTTAAATCTAACAACTAACCATGATAAACAGTTGCTTTAGAACTGTACATAAAACCTAACACCCAATAATGATAGACAGGGGCTCTGAAACTGTATGTAAAATCTAACACCCAATAATGATAGACAGTGGACCTGAAACTGTACATAAAACCTAACACCCAATAATGATAGACAGTAGACCTGAACTGAAGCTGTATATAAAATCTAAAAACCAACAGTGATAGACAGTGGCCCTGGAACTGTATGTAAGATCTAATATACAACAGTGATAGACAGTGGCCCTGAAACTGTATGTAAGATCTAATATACAACAGTGATAGACAGTGGCCCTGAAACTGTATGTAAGATCTAATATACAACAGTGATAGACAGTGGCCCTGAAACTGTATGTAAGATCTAATATACAACAGTGATAGACAGTGGCCCTGAAACTGTATGTAAGATCTAATATACAACAGTGATAGACAGTGGCCCTGAAACTGTATGTAAGATCTAATATACAACAGTGATAGACAGTGGCCCTGAAACTGTATGTAAGATCTAATATACAACAATGATAGACAGTGGCCCTGAAACTGTATGTAAGATCTAATATACAACAATGATAGACAGTGTTCTGTTATTGATTACAACGAGGAGGACATGTATTTTGCAGGAACACTGAACATTTATTCAGCACTGGTGTTTACATCATGGCAGCCGTCGAGCTCTCTCTTAAAACGAGGCTAACTTATGGTCTATATCAGAACACTATACTGCAATATTGACCTAACTATAAGTATAGTCTGTATCATAAAATGTAATGGCTAACACCACATCTCCCTTTCTAGGAACTCGGAAACAAAGTTCAAACACTTACTTAACTTGAACACTGAAATTTCAAATAGTGTAAAAAAGTCCATGACTAGACTACTTGACTAGATATCACTATAACTAAATATAACTAACACTACACCATGCAAAAGAACTACAAGTTCATTTTCTGTGGAGGTTTCGATAACCTTCCTGACCTTGTTCTATGGCTAGAAATATTAGTATCAGTTGGAGTTTGCGACGCGAGTCTGTCAGAATCAGCACACTTCGTAGGTGTTGGTGAGATGGTTCTTTCAACGTGAGAATCCACATCTGATTCCGGCTCACATGCTGATGGTTCCAGTTTGGGTGCACTTACAAGCTGACGTCTATTGCGACGAATGTTACCGAAGGATGTCGCAATCCAGTAAGACCTGTCGTTGTTGTCAATTGGCGATGTGACCTTTCCAGCGAATCCACCTCCTTGACCTTTGACCCACACAGTCTCACCAGGCCTTAGTTTTGGGAGACTCACCGCACGATGAGAAATGTCAAAGTTCTCTTTTTGGTTTTCCTTGTTCACTTCCTCCTTCAGTTTGACTTCCTCAAGATAAGGCCATTGGGGGTTAAGACTTGAAGGGTTTACGGGAAGAGTGGTCCGCAATTTCCGTCCCATCAGTAACTCAGATGGGCTATATCCATTTTGTAATGGAGTTGCACGATAGGCTAACAGAGCCAAGTACGGATCTGGCGAGTTCTGAATGAGTCTTTTCAATGTTTGAACCGCTCTTTCTGCCTCTCCATTACCTTGGGGGTAGTGGGGGCTACTCGTTGTGTGCCTAAAACCGTATTCGTTGGCAAAGTTCTGAAACACTGAACTGACATACTGAGGGCCATTATCAGTAACGAGGATTTCCGGAATCCCATGGCATGCAAAAATGGACTGCAAATGTCAGACAACAGCCTGTGATGTCGTTGACGTCAGTTTTGCAACTTCAATGAATCGAGAAAAGTAGTCTACGACCACTAGGTAGTTAGTGTTTCGAAGCTGACAGAGGTCTGACCCAACCTTCTGCCACGGCTTATCTGGGTGCTTACTCGGTCTTAGGGGTTCAGCTTGGTCATTCCAATGTTTTACATATGAGGTACAGTTCTTTACGAGGTCCTCTATTTCACGACTCAGACCTGGCCACCACACTGAAGATTTTGCTCGTTTGCGGCATTTAACTATGCCTTGGTGACCTTCGTGTAATCGTTGAAGGATTTCGACACGGAACTCGGTAGGTATCACCAGTTGATTACCTCTGAACAAGAGTCCGTGACATACCGATAGATCCTCCCGCACTTGCCAGTAGGGTCTTGTAGAGACTGTGATTGCGGGTTTCTCATAAGCTGGCCAGCCTTCCTGACAGTACTTCATTATGACACTACACACGGTGTCCTCGGCGAGCTTAGCTCGAATTCCGGCTAAACGCGGTTCTGACGCTGGCAAGCTCTCCATGATTAGGTGAACATAAGTTTCTGTTGCCTCCTGAAGTTCTGTGTCTTGGGGCTGTGACAGGGGCAAAGGAGACCGTGACAATGTGTCTGCAGTGTACAGAAGCTTTCCTGGTACGTAGGTAATATCATACTCAAATCTCACCCTAAACCTTTGTATCCTAGGAGGTAGGTCGCAGATTGCCTTCACACCTAATAGTGAGACAAGAGGCTTGTGATCAGTCTCAATGAGAAAATGCTTTCCTATGAGGAAGTCTGCGAATTTCTCTGTAGCCCAAGTTACTGCAAGTGACTCTTTCTCCACCTGTGCGTAGCGCTGTTCTGTGGAACTCTTAGCACGTGATGCATACGCGACTGGCTTCCAGGATTCGTTTTCCCCATTATCTTCAGACTGTAGGAGAACCGCTCCTAATCCATAGGCTGATGCATCTGATGAAACTTTAGTTTTAGCCTTAGGATCATTCAAAGCTAAGACTGAGGTCGAACCCAGTTCCTTCTTGATGGTTTCGATAGCCTTTACTTGAGGTTCTTCCCATATCCATGAGTTTTCCTTGTGCAACAGGTCGCGAATTGGCTTTGAGAGCTCGGCTATATTTGGAGTGAAACGGCCAAGTTGGTTGACCATTCCAAGAAATCTGCGTATGCCACTATGTTCTCAGGTGCCTCAAAGTCAACTATTGCCTGAACCTTTTTAGGGTCCGGTCTAATACCGTTCTCATCGATCACGTGTCCCACGAATGTTACACTCGACTGGTTGAACTCACACTTGTCGTGATTAAGGGTTAAGCCTGCCTTAGCTACTCTGCTAAGCACTTGTTCTAAACGTCTGTGGTGTTCTTCCTGACTTGAACCGAATACCAGTACATCATCCAGCTGGCACACTACTCCATCTATCCCTTCCAGGAGCTTGGTCATGCGCTTCTGGAAGTGTTCCGGTGCGCTAGATATTCTGAAAGGTAGTCTATTGAAGCAGAACCTCCCAAACGGCGTCATGAATGTAGTTAAGAGTCTGGAGGACTCTTTCAGAGGAACTTGCCAGAACCCAGATTTGGCATCGAGTTTGTAAAAACTCGCGCTCCGGTTAGTCGATGAAGCGTATCCTCTACACTCGGAAGTTGTATTGTTTTGCGACGTACCGACTTGTTCAGCTGTGTGAGATCTACACCTTGTTGTTTTTCTTTGGGACTACTACAAGTCCAGAGCACCAATCGGTAGGCTCATCAATTGGCGAAATGACTCCTAGCTTGGTCGTTCTTGACAATTCTTCCTTAACTCTATCGAGTAGGGGTAGTGGTACGCGACGCGGAGTAGAGAGTGCGTATGGTTTAGCATCTTCGCAGAGTTTGATTCCGTACTCTCCTTCAATCTTTCCAAGTCCTGTGAATAATGATGAATACTTGGATACTAGGTCGGGATTGCCCAATCCCTGTATGGCGGCGACCAATTTCAATAAACTCAGTTCATTTATAGCCGGTCTACCCAACAAAGGTATTTTCAGGGATTTCAACACATATATTTCTACGGTGGCTTGCTACACATTCAAATCTCCCCAATGTATAGAGTTTGTTCTGTCCAGGGCCATGGAGGATCTTTTTTCGAAGACTGTAACACAGGGCTGCCTATCTCCCTGTAAACGCTTATCGGAATAGCAGTTACGTCGGCTCCAGTATCTAATTTGAATTCCACCGGTGTGCCCTCAACACATAGCTTAATAAGCCACGGCTTGTTTCCACCTACATCATCAATAGTACCTAGGAACTCCTGGGTCAGTTCATCTAATTGAGATCTACACCTTTTCGCAAAGTGACCTTTCTTACTGCATTTCCGACATGTCGCGTCACACGCTGGGCACTTTTCCCTGCTATGATTAGGCTTGAACCTGCACCTAGGACAGGAGCTTGACTGAGATGTGTTTCGCCGCTGATTACTCTTGGTAGTAATCTTTTCTGTACCTCTGTGACTTTTGTTCCTTTTCCTAGTAACCGCGTCTACATTACTCGTCGAACTACTAGTAGCCTCATCTCGAACAATTGTCTGTTGTTTTTGGACTGCCTCTTTCTGTCTGACTTGTAACACAGCCTTTTCCAGCGTTAGTTCTGAGTCTAACTGCATCTTTTCTGAAAGACAACTGTCTCGTATCCCCACGACAATACGATCACGAATCATTTGATCTCTCAACGTGCCATACTCACAGTACTCGACCAAATTATAGAGCGACATGATGAAGCTGTCGGCAGATTCACCCTCATTCTGTTTACAGTGATTGAATTTTGCCCGCTCGAAAATAGTATTTCTGCGTTTTACGAAATGATCCCTGAATTTGTCTGTCACATCTTTATACTTTTTCCCATATTCAACAGACAGTTGAAACGATTTGAATATGTCTTCAGCATCGTTCCCCATCGCATAAATCAATGTGTTTACTTGTATGGATTCCTCCTTCCCGTTCAGCTCCGAGGCTATTCTGAATCGCTCGAAAAGTTGGAACCATTTCGGCCATTCGTCGGGCTTAGTAAAGTTAAAGTTCTCTGGGGAAGGGACTCTATAAGTGGCCATTGTTTGTGGATATAGTGTCTATACTGGCCTTATGCTGAAGGGGTTACTGGTTAGGGCTTCACAACAACGCACGTGGACTGCCGGGTCAATCACAAAACTAGTTCATAAATGGGATTAGCGCTCATGACAACAGTCTGACCAGCTACCGATGTGTTCCTTGATACTCCCAACATCTTCTGACACCCTGATCTGTTATTGATTACAACGAGGAGGACATGTATTTTGCAGGAACACTGGACATTTATTCAGCACTGGTGTTTACATCATGGCAGCCGTCGAGCTCTCTTAAAACGAGGCTGTCCTATAGTCTATATCAGAACACTATACTGCAATATTGACCTAACTATAAGTATAGTCTGTATCATAAAATGTAATGGCTAACACCACAGACAGTGGCCCTGAAACAGTATGTAAGATCTAATATACAACAATGATAGACAGTGGCCCTGAAACTGTATGTAAGATCTAATATACAACAATGATTGACAGTGGCCCTGAAACTGTATGTAAAATCTAAGCCCATCATAAAATAGTGAATGTGAAGATGATCACATAAAGATGTGAAGGCCCCCTGTCAGATGGGCAGTGTTGATGAATTAAGAGCTTTGACCATGACATATGAAACACTTCTGGTTTAGATTAGATGAAATTTAAATCATGAGACCTTGCTTTTTCAAAAAATAATTCTCTGTTGTTGCTATGTGGATATTAATCAGTAGGGATTTTCATTTTTATGTCACATACATTTCATACAATTAACTGAATTTCTCACACTTCATACAATTTCATGCATTTCATACACCTAAGTGAACTTCATTGATTTTTTTCAGATACAAGAAGCCAACTGATTACAAGAGAAAAAATATCCGCCTGCTGACCGTAAAACCTTTGTTTCTACACATCAAGCTGTTATTTAATATGTAAAAAATTTGATGTACCATAGATCATGCCACACAACTCATACTGGATTGACAAGTGGACAATTATTGTTAAATTGAAGACAAGTGTATTTTTATGAGATTTTATGCACTTTTCATATTGTAAGATCTGTGTAATCTGACCTATAAGTATTACAGAATCTTGTCTAATCTGACCCCATGGTATTACAGAATCTTGTCTTATCTGACCCCATGGTATTACAGAATCTTGTCTAATCTGACCCCATGGTATTACAGAATCTTGTCTAATCTGACCCCATGGTATTACAGAATCTTGTCTAATCTGACCCCATGGTATTACAGAATCTTGTCTTATCTGACTCCTGAGTATTACAGAATCTTGTCTTATCTGACTCCTGAGTATTACAGAATCTTGTCTTATCTGACTCCTGAGTATTACAGAATCTTGTCTTATCTGACCCCTAAGTATTACAGAATCTTGTCTAATCTGACTCCTGAGTATTACAGAATCTTGTCTTATCTGACTCCTGAGTATTACAGAATCTTGTCTTATCTGACTCCTGAGTATTACAGAATCTTGTCTTATCTGACTCCTGAGTATTACAGAATGACTCCTGAGTATTACAGAATCTTGTCTTATCTGACCCCATGGTATTACAGAATCTTGTCTTATCTGACCCCATGGTATTACAGAATCTTGTCTTATCTGACTCCTGAGTATTACAGAATCTTGTCTTATCTGACCCCATGGTATTACAGAATCTTGTCTTATCTGACCCCATGGTATTACAGAATCTTGTCTTACCATGGTATTACAGAATGGTTTGTATTATCTGACCCCATGGTATTACAGAATCTTGTCTTATCTGACCCCATGGTATTACAGAATCTTGTCTTATCTATCCATGGTATTGACAGAATCTTGTCTTATCTGACTCCTGGTATTACAGAATCTTGTCTTATCTGACATGGTATTACAGAATCTTGTCTTATCTGACCCCATGGTATTACAGAATCTTGTCTTATCTGACCCCATGGTATTACAGAATCTTGTCTTATCTGACCCCATGGTATTACAGAATCTTGTCTTATCTGACCCCATGGTATTACAGAATCTTGTCTTATCTGACCCCATGGTATTACAGAATCTTGTCTTATCTGACCCCATGGTATTACAGAATCTTGTCTTATCTGACCCCATGGTATTACAGAATCTTGTCTTATCTGACCCCATGGTATTACAGAATCTTGTCTTATCTGACCCCATGGTATTACAGAATCTTGTCTTATCTGACTCCTGAGTATTACAGAATCTTGTCTTATCTGACTCCTGAGTATTACAGAATCTTGTCTTATCTGACTCCTGAGTATTACAGAATCTTGTCTTATCTGACTCCTGAGTATTACAGAATCTTGTCTTATCTACAGAATCTTGTCTTATCTGACTCCTGAGTATTACAGAATCTTGTCTTATCTGACTCCTGTGTATTACAGAATCTTGTCTTATCTGACTCCTGAGTATTACAGAATCTTGTCTTATCTGACTCCTGAGTATTACAGAATCTTGTCTTATCTGACTCCTGAGTATTACAGAATCTTGTCTTATCTGACTCCTGAGTATTACAGAATCTTGTCTTATCTGACTCCTGAGTATTACAGAATCTTGTCTTATCTGACCCCATGGTATTACAGAATCTTGTCTTATCTGACCCCATGGTATTACAGAATCTTGTCTTATCTGACCCCTGAGTATTACAGAATCTTGTCTTATCTGACCCCTGAGTATTACAGAATCTTGTCTTATCTGACCCCTGAGTATTACAGAATCTTGTCTTATCTGACTCCTGAGTATTACAGAATCTTGTCTTATCTGACCCCATGGTATTACAGAATCTTGTCTTATCTGACCCCTAATTATTACAGAATCTTGTCTTATCTGACCCCTAATTATTACAGAATCTTGTCTTATCTGACCCCTAATTATTACAGAATCTTGTCTTATCTGAAGTATTACAGAATCTTGTCTTATCTGACCCCTAATTATTACAGAATCTTGTCTAATCTGACTCCTGAGTATTACAGAATCTTGTCTTATCTGACCCCATGGTATTACAGAATCTTGTCTTATCTGACCCCTAAGTATTACAGAATCTTGTCTTATCTGACCCCATGGTATTACAGAATCTTGTCTTATCTGACCCCTAATTATTACAGAATCCTAATTATTACAGAATCTTGTCTCATCTGACCTCTTGGTATTACTGAATCTTGTCTCATCTTTCCCCTAATTATTACAGAATCTTGTCTTATCTGACCCCTGAGTATTACAGAATCTTGTCTAATCTGACCCCATGGTATTACAGAATCTTGTCTAATCTAACCCATTATTATTACAGAATCTTGTCTCATCTGACCTCTTGGTATTACTGAATCTTGTCTTATCTGACCCCATGGTATTACAGAATCTTGTCTTATCTGACCCCTAAGTATTACAGAATCTTGTCTAATCTGACCCCATGGTATTACAGAATCTTGTCTTATCTGACCCCATGGTATTACAGAATCTTGTCTCATCTGACCCCATGGTATTACAGAATCTTGTCTTATCTGACCCCTAAGTATTACAGAATCTTGTTTAATCTGACCCTGAGTATTACAGGATCTTGTGTAATCTGACCCCTAATTATTACAGAATCTTGTCTTATCTGACCCTGTAGTGTTACAGAATCTTGTCTCATCTGACCTCTTGGTATTACTGAATCTTGTCTTATCTGACCCCATGGTATTACAGATTCTTGTCTAATCTAACCCATTATTATTACAGAATATTGTCTTATCTGACCCTGTAGTGTTACAGAATCTTGTCTCATCTGACCTCTTGGTATTACTGAATCTTGTCTAATCTGACCCCATGGTATTACAGAATATTGTCTAATCTAACCCATTATTATTACAGAATCTTATCTAATGGGACTGTGATGATTGCCAACTCATTTATATGATAGTTCTATTTCTTGTGAAATCTACAGTTATAATGGTATGTCTTACCTTACCAACATGTTTTGTTTCCTTGTGTGTCGGATTAGTCAAAATTAGCCAAATCCTTTTAACAGGATGTCATATTACGCAGGTGAAGTTGTCTAATAGATGGTGTCTAGTAAAGTTTGTGTCAGATTAGACATGTGACATTATGAAATAGAGTTTGTCCAACAGGGTGTCAGATTAGACAGGGAAATAGATTGTGTCCCACAGCATGTCATTCTGTCGGATTAGATAGATAATTTTAGAAAGGATGCAGATTACACAGGTTTATCTGACCAGCCACTTGGCCTCCAGTTACAGGGGTGTAAACACAAAAAATCACTATAGTTTTAGTAATTACAAAGTTGACCTATTAAAGAATATAGAGAAAGCATGCTTTGTTTAGCTGTTTAGTCTGTATTATTTGAACCGTCATACAAGGTGTTTCAGTGGGATTAAATTTTGCTTGGTAATATACATATTTTCGTGTTCATCTATAAATGTCATCAAATACATGCACTGCTTCATGTGGCAACAAATAATGCACTCTAATTTCAGCCTAAAAATCACTTTAAAGTGTAGGCTGTTTTTTTTTCAGTTTAGCACAAAAATGTCTTAAACAGAAATTTTCATAATTCATTTGAAAATTCAACAGATTTGAAAACGGCAGGGAATGGATGGGAGGTTGACAAATTTGTTAAATTAATATTTAGTTTTGTTGTCTATATATGAGAACAAAATTTTCAAATTGACCATTTGTCATGGTGACTGGTCACTATACTGATTAGTGGTCATGGTGATCAGTCGTCATGGTAATTAATCACCATCGTGAGAAGTCGTCTGAATGGCGATAAGTCCTCAACTGTCTTCGGATACAGAAGATAACTATAGAATACGTCATAAATCCAGTTATATTTTCACTAAAAGTAAAGCTTTAAAGTGTGAAAAATCCTGATAAATGTAGATTGGAAAGGAAAAGCCATATCCATGTTGAATATTTTTGATAGACAAAAAACGTTTGATGAGAAGATAGACAAGCCTGCAATAACATAAATGTTGTTTTTATCGCCAAAAGGTGTTTGTACTGCCATGTAGTTAGAGTTTTTGTAATTAAAAGATTTTAGATTTTTGTTTTATGTTCCTCTGCTGTCCAGTGGATATTGATGTTTACAAGGAAGAGGAGATGTTTAAATGTTTAAATCATTGTTGCAGATTTTTTGTTTTAAAATTTGGTTGTACATTTTATTTGAATGGTGTTTTTTAAACACATGTTGATCGAATCAGTATCCCACTATCTGTGTTATAAATGTCATTATTTTAACACTTACAAATTAAAATTTAATCTACTTGTATTCCAGTGTTGAAGAAGTCCCGATGCACAATATATTTCTTTTACATCCAAAAAAGAATTCTTAGACTTGGTAAGATTTTTTGTACTGTACCATTTACTAGCCTAGGGTAAAGGGACCATTTGACTTAAGAATATGTGGTATGTATAATGAAGGATGGAAAACATTCCAGGGAGAAGAGATATATCCTATATTTACTGACTCTTTTCTATTATGAATATGTGACTATATTTCTTTACATTAATGAAACTCATTGTATAAATGTTGATTTTTTAAAGTGATAACTTTTATTTAAAGATTTTAAACATTAAATTGTGTACATTTATACAGTTTGTGATTGTCGGAGTTTTTGTGATTCACCAGAATGGTTAGTGATATTTATAAACTGTCTACTGATTTCTATAATATACAATATATAAGGTATTATATATAGTTATATATTCAATTATATCAGAAAGACTTTGTTAAAACTACAGTTCAGCTATTCTGTTACAATTCCATAGTTACATTTGCTGCTTTTGGAAATATGCGTTCAGTGTTTAAACTGGTAGCTTACATAAATGTACCATTATAATAGTAACGGCTGATTCAAGTTTTCAGAAATTATAAGTCTCAAGAAAGTCTCATTCTCTTTGATGATTCTTCCTTTTTTTTAAATATCTGTCCAATTTATAATTTTATACTTTTTTACTTTTGTGTGTTTTTCATCATGTTTGTTTACATGT